ATTTTAAACAAATTGTATCTTATTTCACACGCTTTATTAACATAATCACCGTAAAGATAAAAAAAGAAGGATATTATTTCGCGTTTGTAATGATGATTTGACAGGTACAACCCAACGTCCAAACTAAATTTTTGTATCTATATATAAAGTAATGTAGGTAAATTCTAAACACAATCACGAATTGGTTGACCGATTCGATGTTTCTGTGTCTCAACTCTTGAATACCAAAATTGTCTTCCGATCTGTAAAAATACCGATTGCGTCCTTTTCTCTATTGTGACATTTTGACTGACAAAGCTTTGCATGACTAGTGATGCTTGTTCAGCAAGAAACGTTTACCCAGTCGGAGGCACCACCTGGCTCTTTCTATAGTTCATTCGACTCCCTCCGTTGTTTTCAATTGATGCATGTAGTCGAAAATTTACTAAATTTGAACATCGGTATACATGTTTTAGTAATTTGTGGTTACAAAATTCCTGACTTAATAGTTAACAAGGTATACAGACATTACAATCATTGGGATCTATAATCTACAGACGTAGGCTTTTTGAATTATATGAGAAATATGCACATCATAAAATTAGGCGACAGTAGTTTATCGATATCCTAATCTGGTAAATCGGTTAGGAGGAGACACATCAAAGTAACACACAAAAACTGAGAAATTTGTATTAAATCATAAAGGAGCGAAACCGTGCGAGTCAGCATGGTCATCGTCTCCTCCTCTGCATGCTTCATCAGTCATCCGAATCCACATTCAGTCAAAATGTCAAAATCGAGAATATAGCACAATCGGTAACATTACTGATCATATACGACTATACTGGTATTTAAAGATCTATGACCGTAAGCACATATCGCTTCTGAGTTGAAACACCGACACATCTATGAAAATAAGGAGATGTGGTACGATTGCCAATGAGACAACTATCCACCAAAGTTCAAATGAAGTGGATGTATTTAAGCAATTATAGGCAACCGTACGGCCTGAGTGAGAAAACCCCACACCGTACAGTCGGCTATAAACGGCCCCGACATGAACAATATGAAATAATTCAATTGAGCAAAAATTAACAGCTTGATATATAACAAAACAATTTACGAAAAACAAATATGACAGATATGAACCACCGCCTTGGGACAGGCACATATAGAATGTGGCGGGGTTAAACTAGTTTGCTGGCGCCAAATCATCCCCCTTATCTGCAACAGTGGTGTAACAGTACAACATAAGAACAAACTATACAAATCAGTTGAAAAGGGCTTAACTCATCAGATCGATACATTGCAAGTATTGCTGTTCATATTCTATTTATTTAAAGGTAAATTTCCGCAGTTTATTTAATAATATTCTTATGATTTTAAACAAACGTATCATCAAGTAAACTGTTAGTAGTATTGGTTTTTTTTCACTCAATTAAGTGTAATTTTGACGGGTCTTTACTGACTTTGGCCACAAACTAAGATTGAAATCAATACATTCAGTACAAACATAAGTCTGCTATGACAAGAGCACTCACTATACGTTCCCTTTGAAATACCTACAAGCTGTTGTTTAACTGTATTGAATAAACGTACATATATATGTTGTCAAGGAGAAAACAATCAGCTTTAGACATCTCGTTACAGTTAATCAGAGTTCCAGTAAGTGTTTCTAGCATATCCATCTTTTTTGTTGCAGAAAAAGGCTTATATGCTTAGCATTTTTGCTTTACGTGAAGCATAGGTCTTAAATGATGTGAAGTATTCACAACCACATTGATTGCTGTTTTGTCAACTGTACACAAAATACTTTGAGAGAACTAATCCTAAACATGATGCCTTATCAAACTTTTTCTTAACTTCTGAATTATTATTTTTCGAAATGTGATATTCGAATATATACAAATATCATACATTAATTGATATATGAATCAACTGATTTTGTATACCTTGCATGTATTAATTTTACAACCTGATGAAAGGATAATCTTTGAAAGACACGGTTACGCTATTCCAATTTATCTCCGTTGGTGGAAGATATTTCGGTCCTTAATTTTGTTTTCCGTAAATTTGTGTTAGTATCTAACCTTTACTTGTATTTATGTACAATGTTTGCAGAATACTCCAGCAATTGTTTAAGAAACCAAATGCTTCTACATTTTTATATCGTTTTTCGACATCAAAGGGTCACAGGTTTTAACCACTTACCTGTTATTGGTAGTAGTGAAATGCACCAACAGAGTCGAAGTGAAATAGAAAAGAACATTGTCTTTTTCAGAATTGTTTTTATCCAAAACCTTATAACGGTTATATAAAATACTGCCAATCGGTATTGCAATTCTATGAGCAATGTATATTAATAATTAATTGATACAGATGTTTATATTCATTTCTTAAATCTTAATTTATATAAAATTCCAAACTTTCCATGATTGTTTCAAAGATTACGGTTATTTTCATCACGGATTTCAATATAATAATTATTTAAAAAAAAAACACTACACGCTAAAAGGTCTTTAATTACAAATACATATAATATCAACAGGATGTGATATCATCTGTTTCTAGTTACAATGCATAAAATTAAATGAAACAAAGAAATGTGGTATGATTGCCAATCAGACAACCACGTACCGGTGACCGAAGGACAAGGATATAGAGTAAAATATATATAATGAACGTATTTATCTGATCATTTTGTCAAATTTTATATCCGCAAGGTTTGTTAACTTCATTTATATTATTGTCCTGCCATACTTAATATTTTCTGTTATTGAATTCCAACATATAGACATGGCTTATTGTATAATTCAAACAAAATCAGACACAACTAGAATTAAATTAGAATTGAATCAAAAAATAAATGAAAAGCCCAAACATAAAGAAAAAACAAAAACGGACAATATTCAATCGCATGGAATAATGTTCGAAGTGACTTAAAGCAAGACCAAATATTTAATAGACTGGTAAAGGTTTCACAACGTCCTACATCGGTTGTTGAAATTCAAATATTTGTCATATAGCTTTGTTATAAACAATACAGGAAAATATGTGTTGGTCAATGCCTTGAATAAACTTTTAAAAATTTTGATGCAATAAAAAAGCAAAACAAAACAAAAATTTAAGAGACACTCAACTCTTGATTTAAACATCGAATTAAAATGTCCCCAAAAATAATATCACACGTGGTAATCGATCAACAGTTACTGTAGTATAAGTATAACCAATATCAAATTGAAGAATAATTTCGACTTTTCTAGCTTTATAAAAACATGATCGTAAAAACGTGTATGTATGATACTAATTATTATTAAATTCGTGTAGGTAGGAATATATTTTCACAACAAATGTCTGTTTTTGTGATAAATTAAATAAAATTTTTGAAACAGTAAATGATATATTTCCAAGCTATAAAAGTTTACTTGTAATGAACATGTAACGTTTCTTGAAATCCGAGACGTGATGCGCATATCGAAACCGATGGAAACGTATATGACATTCGATGGAAACGTATATGACATTCGATGGAAACGTATATGACATTCGATGGAAACGTATATGACATTCGATGGAAACGTATATAACATTCGATGGAAACGTATATAACATTCGATGGAAACGTATATGACATTCGATGGAAACGTATATGACATTCGATGGAAACGTATATGACATGTTAAGGATCCCATGGAATAACAATATCAAGAAGAAAACAATAGATAGGAAAAAATTAATTATCCTGTTTATCACAAAGTTTTATAAAAAGGTTACAACGAAAAATTCAAATCAATATATATATACTGAAAGCAAAATTGGACCGTTATAGAAATTATTTCGATTTATCCCAGATTCGCGTTAATAATCTTTAACTACAAACTGTATTCGTGAACGGAAGTTTATTTGGTAGATTCATCTGGACTTTGCTTCTCATCATCCACTAAAGATAGACACAACAAGCGCCATACAACCGGTCGCAAAATGTTTTTATCGAACGTTCCCAATATTCGAATAAATAACAAAGTAATGAGTTGGCATATACTTCATCTGTGTTTGTTCCTAGTATACATGTTTGGACTTTTCATCTTGTTCAGATTTACTTTTATTTTAATTCTTAGCTTTTAATATTGTATGATTGTATGAATAATACAATTACGATTATGCTGGAATCAAAAACAATAAAACAGGGAAATAGTCCACTACGTATACATTACAACAACGCAAGTTACAGAGCATATTGAACCTGGAGGCATAATTTCAAAGGGATCTAATAAAAGATGTATAGAAGTACAATAAGAATGTAAAATTGAAATATATCAAATCTGATAAAGTAAAGACATAGAATACTGGCCATTTGATCCCTTATTTTGAAGTACGAGTAAGCAGCTCGGTACTCTCGCGGCGCCGTGCCAATCCTGAGATTTTATACCAGCTCCCGTATCAATTCAACACTGGCACCTCTCTCTTTCCAAATGTGTACATTCCCCGTTTCCATTCTCAATTTTATTTGTACTTACATGTTCGTGTAGCATTTTTTTAAAGTACCAATCTATAATTGATTCTAATGGTGTGTCCGGGCTTCGTCATATGTCCTTATGATGAAATATACAGTTTTCATGAATATAAGGAGAGTTGAGATATACACCAATGAGACTGCAATCAATCGACAAAATTACATCTTAAATGTTATTAATTTAGTATTGTCATTGGTATTAAAAAAAAACAGGACTCACAAAACATCTTTCTGACATGTGGTAAGTGTTGACTACATTATCTTTACAATTTTACATTTATTATAATAAGTCGTAAAAGTCGGATCTTCGTTCGTCTGTTTTTAATTCATTTAATAACGATGTCGAATTGGCCAACATTGCGCTTTTAAGTATTGTTAAAATTTCTGACTATCTTTCTTAAAACTAAAAACAAAGTTGAGTTTCGAAAATTTTCACCCACACAAAAAAAAAAACAGACGAAATTACTGGCAATTTCGGATACAAAAAGTAACACGTACAATTAGCAAATCATAAGTTGAAATTTTATTTTGTGACAAATAAAATGGTTGCCATTACACACACAGTTTGAATATCAATCATGTTTATCATCACCAATAATGAACGTTTTTGTTTACATAGATCAGGTATGAATGTTCCATCATTTTTATATGTTCTTTGTGACTTTAAATAGTCTCTGGTGTCACTAGTCATCGAAAACATCACTATATAAGGGAGCTACTTTTGGTGCAGGATTTAAAGTTAGAATATGTTTTGGAGACCAATGCGGATCAAACATTGGCCACGGACTATTTGCTGATTTTTTAGGTCTGAAGTTATATTTTCTAGCAGAATGAATAATATTCGGATCAAAAGTTGCCTTTGAAACGACATCTATATGTACCGTTGTTGAACTGCTAAATGGATCAAAATCAGCCTGACTTTTAGACATTTTATCCTTGTGTAATCTGTACTGTATTGTTCCAATTCCTATCACAATAATTATTACAGGTATTACTATAAGTCCGAATAGTCCTGTTAAATGAGGCGCTTCATCTGTAAAGTAAATAGTATTTCAAGTGTTTCATAACTCAAATGTGGCTCGCTATTTTTCTTTAATGAATGAACGAATTATCTTTATTCTCATAAAAAATATACAAAGTTACAGAGAAGATAATATTACAATAATAACAAATATTGAATATAACATATGTGAAATACAAATGACTGTTATATAATATTATAATAAATATTTCTTCATACGTATGCATTACTGATTGATTGATTGATTGATTGATTGGTGTTTAACGTCACTTCCAGGACTGTTGTGTTATTTCGTTGCGGTCAGTATTTATTGATGGAGGAAGCCGGAGTGCCCGGTTATACATTACTGTATCATGTATATAATATTATTAATTTATTTTTTTTTATATCACTTTGTAGACACATTTATATTTAATTTACTGTTATTATTATTATTATTATTATTTGGTAAACATATGTTTATTCTTATATCGCTATTGTCGTTATAATTATTTTCGGGAAAATGTACTGTACATTTGTGTTATGATTGTTTTCGTTTAATAACACAAGCAATGAAAAAAATATGTATATGTATAGTTCACATTTTCCCGTAAAGATGTTAATAAATACTCGATTATCGAAACATCATTGTTTAATTGTCTGTAACTACATGTACTGTTCAAAGAAAAAAAAAACTAGAACTATGAGTAAAATAAAAAAAAAGTATACACCGCCCTACAATACTATATTTCAAAAATGAATAACTTCGTCTATGAAAATTTACAGAAAAGGAAACGGAACAAAAACAATTTTACATAGTCCCCTTAAACATGTAAGCCAGCAATATATTATAACTTCATTTACATTCTCAGATAGCATTTTGCTATAAATATCCGTCTTAACTGTTTAGGAGAAGTTGTGCTTAAAAAACACATGAACAGACCTAAGACGAACGAACAGGATGATTTCTATATATTCTAAAATTATTCCTTAATGCACATTATCAGGTAGTATTTTACAACTGTAAAATTCTCCACTTTCTATACACTTAAAGTATGTAGTGCTTACATGGCACATGCACAAATGAAAGACGGACTGACGAACATATGAACGAAAAATTCCCTGCGAACAACACGTGTTTTTGGAATACTCTCGTCAGGTCTCGTCACCCCAAGTGTGATTGGGGATTAGAAATATGGTTACTTACTTTAATCTGCAGTAAAACCCTTGCCAAAGTAGGGCGTCTGTTTTGCTGTGCGGGATGAACAAGTACGCAGCCATGTCCGGTCAAAATGGGGACGTTAAATCATATACCTCGTGTAAAGAGAGTGCCACGCTTTTTGCACGTTAAGAACCTTTGTGGGGTCTGCAGGTGGCCTGTTGCAAGGTAACATTTCTGTTCCCATCCAAGATATTCCCAATATCCAGTGGCAATCCAAATTTCCACGACCATTATCCAGGACAGCCTCTATTACACGACCTACCTATTGTATTTATTGTTAATTTGTTCCCGTCCTGAACATGCATGTAATGTTTACCACTAGACGTTAAGCAACCAACAATCGATCAATCAACCGTCATTTGTGAGTTGAACGCGTTTACCATTATTAAAACCGAAGGGACAAAACAGTTATAACCATTTAATCTGGTGACAATGAAACATGTTCTTAATTCATTTTATTTTTTATGAATCACTTACTTAGATAGCAAAATATATCTTTATCGTCATTACACACGAAATTGCAACCGATGTGGATCGTTTTGACATAATTATAAGAATGAGTTATCTTACCGTTGCCTACAGTAGTTGTAACAATAGTTATATCTTCACATACCTCTGAAAGGCAAACTCAGTACAATGAATATGAATAAAAGTAGATGTAAGAGATACATACATAAGAACATAACGACACAAATAAGTAAAATGTATCTAGAGGTTTAGATATCAGCAACAATCTAAGAAAAAGTTTCTATATGTCAAAATCTAAATCGTCCCGAGTCGAGAAAAGCTGTGAATATTTTATTTAAGACTTTCAAATATCTTTCATCAAAACCAAAATGTTCTACATCGTACAGCAGAGAAAATATTCAGATATAAAAACAGACAGGCACATACATACGCGGCTCGGTTGAACAGTGTTTTTAAAGCACTAAATCCGCCCATCCAAATAGTCCTTATCGTAATACTATAACATACCCGATGGATCCGTCAGTACTAAACTAATACCACCAGGTTCTGTAATTGTAGATGATGATGTATTGCTGCAAAACTTTGAATTTTCCGTGGCGTAAGTTGTATTTCCTATTCTCTGTAACGACTGAAACATACAAAATAACGATGGAACATAAAATGTCAAACAATAGCTTACATTTTGATATAATCAAGACCCATACCAAATGAGGACTATATAAACATCAGCTGTCTCTGTATTTGTTGAATTTTTCTTATACTTATAAGAAAACAAAACAAAACCGTTAAAGTAATCCTAATTCGTTTCTTTTTTGCATGGTGCTTATTTTTTAGAATTGCACAAGACCAGTGTTCTACTGTCAATGGTGTTGCTATAGTGTGTTTGTTTTTGTCGCAGTAGTTAGCAAAGAAATAATGACACCGTACATGCGTTAAAACAAGGAATTTATTTACTTTTATGAACCCTTGGGAACAATTTTAAAGCATAACTTTTCTGCAAAGACTCTCTTGTCTTATATAAACATATTACACACAAACTCGAGAACATTGTTTCAATTTAAATAAATACACACACACACATATAAATAATGTAAGTATATAATATTCAGGTATTCCTAGATGGATGGCTTTAACGTCCAGTGGCAAATTAAATATAATGTCGATTCAGGACGAGAACATAAACCCTGCTTTGCAATGGACCGTATCGCTGAGCCGGATTATAAAAGGTGATACTTCGAAAGGTAACAGTCCACACGAAAAAATGTCACCCTTCCTGGACATAATTTATTAATTTATTCTGACTTCGAGCACACCAGCCTTTGCTCTTACTCCTAAATGCTTCGAACTTAGTGGAGAACCAACAAATATCAATTTTCAATTCTTTGGTTTGACCCAACAAGGGACCGAACTCGTGACCTCCCGCACTCGAGGCGAGGACGCTTTGTTGTTCGAATTGTCTTGCTAAATTTATGTTGTGTTTTGCCTGTAGTCTTGTGTATTAGTTAAAACCAGAAGTTTAAAGTTGAAATTAAAAATACTAAGACAACATTGTTTGAAGTTGTTCAAACTGAAACTTTCTATTTACCTTTATAAAGATTATTCTGGGTCGAAACGAAAGTTTGTGAGATGTAAATGTAAATGTTTTTAAGAATATTTCACGTAAACTCACAAAACAACTAAACGGATTTTGTATACCAACGTCCATATTCCAAACAGAGAGATAAGTCTCAGAATCTTCATCAATTGAATGTATACATTTATACATTCCTCCACCTATTAAAAAAAAAAGAATTAAGTAAGCCGAAGAATACAGTAGTACAATTCATGTTCATGAAGCAGCCAGTAAATATCAGAGTTTCAATTTTTAAAGGGAAACTCCATACTAAAATTTACGACAAAAGAGATGATTTTTCATTCTCTATTGTTAATTTTCCCTTTTCAGACGACGATGTTCCTTTGGCTCCATCATACGGTGTTTATATATCCCAAATCGTTCGTTATACCCGGGTGTGTAGTGATGTCATAGATTTTAACGAACGTAATCAATGCATCACTGGTAAATTTTTAAGTCAGGGATTTCGTTACCACAAATTGCTTAAAACTTTTACTAAATTCTTTCATAGATACAAAGATTTGATTAGTAAATTTGGCTGTACCTGTAGAAAACTTATTAAAAACGGTACTTCACATCCTAAATTTTACGGTAATATTGTACTAAAGGCGCGGAAATCACTATATGATCCGTGTAAACTCATCGAACCTTTAAACAAACTTATTAGTAAAGGTTATCTTACCAATGTTGTAATAAGATCTTTGACCATAGTTTACATTGGCACAAATATCGATTTTGTCATCAGCAAATTAAAACATAACTAAATTTGTATTCTTTTCAAGCGGTTATTTGGGATGTATAAATACACATCCACGTTCATTTTCTATATGGAAATTACTATATCTATATATAAAATTATACATATTTATTAACAGGTTAACTATCCTACTGCTTGTCGGTACTTTTGTTTTGGCATTGCACATTTCATGTCTTCTTTGACTGTCCATGACGTTAAAACAATAAATCCCTGGGATGTGTTTTAGTTGATTTGAGTCTGATGCATGATTTTTTATTATTAATTGTTTTTGGCTTTTAACTAGCTTTCAGTAACTACGAGTACTCTGAAATCGTACTTTCGTATTAATTTGACCTGTTGATACAATTTGTAATGTATTTTTGTTATTTAATGTTTACTAATTTAGTGTTATATCTTATCTCCCTATTTTCAATATATACCATCTTTGATAAGTGTTTAGTATGATAATAAATTTTCTTTTTTGTTCTCGTACTAGGAACAACAAAATTATTTCCGTCCTCCATGTATACCTTACAACAAAATTATTTTTATTTACCTGTGAACGTTATTTTATTTGGCCGCATTTTGTCCATGGTTATGGTTGTCTTTCTGATATTGTTTTACATCTAACACACTTGTTTTATTAATTTTGTATTTACATTGTGTCATAGATCAAATTTATACGTTCAGTGTATGTTCACTTGTTTTTGTTAATATGTCTTTTGATTGAGTTAAGCCATTTCAATTGATATTTTATAGTGTGTCTTTCTATGCTGTGATGTTACATTATTGTTTCAGGTAGGGTGAAGGTTGGCGCCTATTAAAACGTTTAAACCCGCTGCAATTGTATGCACCTGTCCTAAGTCAGGAACCTGATGTTCAGTGGTTGTCGTTTGTTGATGTGGTTCATAAGTGTTTCTCGATTCTTGTTTTTATATAGATTAGACCGTTCGTTTTCCTGTTTGAATGGTTTTACATTAGTCATTTGTGGGGCCATTTATAACTTGCTGTTCGGTGTGAGCCAAGGCTCCGTGTTGAAGGCCGTACTGTGACCTATAATGATTTCCTTTTACAAATTGTGACTTGGATGGAAAGTTGTCTCATTGGCACTCATATCACATCTATCTAAAGTATTAGTCAATTTAAAATCATTAACCTTCAATCAACTTTTCACATCAATGGCACCGATGAAAAACAAAACTCATCAGAGATGAGGACTAATTTCTTTACTTTATGTTTCATATACATACAACAAATGTTACACGATATTTAACCTAGTAATGGACATTTTGGGGGTTTTCAACCAAACCTGAACAACGAAAAAGCCATTACAGCTATGAATTTATCTCAACATGACAAATTGTATAGAAAAATGTCTGTTGTATGTTGCCCTTTATATGTCTTTTTTTCTCGTTATATCGCATTCTCCTTTGAGATGCTCCACATGTATTTGCTTGTATTTACCTGATATGAGCAGGGAAACAATGATTTAACTATTGATAATTTACTTAACTATAATAATAAATTTTATAAACAAAAAAACAATCAGAAAATTCACTATGTAAGGTTTAAGATTTTGTTTATTGTCATCATTATACACCTAGCCTTCATCAGCGTTATACTTACTGGAGAATGTTTTTCCTACAGCAGTATTATCACATACACCACTATACGAAATGTGTATTCTTGTTTTATCAGTACACACATCCCATGTGGTATCACTACAGTGGAACCCGCTAGCTTCGCCATGGTGCTGAATTGTGACATTAGTGAAAATAGCTTGAATAGCTGTCGAACAGGTAATATTTATATTCTGTTCCTCGATAGAACCTGAAAACAATAGTAAGCAGCACTTCATAACTTTCTTAAAATGAAGATTTCATTATATTAAAATTAAAACTAAAAACTGTAACCAAATCATAACACCTTTTGGGTGTTTTTTCAGCGACATCAAAAAGAAAAAGAGCTGTTTGATAAAATATTTGCAAAAGATTCCCTGAGACCACTTGGAATATTCAAAGAATTTGAATTAGTATAAAGTTGATTCATTGCAACTTCCGTAGAACTCTGATTTTTCCGAAGTCCTGCGTTTAATTCATTGTCGAGTCTTACGAGATTCGGTGCTTACTTTGAAGATGAATTCATCGATGTAGACAATAAATACAACATACTTGCTTATAATCGAGGTCCTGAAAATATCTTGATATAATACCAACAAAGAATATTGTTCAAAATAATATGCTTACCATTTCGTACTAAAGTTATAAAGTTTCGAGCCACTGTTTTCCTTGTGCAAACATCTTGAAGGTTGACACTTACATTAACGGTACCATACAAGATATTGGTAAGGTAAGGACTATATTCTGCAAAGAAATTAAACAACAAATTAAAAAAAAATGCAAAAACAATATACTAAATTATGATAATTAAAAAAAAACAAAGACTAAAAACTGACAAATAGTTCAATCTAACTAAAAGGCATAAAAACGTTCAATTATAGAAACATGTCAAGGCTATAAGATTTTTGATAGGATTCAGTGATACTTTACTGAAACCTGGAAGTGTAACTATGTTTCTATACCAGCAGTGTACTATTTATACAATTTTTTTTTCAGACCAGCAAAGTTCGTGGAAAAAGATATCAAAAGTTAATTTATTTAAAAACAAACAATAATGAGGGTGGTTTTTAACGACCTTGTCTACCCATGAGGGTCTTGCACGGTCGGTAATAAACAATTTATAATACATAATTTATATATATGAGCGCCCTAGTTAAGAATTTGAGAGTAAACTCTACAAAACAAGAATTCGAAACGCATGCATACAAGGATTTGAAATGCAGTCAGTCACATTTTTCATAAATTATGTAAATTTCAGGTGATGATAAAACAATATATATATTGTGACCATCATACACTGTTCTGCATCTCCTTCATAATTTGGGTGTTGTCTTTGTCATAAATCAGGCCGTTTCTATTCTCGTTTGAATTCTTTCATTTCATGTCGGTGCCTTTTAAAGCTGACTGAACGGTATGGATTTCGCTGATTGTTGAAAGGGATGACTTATAGTTGCTAACATCCACGTCATGTGTACTCGAGTGGAGAGTTATCTCATTGGCAATCGCACCACATCACCTTATTTTTATGTAGCTTCATTTCAAAGTAGCAACGGGTATCGTCTGTTTAGCCAGCTGTTTTTTTTTAAGCTCCACTGATGAGTCTTCTGCAGACGGAACTTGCGTCTGGAGTACAACATTATAAGTTTGGTATTTTTAAGGACTCTTTGCTTACGCAAGTTTTAGACACGAAAGTTTCACGGTATATTTAATCACAAGTTTCCCGTGGAGAACATCAACAGTTTTTCTACACGGTAACTCTAACCTTTATTTTTCATGTCTTGAAAATAACCTTGGGGAGTTGCTAGATTGCTCGTACTGGCATTTTATATTTTAAATACTATAAGTAAAATCCATTATATTGGCAAATGATGAAGATAGGTGTATTAGTTACCTGTCAACTGATAGTAGTATGCAATATAGCTGTCAACCATAGTCAGTTCTATACAAAGAAACAGGTTAATGGTAGAATTAGCGAATGACAGTTTTGTTGTCGATCTAAAATCATAAAATGAATAAGAAATAGCAAAACACAATCAATATTTTTGTCGTTGGGTTACTGTCTCAAGGACGTTTATCCCACAACTTCCTTTATTCACATTTCCCTTACCGAGGCCTGTTCTGTATTTATTCTTTGACATAAGTTGCTAAGATAATAATACATTAATGTATTGTACAACATACAATTCGTAGGTAAACGTAAAGTCAGAATTTTGGAATGCCAAGTTTTTTTATCTTTCAAAGTTTATGTTTGTCTGTAAGGTATAATTCATCTCCTTTGTTTTTTAGCTATATATTTCTAAACTTTGACAAACAATACAGAATAAAGAAAAGAGTATTGTGAAAAATGAAGAAAAAACATAAAGAGAAGCATGTCTTAAATAACAAAACCTCCGATACTTTTGTATAATCAAATCATAACACAATTGAAACACTGGAATGGTTTTCAGGTCTATTTGATTCATGTGTTCTATTGAAACAATGGAATGGTTTTCAGGACTATTTGATGTATGTGTTCTATTGAAACAATGGAATGGTTTTCAGGACTATTTGATTTATGTGTTCTATTGAAACAATGGAATGGTTTTCAGGTCTATTTGATTTATGTGTTCTATTGAAACAATGGAATGGTTTTCAGGTCTATTTGATTTATGTGTTCTATTGAAACAATGGAATGGTTTTCAGGTCTATATGATTTATGTGTTCTATTGAAACAATGGAATGGTTTTCAGGTCTATTTGATTCATGTGTTCTATTGAAACAATGGAATGGTTTTCAGGTCTATTTGATTCATGTGTTCTATTGAAACAATGGAATGGTTTTCAGGTCTATTTGATTCATGTGTTCTATTGAAACAATGGAATGGTTTTCAGGTCTATTTGATTCATGTGTTCTATTGAAACAATGGAATGGTTTTCAGGTCTATTTGATTTATGTGTTCTATTGAAACAATGGAATGGTTTTCAGGTCTATTTGATTTATGTGTTCTATTGAAACAATGGAATGGTTTTCAGGTCTATATGATTTATGTGTTCTATTGAAACAATGGAATGGTTTTCAGGTCTATTTGATTTATGTGTTCTATGTACCATACTATCGTGTCCTTTATATGACGAATTTAGAAAAAAAATATTTGATAAAGCAACACATTTTAATAGTGATTTTTTGTCTTTTGATGATAAACAGAAATTAGGGTTTTTATTTACAGATATTAATATGATTCGTAGTTTATAGAATTATTATTTTAAATAGACGTAGAAATGTTTTATACTGTAAATAGTGTTCTTATTAATATGTTTTATAATAGACGAATTCTCTATAATTTTTAATGTTATAGTCCTTTATAATTCTGTACAGAATGGCTCTCTTTTTATATCTATATATTTTTACACTAAATGTAGTGTTGTATTATATATTATTGAGAGATGAGACTTAAATAAAATATTGAATTGAATTGAATTGAATACTATATATATATGTGTTGGTGATCACGGCAAGTCAAGTCTACACTGTACTTTTATGGTGCATCGTGAGGCCAAAATTCATGTGACGTTATAAACGATATGGAAATAATTATATAAAAATATCAAGTTTATCAGATATATGTGTTTTATGTACCGTAATAAATATTTGTTGTCTTGGTGATAGAAGCAAGTAAAGTCCAAACTTTCAGGTAAGGCATCGTGAGGCAGAAGATCATATGACGTCATAAACGATGAGTTATAGAATGTTACATCTCCTCTGTCAGCTCCCAACCAGTTTCCAATTAAATCAGAAGGGAAACTGCATTGACAGTCTATAAAAAGTATAATTGAAAAGAGAAAAAAGTCAGCCCTATGTTTTTATGTATAGATTTTTTTTTCTTATGTATTATCAAGCCTTAAAAAGTTTACTTAAAATATATGTCAAAAGGTGATTTTTTTATCATCATAGCGATTTATTGCGATGAAATTCTAAATGGAGTGAAAATAGTAAAACTTTCATAGAAAAATGGATAGAAATAAATTATTGTAATTATAACAGGACAACAAACGTTAAAATAAAGCAGGTTTACGAAAGTATTAGAAAAGGAAACATGTTCAAGTTTACGGAATTTCTTAACTTAACTAGATATATATTAATTGTTAGGGATCGTAATTTCTAAAGAATAAATTATAGTTTTATGCTTTGCTAAAAAAATAGAAAGTAACAATACTTACCCACACTGATTAAAAAAATCAGACTTATCACACAAAATCCTTCAACAATTGTCATCACTATCATCATTATTATATTAAAAAAAAATGTTTTGAAAATTAGAAAAAAAAGTTACAAAGTAACTCATTCGGATTAAATAAAAACAAATATGATAGAATCAATTAAAGTTTATTTAAATTTAATCTTGTCCCTTTAAACTGAAAACACCCATATTAGTTTCTCACATAAGAGATTTTTGTTGATTAAAACTATGATTTTACTGATAATAATGTGCAAGTAATAAGTTATGTTTTAATTACTTTATCAGCACTGATTACACGCATATTACATTTTGTTTGTAATGGGAAACTTTGAATAATACAATTGATTCAGTATTGGATATTCAGTTTGTAAAGTATCAAAATTATTTTGATAGCATATTTATGAAATGAATAATCTTTAAAAAGAATCGAGAATTGGAATCAATCGACATAAGAAAATGGATGCTTTTAAAATGTCATATTGTTACACCTGAAGCTTGTTTCTCATTCTCAAGTTTCTGCATTTGTTCATGGAACTTCTGATTTTTAAACTGACTTTGATATACTAATTTTTATAAATAATTCTAAAAAACAAATATCATTAAACCCTGACAATCACTGGAAATAGGATAACATATGTATTAGAGTTAACATACTAAGGCCTTCAAAATACAAGTTATGTACGTAAATGGTTCTTCCATGTTTTATACACTACAACCTACCCAACAATCCAATCATTCAATTTAATTTTCTTCTTCGAATTAATTTTAGCTTTGATGTATTTTGATATTGTCCTATAACTTATGTGTCATTGCACTGGTTGTCTCTAAGCTGTCGATATTTAAAAGGAAAACAACGCTCAGTTTGATTGAAAAATAATAAAGAGAAAACAAAAATGACATAAATAAAGGCAACAGTAGTATACCGCTGTTCGAAACTCATAAATCGATAGAGATAAAAACAAATCCGGGTTACAAACTAAAACTGAGGGAAACGCATCAAATATAAGAGGAGAACAACGACACAACAAAAACACAACATTAAAATGTAACACACACAGAAACGAACTATAATATAACAATGGCCATTTTCCTGACTTGGTACAGGACATTTTAAGAAAAAAATGGTGGGTTGAACCTGGTTTTGTGGCATGCCAAACCTCCCGCTTTTATGGCAACGTCAAACACAACACCAAAACGACAACATCACATGACAGGACCACAATACAAATAAATGGGAGAACATATAGGACAAAGAAACACACGAATAATAGCTAACAAAAGGTACTAGGCTTAAAATTCAATACGTCAGACGTGCGTCTCGTCCACACAACTCGTCGACCAACCAGTGACGCTCAGATGGAAAAAGTTTGAAAGCCAAAAAAAAAGTACAAAGCTGAAGAGCACCGAGGACCAAAACTTCAAAAAAGTAGCGCCTAACACATAAGTGACCTAACTTCAGATTATTTATACACTTGTCATCTTCTTTGATAATTGTAATTGAAAACCCAAGTGCGTGCAGATTTTGTAACCACTGTTATACAGCTATATTAATTTGAAGTCACGTTCAGTTTGTTGGAAATAAACTTGTCTTTTGTTGAGAGAATGGCAAGCTCTTAATACATAGACAAAACCATCATTCATGTTCAGTAAGATATAATTTTAATACTGATTTCAATAAACAAACTTTTCATTTAGACAATTTCACTTTCTAAGTATATCTTTGAGCAAAACTCCAAAATACAATGCTATTTTTTTTCGTCTAGTTTGCTTACAAGGCATCGGTATTTTAAAATGACTTACTAATTGTAGGAGGTTCAGAGTTCCATAAAACTTGATGGATTACGAACTTATTTCTATCTTTTTGTTTATTCCGTAAACAACACGATGGGCGCCACATTTGGCGCAGGATCAGATTACCCTTCCGAAAGCACCAGATACCATCATGGATTTTGATGGGGTTTGTGTTGCTCAGTCTTTAGTTGTGTATATTTTGTTTTGGATGTGTTTTGTTTTTCTTATTTTGTTGTGGTATTGTCAGTTTGTCTTCGAGTTATATTTTTTTATTTTCCCTGTGGTATTTTCTGCCACTGTTTTAAACTCGAATTATGGCTATTTTCCTGTTCGTTTCCATTTTTGTATCCGTTATAGTTTTCTACTAGTTGTTAAGCGGTTTTGAGGCTTCGTATTTATCATTCGTTTTGAGTTTCGATGAGAGTATAAGCATTATTCCAAGAAAATATAGTAGTTTCATCGGTTATACACAACTACAGAGGTAAATGTCAGCGTCTAAAATGTAAGCTAAATGATAATTACAAATATAACAATCAGAACAAAGCTAAAAGTTTTATTACTGACAAAAACAAACCCACGAGATGCAAGATTTGAAATGTTCAGAGTCCAAGAAATAAGTAATGATGTGGCAGTAAAGACAAGAAAACGGAAATAAGCAACAAAGAACTATTTAATTCTGCAAAGCGTCTCTACGATTTTGAACTCTTTTGTAAAATTCACGACCTAATAAAACTGTTATTATATTTGATAGACTGTGAAATTTTGCATAAAAAAATCTACTAAACAACTTCTTCCCCCAATTCTACATCTTTGCATATAGTCAGGTAAACCTGATAAGGCCTCGATCTTAACTTTCGCTTACATTTATTACAATGCATTGCATCTGTATACTAACACGAAACTTTAGACTGATTCTAACTAAGCTTTATTTCTATGTAATAAAGATAAAACATATACACCAAATGCTAATTAATAATACATGTTTCAACGTTCATATACATTGTTAATACACCTTATCGCTATTTGTCCGCCATTACTGGACATCATAAAGGTTCCCGTAAAATTTTGACGTCACAATAAAAAATGTCTGACGCCACAAAGGAAAAGTGATTGATGTGTGGCGTTAAAAGTTCAAGTGTCGCAGATTCCTAAATAGCGATAAGGTCTATATGTTTAAATTTAAAAAATTGCATGTTATATAGCATTGCTATTGGACATTGGCCCAGAATGAAAGCTGTATAAACTAACACCAGACGGTCTTCGGGGCAGTTTCCCTTTCATGTAATCATCAAATGTATCGTGATATAATGGTTCCACTTTTGCAATCGGTTGTAATGTTTTTGAGGGAACCCATTGTGGATCAAACAAGGGAAAGAAATTTAAGGGCTTTTTGGGTCTAAAATTGTAAAGTTGAGCTGGTTTTATGACACTTGGAACAAATGTAATTTTTTGAACTATATCAGGTTTTCCAGTCCCGTCGTCAACGATTGGCGGAGGCTTCTTCCTTCGTTTTGGAAGTTTGATTTTCTTGCATATACATCCATATTTCCGAAAGCAATATCTTGCCAATAATATGGCTAGAATAAGCAGTAGGATGAATGGTAGAATTAGCAGCATGTACAGCCAAGCCAGGTTGGGAGGAACTTCTGGTGTTGCTACAATATATCAAAGTAATAACATGTAAACTAAATTTCATTTAAATATAACATTTATTTCGAATTTAAAAAAAATGTTGGTTTTTTGAAAATTTTATGAATCATTTATAACTACGTGTCGATAGCGATCTTTGAACAATATTTGATGTAATTTTAAAGTAATAATCTTTTTTTTTTTGCATATATAAACGTAAAAAGTTTCGCCGAGATGTCACGTGTTGTGTTAAGCTTCAAACTACCAATCTATTACGAGGGTCTGGATGGGGTTTACAGAAAAGAAAATTATGGGCAAAACGTGCAGAATAAAGGGAAAGAAAGAGAATAGAGATAGAGAAAAGAATAGTCTAAACAGAAGGAAAAGAATAATAGGTTGCTATCATATAAAGAATAGAGATCAATTGACAAAATAAATAAAGAATAGAGAAAAATGATTTGAAAATAAAGATAAGAAGAAATCCCCAGATCCTAAAGAATGTTACTTGACTTTTCCCAAGTATTAGTTGATTTGAAACATCTTAAAATATTGTCTATCAATCTTTTTTTAAGCAACTTTTTACGTTGAATATTAAACTTTATGACTGGCTATTTGTACTTACTAGGAATGATAACCTCACATGTACCTGAAACGAAGATGGTCAAGGTTAAGATGACATAAACAAGTAAATTTATCTTTATTTTAAGATGATGGCCTCATTATCCAAAGCTAATCTTCCTGAGGGTCCTCAAAACATCCCAGATATACATACGATATACAATATATAAAGACAATAGTACATTATTAACACTTAAATGCATATTCATGTTATTATTTACACCAAAAGCTTCAACAAAGAATCCAGGAATTACTTATTCAAAAGAAGTTAAAAAAAAATATTTTTTAAACTGTTTTAAACCGATTGTGTCTTATCCCGATTTTAATATTTTGACAAAGTGTGAATTCAGATGGCGAGTGATGCATGCATCGCAGGGGGAGCTTACCCCGTCTTGCTACTTTTGGAGTTAATGCGATTCCAAACTAGAATAAACACTAATGATGAAGGTTGTTTTTGTCGTTCTTTTTGTGAAATTAGTAAGTACAAACTATAAAATTATCATATAATGTTTCTAAAACATATAACACTGTGAATATTAAGAATAAAACAACTTATATAACATTAAGATACACGCCAATGGAAGAAAATTCCAACAACACGAAAATACAAAGGACAAAAACCTTTATGTTTATTTAAGTGGGTTAAATAAACAGTTATCTGTAGGTACTGAAAGATTACTCTGCTTTCGTCAGTCTTTTGTGTTTTTGTTGGAGGTTACAATGTTTTAATAAGCCGAATAAACGTACTAATTATATCCCATACAACAAGTTTAACGCCACCTGTTTCAGCTTCAGAAGATGTTGTTGTATTACCGCAGAACTGTGGAGTTTCTGTAGCATAAATTGTATCACCAGTTCTTCTGAATGCCTATATTTTAAACAGGATCAGGATTATGTTATAGTTAAGTAATTTGAATAATAAAATACAGGAAAACGTACATATGTTTTTAGAATAGAAAAGGTACAACCCATTTGTAGGTTTTAAACACGCAGCAAAAACAAAATATCGAAAACAGAAACATAGCACACATATAACTCTCATAAATATTGCAATCTTACTTCAGATTGACCGGTTTTAAAAAAAATATTTCAATGAATACAAATCAGTTTACTTAGCCAATGCCACCAGGATGAAAGTAATTTCCCTTTGACACTTAGAATATTTAATGCATTGAAAAAATCAAATTCAAAATCAATATTAAAAGTTCGACTTATAATTAATTTTAAATATATTAACATGATTGGTACTACTTAATTGTAAATGTACACTGTATAACGGGACAAATCTTAATTGTTGTTCAACACAAGTATCATCATTTGAATTTTGAAACGTACTAGACAGTAAAATGGATTGGTAGCCAATGGATCGTCGTTCCATATAGACAAGTATGTATCTGATCCGTCTGTTATAGCGTGTATACAACGGTATAGTCCTAGACCTGTAAGTATAAAGTGGTACATTACATAACAGACGTGTATACAACGGTATAGTCCTAGACCTGTAAATATAAAGTGGTACATTACATAACAGACGTGTATACAACGGTATAGTCCTAGACCTGTAAATATAAAGTGGTACATTACATAACAGACGTGTATACAACGGTATAGTCCTAGACCTGTAAGTATAGAGTGGTACATTACATAACAGACGTGTATATAACGGTATAGTCCTAGACCTGTAAATATAAAGTGGTACATTACATAACAGACGTGTATACAACGGTATAGTCCTAGACCTGTAAATATATAGTGGCACATTACATAACAGACGTGTATATAACGGTATAGTCCTAGACCTGTAAATATAAAGTGGTACATTACATAACAGACGTGTATACAACGGTATAGTCCTAGACCTGTAAATATAAAGTGGTACATTACATAACAGACGTGTATACAACGGTATAGTCCTAGACCTGTAAGTATAGAGTGGTACATTACATAACAGACGTGTATATAACGGTATAGTCCTAGACCTGTAAGTATAAAGTGGTACATTACATAACAGACGTGTATACAGCGGTATAGTCCTAGACCTGTAAGTATATAGTGGTACATTACATAATAGACGTGTATACAACGGTATAGTCCTTGACCTGAGAGTATCAAGTGGTACATAACATTACAGACGTGTATACAACGGTATAGTCCTAGACCTGTAAGTATATAGTGGCACATTACATAACAGACGTGTATACAGCGGTATAGTCCTTGACCTGTAAGTATATAGTGGTACATTACATAACAGACGTGTATATAACGATATAGTCCTAGACCTGTAAGTATAAAGTGGTACATTACATAACAGACGTGTATACAACGGTATAGTCCTAGACCTGTAAGTATATAGTGGTACATTACACAAAAGACGTGTATACAGCGGTATAGTCCTAGACCTGTAAGTATATAGTGGTACATTACACAAAAGACGTGTATACAGCGGTATAGTCCTAGACCTGTAAGTATATAGTGGTACATTACACAAAAGACGTGTATACAGCGGTATAGTCCTTGACCTGTAAGTATATAGTGGTACATTACACAAAAGACGTGTAAACAGCGGTATAGTCCTAGACCTGTAAGTATATAGTGGTACATTACATAACAGACGTGTATACAGCGGTATAGTCCTAGACCTGTAAGTATATAGTGGTACATTACATAACAAACGTGTATACAACGGTATAGTCCTAGACCTGTAAGTATAGAGTGGTACATTACATAACAGGCGTGTATATAACGGTATAGTCCTAGACCTGTAAGTATAAAGTGGTACATTACACAACAGACGTGTATATAACGCTATAGTCCTAGACCTGTAAGTATATAGTGGTACATTACACAACAGACGTGTATACAACGGTATAGTCCTTGACCTGTAAGTATATAGTGGTACATTACATAAGAGACGTGTATAGAACGGTATAGTCCTAGACCTGTAAGTATATAGTGGTACATTACATAACAGACATGTATACAACGGTATAGTCCTAGACCTGTAAGTATAAAGTGGTACAATACATAACAGGCGTGTATATAACGGTATAGTCCTAGACCTGTAAGTACAGAGTGGTACATTACATAACAGACGTGTATATAACGATATAGTCCTAGACCTGTAAGTATAAAGTGGTATATTACATAACAGACGTGTATATAACGGTATAGTCCTAGACCTGTAAGTACAGAGTGGTACATTACATAACAGACGTGTATATAACGATATAGTCCTAGACCTGTAAGTATAAAGTGGTACATTACATAACAGACGTGTATATAACGGTATAGTCCTAGACCTGTAAGTATATATTGGTACATTACATAACAGACGTGTATAGAACGGTATAGTCCTAGACATGTAAGTATATAGTGGTACATTACATAACAGACGTGTATACAACGGTATAGTCCTAGACCTGTAAGTATATAGTGGTACATTACATAACAGACGTGTATACAGCGGTATAGTCCTAGACCTGTAAGTATATAGTGGTACATTACATAACAGACGTGTATATAACGGTATAGTCCTAGACCTGTAAGTATATTGTGGTACATTACATAACAGACGTGTATATAACGATATAGTCCTAGACCTGTAAGTATAAAGTGGTACATTACATAACAGACGTGTATACAACGGTATAGTCCTTGACCTGTAAGTATATAGTGGTACATTACATAACAGACGTGTATATAACGGCATAGTCCTAGACCTGTAAGTATAAAGTGGTACATTACATAACAGACGTGTATACAACGGTATAGTCCTAGACCTGTAAGTATAAAGTGGTACATTACATAACAGACGTGTATACAACGGTATAGTCCTAGACATGTAAGTATAAAGTGGTACATTACATAACAGACGTGTATAGAACGGTATAGTCCTAGACATGTAAGTATAAAGTGGTACATTACATAACAGACGTGTATACAGCGGTATAGTCCTAGACATGTAAGTATTTAGTGGTACATTACATAACAGACGTGTATACAACGGTATAGTCCTAGACCTGTAAGTATAAAGTGGTACATTACATAACAGACGTGAATATAACGGTATAGTCCTAGACATGTAAGTATATAGTGGTACATTACATAACAGACGTGTATACAACGGTATAGTCCTAGACCTGTAAGTATATAGTGGTACATTACATAACAGACGTGTATACAGCGGTATAGTCCAAGACCTGTAAGTATATAGTGGTACATTACACAACAGACGTGTATACAGCAGTATAGTCCTAGACCTGTAAGTATATAGTGGTACATTACACAACAGACGTGTATACAGCGATATAGTCCTAGACCTGTAAGTATATAGTGGTACATTACACAACAGACGTGTATACAGCGATATAGTCCTAGACCTGTAAGTATAGAGTGGTACATTACATAACAGACGTGTATACAACGATATAGTCCTAGACCTGTAAGTATATAGTGGTACATTACATAACAGACGTGTATACAACGGCATAGTCCTAGACCTGTAAGTATATAGTGGTACATTACATAACAGACGTGTATATAACGGTATAGTCCTAGACCTGTAAGTATATAGTGGCACATTACATAACAGACGTGTATATAACGGTATAGTCCTAGACCTGTAAGTATAAAGTGGTACATTACATAACAGACGTGTATACAGCGATATAGTCCTAGACCTGTAAGTATATAGTGGTACATTACATAACAGACGTGTATACAACGGTTTAGTCCTAGACCTGTAAGTATATAGTGGTACATTACATAACAGACGTGTATACAACGATATAGTCCTAGACCTGTAAGTAAATAGTGGTACATTACATCACAGACGTGTATACAACGATATAGTCCTAGACCTGTCAGTATAAAGTGGTACATTACATAACAGACGTGTATATAACGATATAGTCCTAGACCTGTAAGTATAAAGTGGTACATTACATAACAGACGTGTATATAACGGTATAGTCCTAGACCTGTAAGTATATAGTGGTACATTACATAACAGACGTGTATATAACGGTATAGTCCTAGACCTGTAAGTATATAGTGGTACATTACATAACAGACGTGTATAGAACGGTATAGTCCTAGACCTGTAAGTATAATGTGGTACATTACATAACAGACGTGTATACAACGGTATAGTCCTTGACCTGTAAGTATATAGTGGTACATTACATAACAGACGTGTATAGAACGGTATAGTCCTAGACATGTAAGTATAAAGAGGTACATTACATAACAGACGTGTATACAATGGTATAGTCCTAGACCTGTAAGTATATAGTGGTACATTACATAACAGACGTGTATAGAACGGTATAGTCCTAGACATGTAAGTATATAGTGGTACATTACATAACAGACGTGTATACAGCGGTATAGTCCTAGACATGTACGTATATAGTGGTACATTACATAACAGACGTGTATACAACGGTATAGTCCTAGACCAGTAAGTATAAAGTGGTACATTACATAACAGACGTGTATATAACGGTATAGTCCTAGACATGTATGTATATAGTGGTACATTACATAACAGACGTGTATACAACGGTATAGTCCTAGACCTGTAAGTATATAGTGGTACATTACATAACAGACGTGTATACAGCGGTATAGTCCTAGACCTGTAAGTATATAGTGGTACATTACACAACAGACGTGTATACAGCGGTATAGTCTTAGACCTGTAAATATATAGTGGTACATTACACAACAGACGTGTATACAGCGATATAGTCCTAGACCTGTAAGTATAGAGTGGTACATTACATAACAGACGTGTATACAACGATATAGTCCTAGACCTGTAAGTATATAGTGGTACATTACATAACAGACGTGTATACAACGGCATAGTCCTAGACCTGTAAGTATATAGTGGTACATTACATAACAGACGTGTATACAACGGTATAGTCCTAGACCTGTAAGTATATAGTGGCACATTACATAACAGACGTGTATATAACGGTATAGTCCTAGACCTGTAAGTATAAAGTGGTACATTACATAACAGACGTGTATACAGCGATATAGTCCTAGACCTGTAAGTATATAGTGGTACATTACATAACAGACGTGTATACAACGGCATAGTCCTAGACCTGTAAGTATATAGTGGTACATTACATAACAGACGTGTATACAACTGTATAGTCCTAGACCTGTAAGTATATAGTGGCACATTACATAACAGACGTGTATATAACGGTATAGTCCTAGACCTGTAAGTATAAAGTGGTACATTACATAACAGACGTGTATACAGCGATATAGTCCTAGACCTGTAAGTATATAGTGGTACATTACATAACAGACGTGTATACAACGGTTTAGTCCTAGACCTGTAAGTATATAGTGGTACATTACATAACAGACGTGTATACAACGATATAGTCCTAGACCTGTAAGTATATAGTGGTACATTACATAACAGACGTGTATACAACGATTTAGTCCTAGACCTGTAAGTATATAGTGGTACATTACATAACAGACGTGTATAGAACGGTATAGTCCTAGACCTGTAATTATATAATGGTACATTACATAACAGACGTGTATAGAACGGTATAGTCCTAGACTTGTAAGTATATAGTGGTACATTACATAACAGACGTGTATAGAACGGTATAGTCCTAGACCTGTAAGTATATAGTGGTACATTACATAACATACGTGTATACAACGGTGTAGTCCTTGACCTGTAAGTATATAGTGGTACATTACATAACAGACGTGTATACAACGGTTTAGTCCTAGACCTGTAAGTATATAGTGGTACATTACATAAAATACGTGTATACAACGGTATAGTCCTAGACCTGTAAGCATATAGTGGTACATTACACAACAGACGTGTATACAGCGATATAGTCCTAGACCTGTAAGTATATAGTGGCACATTACATAACAGACGTGTATACAGCGATATAGTCCTAGACCTGTAAGAATATAGTGGTACATTACATAACAGACGTGTATACAACGCTATAGTCCTAGACCTGTAAGTATATAGTGGCACATTACATAACAGACGTGTATACAGCGATATAGTCCTAGACCTGTAAGTATATAGTGGTACATTACATAACAGACGTGTATACAGCGGTATAGTCCTAGACATGTAAGTATATAGTGGTACATTACATAACAGACGTGTATATAACGGTATAGTCCTAGACCTGTAAGTATATAGTGGTACATTACATAACAGACGTGTATACAGCGGTATAGTCCTAGACCTGTAAGTATATAGTGGTACATTACATAACAGACGTGTATACAGCGGTATAGTCCAAGAACTGTAAATATAAAGTGGTACATTACATAACAGACGTGTATATAACGGTATAGTCCTAGACCTGTAAGTATAAAGTGGTACATTACATAACAAACGTGTATACAACGATATAGTCCTAAACCTGTAAGTATATAGTGGTACATTACATAACATACGTGTATACAACGATATAGTCCTAGACCTGTACGTATATACATTGTTAGTATATAGTGGTACATTACATAACAGACGTGTATACAGCGGTATAATTCTAGACATGTAAGTATATAGTGGTACATTACATAACAGACGTGTATACAACGCTATAGTCCTGGACCTGTAAGTATATAGTGGCACATTACATAACAGACGTGTATACAGCGCTATAGTCCTAGACCTGTAAGTATATAGTGGTACATTACATAACAGACGTGTATACAGCGGTATAGTCCTAGACCTGTAAGTATATAGTGGTACATTACATAAGAGACGTGTATAGAACGGTATAGTCCTAGACCTGTAAGTATATAGTGGTACATTACATAACAGACATGTATACAACGGTATAGTCCTAGACCTGTAAGTATAAAGTGGTACAATACATAACAGGCGTGTATATAACGGTATAGTCCTAGACCTGTAAGTACAGAGTGGTACATTACATAACAGACGTGTATATAACGATATAGTCCTAGACCTGTAAGTATAAAGTGGTATATTACATAACAGACGTGTATATAACGGTATAGTCCTAGACCTGTAAGTACAGAGTGGTACATTACATAACAGACGTGTATATAACGATATAGTCCTAGACCTGTAAGTATAAAGTGGTACATTACATAACAGACGTGTATATAACGGTATAGTCCTAGACCTGTAAGTATATATTGGTACATTACATAACAGACGTGTATAGAACGGTATAGTCCTAGACATGTAAGTATATAGTGGTACATTACATAACAGACGTGTATACAACGGTATAGTCCTAGACCTGTAAGTATATAGTGGTACATTACATAACAGACGTGTATACAGCGGTATAGTCCTAGACCTGTAAGTATAAAGTGGTACATTACATAACAGACGTGTATACAACGGTATAGTCCTAGACATGTAAGTATATAGTGGTATATTACATAACAGACGTGTATACAACGATATAGTCCTAGACCTGTAAGTATAAAGTGGTACATTACATAACAGACGTGTATATAACGGTATAGTCCTTGACCTGTAATTATGTATTGGTACATTACATAACAGACGTGTATAGAACGGTATAGTCCTAGACATGTAAGTATAAAGTGGTACATTACATAACAGACGTGTATACAGCGGTATAGTCCTAGACATGTAAGTATTTAGTGGTACATTACATAACAGACGTGTATACAACGGTATAGTCCTAGACCTGTAAGTATAAAGTGGTACATTACATAACAGACGTGAATATAACGGTATAGTCCTAGACATGTAAGTATATAGTGGTACATTACATAACAGACGTGTATACAACGGTATAGTCCTAGACCTGTAAGTATATAGTGGTACATTACATAACAGACGTGTATACAGCGGTATAGTCCAAGACCTGTAAGTATATAGTGGTACATTACACAACAGACGTGTATACAGCAGTATAGTCCTAGACCTGTAAGTATATAGTGGTACATTACACAACAGACGTGTATACAGCGATATAGTCCTAGACCTGTAAGTATATAGTGGTACATTACACAACAGACGTGTATACAGCGATATAGTCCTAGACCTGTAAGTATAGAGTGGTACATTACATAACAGACGTGTATACAACGATATAGTCCTAGACCTGTAAGTATATAGTGGTACATTACATAACAGACGTGTATACAACGGCATAGTCCTAGACCTGTAAGTATATAGTGGTACATTACATAACAGACGTGTATATAACGGTATAGTCCTAGACCTGTAAGTATATAGTGGCACATTACATAACAGACGTGTATATAACGGTATAGTCCTAGACCTGTAAGTATAAAGTGGTACATTACATAACAGACGTGTATACAGCGATATAGTCCTAGACCTGTAAGTATATAGTGGTACATTACATAACAGACGTGTATACAACGGTTTAGTCCTAGACCTGTAAGTATATAGTGGTACATTACATAACAGACGTGTATACAACGATATAGTCCTAGACCTGTAAGTAAATAGTGGTACATTACATCACAGACGTGTATACAACGATATAGTCCTAGACCTGTCAGTATAAAGTGGTACATTACATAACAGACGTGTATATAACGATATAGTCCTAGACCTGTAAGTATAAAGTGGTACATTACATAACAGACGTGTATATAACGGTATAGTCCTAGACCTGTAAGTATATAGTGGTACATTACATAACAGACGTGTATATAACGGTATAGTCCTAGACCTGTAAGTATATAGTGGTACATTACATAACAGACGTGTATAGAACGGTATAGTCCTAGACCTGTAAGTATAATGTGGTACATTACATAACAGACGTGTATACAACGGTATAGTCCTTGACCTGTAAGTATATAGTGGTACATTACATAACAGACGTGTATAGAACGGTATAGTCCTAGACATGTAAGTATAAAGAGGTACATTACATAACAGACGTGTATACAATGGTATAGTCCTAGACCTGTAAGTATATAGTGGTACATTACATAACAGACGTGTATAGAACGGTATAGTCCTAGACATGTAAGTATATAGTGGTACATTACATAACAGACGTGTATACAGCGGTATAGTCCTAGACATGTACGTATATAGTGGTACATTACATAACAGACGTGTATACAACGGTATAGTCCTAGACCAGTAAGTATAAAGTGGTACATTACATAACAGACGTGTATATAACGGTATAGTCCTAGACATGTATGTATATAGTGGTACATTACATAACAGACGTGTATACAACGGTATAGTCCTAGACCTGTAAGTATATAGTGGTACATTACATAACAGACGTGTATACAGCGGTATAGTCCTAGACCTGTAAGTATATAGTGGTACATTACACAACAGACGTGTATACAGCGGTATAGTCTTAGACCTGTAAATATATAGTGGTACATTACACAACAGACGTGTATACAGCGATATAGTCCTAGACCTGTAAGTATAGAGTGGTACATTACATAACAGACGTGTATACAACGATATAGTCCTAGACCTGTAAGTATATAGTGGTACATTACATAACAGACGTGTATACAACGGCATAGTCCTAGACCTGTAAGTATATAGTGGTACATTACATAACAGACGTGTATACAACGGTATAGTCCTAGACCTGTAAGTATATAGTGGCACATTACATAACAGACGTGTATATAACGGTATAGTCCTAGACCTGTAAGTATAAAGTGGTACATTACATAACAGACGTGTATACAGCGATATAGTCCTAGACCTGTAAGTATATAGTGGTACATTACATAACAGACGTGTATACAACGGCATAGTCCTAGACCTGTAAGTATATAGTGGTACATTACATAACAGACGTGTATACAACTGTATAGTCCTAGACCTGTAAGTATATAGTGGCACATTACATAACAGACGTGTATATAACGGTATAGTCCTAGACCTGTAAGTATAAAGTGGTACATTACATAACAGACGTGTATACAGCGATATAGTCCTAGACCTGTAAGTATATAGTGGTACATTACATAACAGACGTGTATACAACGGTTTAGTCCTAGACCTGTAAGTATATAGTGGTACATTACATAACAGACGTGTATACAACGATATAGTCCTAGACCTGTAAGTATATAGTGGTACATTACATAACAGACGTGTATACAACGATTTAGTCCTAGACCTGTAAGTATATAGTGGTACATTACATAACAGACGTGTATAGAACGGTATAGTCCTAGACCTGTAATTATATAATGGTACATTACATAACAGACGTGTATAGAACGGTATAGTCCTAGACTTGTAAGTATATAGTGGTACATTACATAACAGACGTGTATAGAACGGTATAGTCCTAGACCTGTAAGTATATAGTGGTACATTACATAACATACGTGTATACAACGGTGTAGTCCTTGACCTGTAAGTATATAGTGGTACATTACATAACAGACGTGTATACAACGGTTTAGTCCTAGACCTGTAAGTATATAGTGGTACATTACATAAAATACGTGTATACAACGGTATAGTCCTAGACCTGTAAGCATATAGTGGTACATTACACAACAGACGTGTATACAGCGATATAGTCCTAGACCTGTAAGTATATAGTGGCACATTACATAACAGACGTGTATACAGCGATATAGTCCTAGACCTGTAAGAATATAGTGGTACATTACATAACAGACGTGTATACAACGCTATAGTCCTAGACCTGTAAGTATATAGTGGCACATTACATAACAGACGTGTATACAGCGATATAGTCCTAGACCTGTAAGTATATAGTGGTACATTACATAACAGACGTGTATACAGCGGTATAGTCCTAGACATGTAAGTATATAGTGGTACATTACATAACAGACGTGTATATAACGGTATAGTCCTAGACCTGTAAGTATATAGTGGTACATTACATAACAGACGTGTATACAGCGGTATAGTCCTAGACCTGTAAGTATATAGTGGTACATTACATAACAGACGTGTATACAGCGGTATAGTCCAAGAACTGTAAATATAAAGTGGTACATTACATAACAGACGTGTATATAACGGTATAGTCCTAGACCTGTAAGTATAAAGTGGTACATTACATAACAAACGTGTATACAACGATATAGTCCTAAACCTGTAAGTATATAGTGGTACATTACATAACATACGTGTATACAACGATATAGTCCTAGACCTGTACGTATATACATTGTTAGTATATAGTGGTACATTACATAACAGACGTGTATACAGCGGTATAATTCTAGACATGTAAGTATATAGTGGTACATTACATAACAGACGTGTATACAACGCTATAGTCCTGGACCTGTAAGTATATAGTGGCACATTACATAACAGACGTGTATACAGCGCTATAGTCCTAGACCTGTAAGTATATAGTGGTACATTACATAACAGACGTGTATACAGCGGTATAGTCCTAGACCTGTAAGTATATAGTGGTACATTACATAACAGACGTGTATATAACGGTATAGTCCTAGACCTGTAAGTATATAGTGGTACATTACATAACAGACGTGTATACAGCGGTATAGTCCTTGACCTGTAAGTATATAGTGGTACATTACATAACAGACGTATATACAGCGGTATAGTCCAAGACCTGTAAGTATAAAGTGGTACATTACATAACAGACGTGTATATAACGGTATAGTCCTAGACCTGTAAGTATAAAATGGTACATTACATAACAAACGTGTATACAACGATATAGTCCTAAACCTGTAAGTATATAGTGGTACATTACATAACATACGTGTATACAACGATATAGTCCTAGACCTGTACGTATATACATTGTTAGTATATAGTGGTACATTACATAACAGACGTGTATACAGCGGTATAATTCTAGACATGTAAGTATATAGTGATACATTACACAACAGACGTGCATACAACGATATAGTCCTAGACCTGTACATTGTAAGTATAGAGTGGTACATTACATAACAGACGTGTATACAGTTACATTGAAAAGCAAAATGGTGCGTATTACTATATATACGTCATACTTAGTTATGAATAATGGAATAACATGTTTATAATGCAAACCTGATAAAGTTTTGTCTGTAGACGTTGTAGAACACGTTTCATTGTATGTAATGTTGATCAAAGTTTTATCTGTACAGACATCAAATACAGTGTCAGGACATGTCGATGCGTCCGCTTCACTTTCGTGCTGAATGGAAACATTACCAAACTGGGCCTGTAAATCTTCTGGACAAGTTATGTTTAGACTTCCATCAGCAATTGAACCTATGAGTCAAAAACAAAACTTGACTAAAGGTGGTTTTGTAACGTTGTATACAATGATTTCAATAAGTGGTGTTTTTTCTGGATTTAGCATTTAAAAATTTTGCAGTTTCTGATTGGTTCTCGCAAAGTAGATGATATTCATAATTGCACAAATAAGTTCACATGTTGTTACACGATATGGTCTTTAATGATATAGTGACGTTAATCAAACATCAATTATTCTCAACACAGTTATTTTGTTAGTAGTTTTGATGGTTTGATGGCTTTTTATTTTTCTTGCTTGTGGATTTTTTTTTTTTTTAGTTTTCTTCGTTCGTTATTTTATAATTTGGTGTTTATAGACTCTAATAAAAAATGTCAGCTTCAAGTCTCGTGTTGAATAACGCTAGACTATTCTGTCTTTCTACACCATATACAAATCAATAAGCTCGTGGTTATGGCTTACCAATGTTTAAAGAACATGATACAAAAACGCAGAGCAAAACGTTTTTGATGTAATGAAATGTCTAACTATTCTACAAGCCAAACATATACCTACCATCTCGAACTAATGTGATGAAAGTACGACTGACCAATGTCCTGCTGCACACGCTGCTAAAAGTAGCAGTGTTTGTACCATCCCCAACCATGTTATCTTGCAAATAGGGATCACGTTCTAATAGATAAATAAATTCATTGAAATAATTGATCATACTTAATCAATTAGCAATATAAAGATCTTCGTGTCTTGTCTATCTTTTTCGTATTTACATAATCATTTATCTGACGATCGAAATTTGGAAAGTGTTCTGTTCATTTACTAGTACGAGGTCAATACCACTACTACTGATTAGTTCACTCAATTATCATTAGCTCAGCAGTCTGTGCTTCGGTACTGACATGACTTATAGAATATGTTTCTAATTTTGACATTTTGATTTAAGAAATTACTCAGAAAGTAAGGTTCCAACTCCCCCAAGAAATGTTGACATCAGCTGATTTGATATTCTTTTTATATCCGTCTTGACCTTCATTAACAGGTGTGTGCTCCTTGCACAAAGAATTCTCCAACAGAGGTTCGAAGAAGAACGGCTGAAATCAACACTACGTAATTTTCACGGTCACCATGACGAATTAGTTGATTTTAGTCGATATGATTTGTATGTGTCTGAACTCACTAGCGACATGTTTTCGCGGTCTAAGTTCTTTCCATACCAGTATAGTCGTCTGATCTGAAATATTACTCATTGTGTCCTATTCCCGATTGTGACATTTTTAGTGTGAATTCGCATGGCGGTTGATGAATGAATAGCGGGAGACGCATCCGGTCCCGCTTCTTTTTGAAATTATTGCGATTCCCTCAGTTTCTTTTTGTTACCATGATTTGTCTCTTTCTATATAAAAATTAGAAGATGCGGTATGATTGCCAAGGAGACAAATTTCCACCAGAAACCAAATGACGTATCAATGAGCAGCTATAAGTCACCGTACAGCCTTCAACAATATCCAAACCATACCACACATGCAGCCACAAAAGGTCTCGAAATGACAAATCTAAAACAATTTAAACCAACTAACGACCTGATTTATGTACAAAACAATAAACGAAAAACAAAAATGAAACACAGCAACGATCGACAACCACTGAAGTACAGGCTCTTGATCATGACTTTGGACAGGCACATACATATTGGGCGGATTTAAACATGTTAGCAAGCGCCAAACACTTCTCATAACCTGAGACAGTGGTGTAACAGCACAAAACAAGAACAAACTGTAAAAAGCAGTTGAAAATGGTTTAACTAACCAGATCGATACAAAGCACAAAAAATCTGTTATTGGTTTACGAGATTTGAAAACGTTTAAACTACTGTCGCCTTAACTGGTCGTTAAGTATGTATACACTACTTGCTTTTAAATGTTTGAGTTTGGGTGTTGAAATTATTTAATGCAAACAGATGTAAAGTAAAGTTACAGAACCAGTTCGGCTTTAAATAAATCTTAATAATTATCAATGATCATTTGAATCTGAGGTCAAGTAGTTTTGGAGTGTTAAATATTTTGAATATCTTAGAAAAAAAACGTACTTTTGGTGGTCTTTTTAATTCGGTTGTCAGGTTTGACTTTTCAACTCTATACACTTAAGTTCCACACTATCTTTTCAATCAGATGTTCTCTTATTTGATTAAATGGTCCTTCAAAAAATCTGATTGTAAATTTATTTGATGCAATACACCTAAACGCTTTTTCTGTATTGAGAAAGGTTAATATGCTAAATATACCTACTGGAAGTCTGATGTACTGGAAGTACATCTATGTACGTTTCGGCAATAAAGTTTATTGACATTATATATAAATATATATGCATATGGGTACTAATGGCACCCTTTCAGTTGTGGACTTGTTACTGTATTGTTATGAATAAAAGTTTATGACCAGTTTAGTAAAAACTCGTCTAAATTCCATTTAACTAATAAAGTCAACAACACGTACCGTTATCTTGGTGATAATTTTGGTTAGATAATCAAGTACTTTATAAATATCATGAATATGCTGCCAAACATTACCAAACTGAACTTACTTTCAAATATAAACAGTTAGAATTGTCTATCCGTTTTTTAAATATTTTAGTTTCACGGAAAACTCAATTTATGAGAATGACGATAAAAGGGCCGATTTTTGGTTTTCTGTTGTTAATTTTCATTTTTTAGGAAGGCTGTGTTCTTTTGTCTCCATCTTAATGTGTTTTTATATCCCTACATGTTCGCTATGACCATGTCTGTAGTGAAATTATAGATTTCAATGAACGTAATCTTTTCATCCCTTGTAAATAATCAAGTCAGGTTTTGTTACTATAAATTACGTAACACCTTTACTAAATTCTGCCATATACACAATGATTTGATTTGAAAGTTTGGCTGATTTCAAACTGGATATCAATTCATAATTTTACACTGATGTTATTTATATAGCTCGTAAATTAAGATACGATCCATGTAAACTCATTGATTATTTCATAAACTAATTCTTAAAAGTAGGATAACAAAACTACCGAACTCCAAGAGAAATTCAAAACGGAAAGTTCTTTATAAAATGGCAAAATTAAAAGCTCAAACACATCAAACGAATGGAAAACAACTGTTTAAAAGGTTATCAATTTAATACTTAAATTAGATCTTTGAATATTGTTTTATCGGTACAAACACTGATTTCGTAATCAATAAATTAAAGAATAAATAATAGAATTGATATACAGCTATGACATTTACGGCCCTACATTCTGTCAATACTATTATTTTGCCATAGGATCGTGTTTTTTTACTGATTGATATCCTAATATTGGAAAAATATTATTGTCTTTGAACTAGCATTCAGAAAGAGTACTCTCAGATCCGTACTATGTTGTCTCGTATGAAAAAAAAATCAAGAGTTTGTAATAAATGCACTGTAAGTTGACTCCCTATCTTCATCCCAAGTATGAAACATTACACGTTATATCATTGGTTGTAATATATTCATTACTCACCTGTTAACTGGTAGTAATAGGCAACATCACTATCAACAACGTGTAATTCTATGCACATATAGAACTTAATTATCAAACCAAAAATGTTGTTCACTTGTTCTGCTCTGAAATAGTGAATAGTTTGTTATTTGTATCTGTATACCTAAAACCACCATTCAGTCTTTAAATTGAATTGTTTTAGAGTACATTTGTACGCAGTCATACATCACATGCATGAAAAAAGATGTGTTTGCCTTTCCAATAACGTTGTAACCATTATTATTCAGTTGCAGAGGAGGTATTTTCCTGCTCCAGTATTAACAAATTTTCAAAGTTATTGATTGTTTTCCAACTGTTTTGATTCAAGAGCTACTGACAAGTCTCGTGTAAACAAAACGAGCGTCTGGAGTATTACGTATTTAAAAGAGGGGCGAAAGATGCCAGAGGGACATTCAAACTCATAGATCGAAAATAAACTGACAACGCCATGGCTAAAAAAGAAAAAGACAAACAGACAAATAATAGTACACAAGACACAACATAGAAAACTAAAGAATAAGCAACACGAACCCCACCAAAAACTGGGGGTGATCTCAGGTGCTCCGGAAGGGTAAGCAGATCCTGCTCCACATGTGGCACCCGTCGTGTTGCTTATGTTATTACAAACCTGGTAAATAGTCAAATTCGGTAGGTCACATTCGTGAAAAGGGAACGGGATTGAAGTAACGATATAAGGAACATATTAAAGTATGGTATCTTTTGAGAGCTTTGACAACCATTAAACAATGCCAGTGTTGATAGACGTTTCAGATTCCTTCGCTGCATGAACTGCCATAAGTAAGTCATTGTTGGCAATTTAATGTTCATAACGTTAAAGTAATTAAAAATGCTAAGGTTTGTGTACTCACAGACAAAGTTGACCTAAACAACATTAGGGACAATTTGTTTTGGATTTTTTGTATTTTCGCTGTTCTTGCACTTCATTATTAATTTGGCCTTCCTACTGTTTTGATGTAAGTGCACCTGAAAACTTTCGTGTGTCCAAAAAGTGCATCTTTGGTACTAGATTATAATTTTTTAACTAACTTTGATAACTTTTAAACTCTCGATAAATGATATCAGTCTACAAGCAGTCGATCTATTTATTTCCAATATGAATATAAAAGACAATACAGAATACAGTTAAACGTTAATTCCGAGATATTGATTTGGTTGCTTGATATCTTCATTTTTAATGAGATCTCAATTAATCAATATGACAAAATGATTACAAAAATTATCAGTGTTAAGTATCGTTTTCTATTCTAATTTTAATTTTCGATTACCTCAAGAAGTATAAAGTCCCTTCACTGTTTTGCTCTTCGCAATAAAAGTGGAAAGAACTGACACCAGGAATAGTCACTTTATAAAATTGTATGTATGTAGAATTTACAAATGTCATGTCGCCTCGGTCAGCCCCTTTCCACACTCCTATAAGCTGTGATGGAAAATTACATTGACATGCTGAAAACGAAGGCAAACAATATAATTATTAGAAAATGTTATTAGTTGTCTGTATAAAAACTATTCACCAGAAGACAAATTACGCAAAAATAATGGAATTTTCAAACGAGAAACCAAACTGCCTGATTTATATCAAAACCAATAACCTGTGCTGTTTTGGGCAAAACGCTTAGGAATTTTGGGTCCACAATGCTCTTCAACTTCGTACTTTATTTGGCCTTTTTAATTTTTTTATTCAAGCGTCACTGGTGAGTCTTTTGAAGACGAAACCCGCGCCTGGCGTACAATATGTAAATCAAGGTATCTATGCTGAGTTTATTGTACATTATTAATTAAACACACAAGTGTTTGCACGATAAATCAAGAATAATTACCCCATTTACTGATGGATCATTGAGAAACTTACATCAAATCAGTAGTGGTATCCACCAGCAGTATTCTGCATTCGATGCGCTAAAGTAACCAGCTGAATGTTCATTGATAAGTATCAAAGTATAGGAAAACCTCGAGTACTCTTAGATAGGTACCTTGTGTTGTTTTGTGATGCTTTATTTAAATGGCATCGCCGTTTTGATGAGTCAAGACTTTACAACTGATTTATAATTTGTTCTTACACTTTTCTGTTACAGCACTTTCCCAAGAAAGGAGGGGGTTGTCCACTTACAAACATGTTTGACCCAGACACAAGAGTTATTTGATTGTCCCACGTCAGGGGCCTGTTAATCAGTGATTATCGCCATATTTGGGTTTCATTTTTCTTATTGGTCTAAGCTTAAAACAAGTCATTAGTATCTCTTTCGAATTGATTCACTTTTTTTGTACTTACTATGCGCAACATGACGGGTATCACATATTTATATACCTATATGGAGTTATTTTCTTTCAGAACGATAGGTCATTCTTTCGAAGAATCAACCCGGACGATACCATGTTTCAATGAAATATGCTCCAAGGCATAAAATAATGACCAGTGTGAGGTAATTATTCTCCTTGATTAAAATGCAAACTATAATTTACTTCAAAATTATATTCGTCTGATAGTTTCTGTTGCCGATTTGGGGATTTATTTTTCATTACACATGATAGGTGTAAAAAAAATCGTCATTGCCCGAATTTTAATTTTAGAAACAAATAATGTGAAGTTTTGATAATTTATCGCTACAATACAGATACATTATATATGCGAGATGAATTTTAATGTAAAACTTTCATAACACTTTAAAATAAAGCCAGATTTAACATATTCGTGTGTCAGATTTTGAAAATCTTATTGATTCACACTGAATAGGTTGATTGATTGATGGTTACTTAATGTCCAGTGGCAAATATTTCATGCATGTTCAGGACAATACACACTGAATAGGAAATCATACTGTGACCTACATGTATTGATATTCGTTTTCGTGTAACATGTACATGTATCACGATTTCGTGCCCCCTTCGTGTCAGTTCTTAACTTTTTTTACATTTATGTATACCTTTTACACTATCAAATGATTCTTTTATTCTATTGAATAACATTCACGTACCTCACAATGAGGTCGGGTGGGGGAAGGTATATAATTATATCCTGATTATCTGTTAGCAAAAATGTATTGCTATTCAAAAGAAAATCATTCTGAATATTTCATTCGATTCAATTAAAATTGTTGAAAAAATAATCACTATTCCGCGATAAAATGTCATTACAAATAGACAAAAAAAACATAGCACCTCACCCTTTCCATAAACTAAGTTGGTACAATAAATTACTTACAAAGTGTCTTGTATTTTTCATACACCGGTATCAGATGGTAACAATTCATTTGTGTCTTACTTAATGCAGTTACAGTAATATTTTTATTGTGTATGGATAATAATTTCTAAGGTTTATATCTAGATTAGTTAGTGAGTTTTATTTCACATTCTAAATGAGCCGTAGGGCGTATTAAAACCTGAACGCATTAGAAAGGAATATCCCACTTTAGTGTGGTGGGTAAAATAGGATGCTAAATTTTGCAAATCTTTATAAAAAACAATATTTCTTTTACGGCATATAAGTCAGATAATTCATATTTTAAGGTTTTTCTTGTCGTAGAACACCCCTCGGGTTATCTATAACGGAGCAGGATGCGCAAACCATTTTGGAAATCCTCAGATTATCCCCGGTATTGGTAGTGCTCGTATTGCAAAGTCGTTGGCTTTTAATGTATGGTTTTGAGGATGGTTGTTTTTACTTTTATTTTTTTTTTTCGTTTTTCTTCTTTTTAGAAATTAAAAATCAAACAATTTATTATAATAAATCCCCCAAGAAGATGAATTGTCGGTTCCTAAACCATGACTGAAAAAATAAATTTCTGAATATTTTCTTAAAAGTGCCTTTGTTAATAATTATCCCCTTTATTTTTGTTCGGGATATTGAGGATTGATCTAACAAATGCTTTATAACTTAATTTTTATAATTTTAAAATTTTGAGAATTAGAGGCAACATTGATTGGTAAGGTTTCAAAAGCATAAGTGATACAACTCTTACTGTACCAGATGCGCACTGGATCAATAAATGTCAAATCAGTGATAACGGAGTCAAAAAATATTTAATAAATCCAAAACCTTATATATATAGACAGTGTTAAAGATCTTATAAAACCAAAGTGGACCAAACGTATAGCCAAATCAGAAAATAGAATAAGAGCTTTGAACGAGGAAGATGCATTACTTGATTTAAAATGATTTCAAATACTTCCTAACAGCAAATTAGAAAAAAAACCCACTATATCTGAATTGTAATTCCAGTACCATAGTTCTTGGAATTGTGCTTATGATACCCTCAGAGACTACAATTCCACCAACAGAATGAACCCACTAGAAGCAAGATCTTGTTATTCCATATTGCATATACAAGTCAAGTTCAAAAACGGAGATTATCGCATTAATTCTAAACAACGCAAGTTCGAGTGCATAAACAGATATGCATGGATCTATCGCAAAACGGATCAACACTGTGTCAAAATGTCACGACATTCGTGATATCTTAAGAAATTTAAGATCTTTAATACTATTAAAGTGCCATTGATCCACAATGACATTTTTGACACTTGTTTTCGTGAGGGCCTTTGTGTTCATTAACTTAACTATAAGATGTATTAGGTCCTTCGACTTTTTTATTTTGAATTCCTTGCTGTTTTTTTTTCCAAATGTGACAAATGTTTTTGGTTAAAGTTAAAGACGACAAAGGACTGGAAACCACTATTGGTAAATAGTATTTGAAAAAGCGTATACTGTTTATATATATGGATCTTATTGTAAACTATAAACTGTATAGAGGAAAGTGTGAGGTAAACACAAATAAAACATCAACCCAATGACATAGTCTCATTTAAAAGAATTAACAATTAGTTTTTGTTCTATTGTTTTCAATCTTTACACCTCTATCTTTCTTACGGTTGCCACATGTTGGACAGGATCTGCTTACCCTTCTGCAGCTCCCTTGTTTTGTTTAAAAGGAGTTCGTGTTGCTCTTGCTTTAAATTTATGTCTTGTTCTTTGTGCTTTTAATGTGTCAATGCATGTTTTGTTTATACCGGTGACAGTATTGTCATAAAAAATGCGTTTCAAACGAATTGCAAAATCTCACATTTGGTTAAGTCTTATGATTAGAAATTTAAAATGACCGATGGTTTACGAATTGGTGTTGTCCTACGGTTAGATAAGAGTCAATTACAAATCAGCTCCTGTGTAATGACTTATCAATTGGATAAAGCTTATTTTATAGAAGTATCTGCCTAACCCTTCCGGAGCACCTGAGATCATCCTCCGTTTTTTGGTGGGGTTCATGTTGCTCAGTCTTTACTTTTTTATGTTATGTGGTTTGTAGAGTGTTTTGTCTTTTGGTCGTTTTTATTTTTTTTTTATTTTTCCATGGCGTTGTTAGTTTGTCTTCGACTTATAAGTTGACTATCCCTTTGGTATCTTCCGCTTCTTTCATAATTTAACCATCCGTTATATTACTACAACTGGGTCAATACTGCTGATGGTGCACTATCAGACCATGAGGGTACCATCTATTCAGTACTACGAATGTGATTCAGCGTTTACATAGTTGTGTAATGATTTTACTACAAAAGAGTGCAACTTATGTCATGTCTGTAATATTTGTTTTACGTAAATTGTTTTGTTATATATTAGGTCGTTAGTTTTTTCTCGTTTCAATTGTTTCATATTTTACATTTGATGGGACCTTTTATCGCTTTTATAGTATGGGTTTGTTTTATGGTTGAACGCCGTACGGTTACCTATGATTGGTTACTTCCATATCCAATTAACTCTAGTGTCTCATTGGCAATCATACAATATCTCCTGATTTTTATACTAATATAAGAATAGGGAGATATGGTATGATGGCCAATAAAAGAGAGGCAAAAGATACCAAAGGGACATTCAAACTCATAAGTCGAATATAAACTGACAACGCCATGGCTAAAAAAGAAAAAGACAAACAGACAAACAATAGTACATAAAACACAACATAGAAAACTAAAGACTGAGCAACACAAACCCCACAAAATACTGGGGGTGATCTCAGGTGCTCCGGAAGGGTAAGCAGATCCTGCTCCACTTGTGGCACCCGTCGTGTTGCTCATGTTAGTACAAACCGGTAATAAGTCTAATTCGGTAGGTAACATTCAGGAAAAGGGGACGGGATTGTAGTTACGACAGTAGGAACATATCCGCTATCATCTGTGAAATGGATATTCCGTAACGGTCAACCAACTCGTGATAGCGTCCGTAAAATTTACGAAGGGATGATTTCAACTTCACTACTTGGCACTCTTTGTTTAATAGCTTCCTTGTGAGCAGCAACCCTCTATTAAGGAAATCATGATAAGAAATACCAGCCCTGGAGTATCGTATCAATTGGGAGATATATAATCCGTATGCAGGCGCTGCTGGAATGTTGCTACATTAAAATGGAAAGTTCACAATTGGGAATCTGAAGTCATCTCTTTTGTCATAAAGTTTTGTTTTCAACCGACCCTCATTGTCAATTTCTAGATGTAAGTCAAGATATGAGCAGACCTAACTGTATCTGTTGTATCCTTTGTCTCAAGTTCGACGGGATAGATGCGTTCAACATAGTCACCAAATTTAGAATTATCGAATGAGGGAACATCATCTATGTAGCGATAAGACAACTATCCACCAAAGTTAAAATGAAGTGGATGAAAGCAATTATATGACACCGTAGGGCGTTCAACCATGAAACAAACCCATACCGTAAAGTCGGCTATAAAAGGATCCGACATGAAAAATATGAAATTATTTAATTGAGAAATCTAACGTCCGAATTAATAACAAAACAATTTACGAAAAACAAATATGAACCAACGACAACCACTGAACTACATACTGTTCTATTTATGTCATTTTGTTGTGTATGCTCCGAAAAAAATAATTTTGCGCCTTCTCCAAAAACTGTTGGTTCATAGCACAACTAATGAAGATTTTAAACAGCGTATCATAAACAATAACAGCAGTATACCTTGTGCACTTCAAGTTTCCTTTTTAATCAACATATTTTCTTTGAAATATCTTACAAAAGTACGACCTTACTGCTTCTACTTATAAAGGAAAGATAACCCGATTTCAATCTGCTTTTAAATAGATATAGTTTTTCTTTTACAGAAAACCTTATATCATTATCTTTAATAAAAAAAAAGCAATAACTGTGCTTTTAGTTCATGTTTTTATACAAATACATCAAGGTGCATTCAAAAAGCAAATAAATTATTCCGTATAAATGAAATTTAAATTCAATATTGAACCAATTACTGTATAATACATAAATCAATTGCATGCACAGAGAAACAAACTTGCGATTCGATATTGTGTTGATTATATTTACTATATACTCAGAAAAAAAAAATACAAAATCTGCTTTAGAAGCCTCACCAGCACTATACTTCTTAATTCATGTCTAAAGACAAGGAACATGATAAAACCGGTAATAAATAAAAATGGACAATCAAACATATTTGATCAGTTACATAGTATAATTAAAGTAAATATGATTACATGTAAACAAGATTCATAGCAGAAATCAAAGACTCGATAGCTCAATAGAATTATTTATGACCATAAACTATCATGAAATACCAGTAATGTTTTTGAAGATGAATGCCAATTATTTGGGATTTGATGGTCGCACAGATTTTGTTTTCTGAAGAAGCGTTAGAGAAACCATTTAATGTATTGAAAAATTGTAAACTATTGTAATCAAATGCATAATTTGCCAGTAAAGTCACAAAAAATCATTTAGAAAATAATGTTTTCTTATTTTATTGTTTCACTTCAATTCTGTTTACTATTTACATTTTTTGTGCATCAATAAAACCAGGAAGAATACTTCAGCAATTGTGAAAGAAACATAATACCGTTTTACATTGTAAAATCATACATATGTATTTCGACATCAACGGGTTCCGTTTTCTCCCGTTCACATAGTTATAATATATGTATACGTTGTTTTGCATCATTTTAACCACTTACCTGCTGTTGACAGTAGTGCAAAACCCCAACAAAGTCGAAGTAAATCATAAAAGAACATCTTGCTTTTCTTATATCCCAAACTTTTAAAACGTTATTTAAAATATTGCAATGTTATTTCACCAGATGTTGAATTTCTGTGAGTAATGAATATTGGAAAATCTGGACCTTCAAGATATTCAAAGATAAAAAATAAAGAACAGTTGGAAAATTCAGACAGAAACGTTATTGTTGATCAAGTAGAAGTACACTTATATTAACTTGTATAAGAATTCATTAGAACAATTAAGAGTCTATTTTCTATAACCACATATTACCATTTGCTTTCAGTCTCTATAGGGGGTTGAAATGATAACATCTCCTGTGCGTTTTAAACAGTAGTTCATCCATTTCTAATTAGACTTAAAACCCACCCATTCATTTACACGTTTGCTTTGTATTGTGGTCGTGGTTATGAGTAATTAACCCATACATCAGACACAAATCACTGATTTTATCGATCATTCACTTTAAAATGTATAACTTTGGTTTGTTATCTATTACTGTTTCATTACATTTTAAAATTTATTATTTCCGTAAAAAAATACACTACCTTTTATCTCATATAATATCAAAGCTATGACGATTTCTTTTTCAAGCAATTACAAAATCCCTAGATTTATTTGAAATGATAATTTTATCCATATCACAGCTATACATTTCTGTCGTAAACATATGATGCTACCAACAAAGATGAAATTTAGATAGTACAATGTGAATAAATAATTGTCATAAAGTTTTTTAATCCAACACTGAAGACATTCATATTTTTATTTGACTTATGTGAACATACATTATGCATTTATATACACTCATTATGGAGCTACATTTCAGTACACATGGTTCTCTGATCTGATACTTGTCAACGTACATAAATGATTTCGTTTCATACTCTAAAAATCTGACTGTTTTAAAATTCTTGCTTTATAAAACTATAGACATGAACTAATACAATTATATTGTTATCATACATTTTAAGAAATGCTTGCTTTATAAAACTATAGACATGAACTAATACAATTATTCTGCTATATATCTAAACACGCAATCGTTTGACTTTTTTATAAGCTATCTTAACTTTATCATTGTGCGTCTATACTCTACGTTTTGTTATTGAATTCCAACATGTAAATATGCATGTAGTTGATTCCAATCTTAATTGAACGCATTTAATAACCGAAAAAATAAAAAAACACCCAGCAAACAAAATAATTAACACCAGTCAGAGTAGAAAAGAAAAGCAATCATGTGTTAATGTAAATGCATAGATGAAAAATGTCCTTTTAAAGTTTTGAGTTGTTTTGGATTTATCAATTTTTTTTTTAATTTTCTCTTTCGTCTTTTGTGGTCATCAAAAATGATCTAGTTCTCTGAATAATGTTTCGTATATTCGAAGTTTGTTTCTTCTGTCCTCCCCCTCCCCAAAATACTTTACTTGATTTCACTATGCAGGAAAATTCGTTCTTCGTGTTTGCAATTTGTTCGTAGTTTAGGTCAATAAATAAGATAAAAATGAGCAACAATACCGATTTCACCAAATCACAGCTGTCTGTCTATCTTAAATATTATGAAAACAGTTACTAGTATTATTCTTCCAAGATAATATGTCTTCTTTATCTCTTTTACAGACAATGGCTTTGAGAGCGACACTGTTGGTTGTTCATTAGCAACTACTAATATTGATTGACTAATTGATTGATGTTTTACGCCACTTTCAATTATCTTTATGCTACCTTATGCCGGTTTTTTATTGGTGGGAGATGCCGGAGTACCCGGTAAAAACCAATGACCTTCATTAGAAAAACTGTCCAAAATAATGATTTATATCATCCATTCGTTTGATGTGTTTGAGCTTTTGATTTTGCCATTCGATTAGGGACTTTCCTTTTTGAATTTTCCTCGGAGTTCAGTATTTTTGTGATTTTACTTTTCATTATCAGCTAAAATCAAACACACCTCGCCACGAACTTGGTTTGAACTCACAACCTTGATGTTTACAGTTTAGTGAGCACTGTAGATGAACTTCTCGAAGCACTTGGTCACAGCGGACCCAGGGATGATAGAAGGTAAGTTAAAAAGAAACAAACATATTATGAAATAAACCATATATTAGAGGAAAAGTGTTTTAATTACTACTCTTTATCTGAAAGGTATTTTTAAAGTATATTCAACTACACTGTTACAATATGATATAGGACTAAATTTTATTTACAGAACAAAACGATGGAGATAAATATACAAAACAATACTTTCTGTAAATGTCTATTCCATATCTAAATCCTCATCAAAGACCCCAGAATCGAGTCTAAATAAACTAGTCTGCGAATAGCTACGACCAGACCGAAGATAATCCTCTATTGTATCAGAATACATAGGTCCAACCTTAGGTGTCAGCATTATAACTGGGATTTTTCTTTCTTTAAAAATAGCAGATATCATGGTAAAGTCTTGAACTGGCTGCTTTTGTTTAAACACATCAGGAAGATCAGCTTCGGAAGAATTTGACAAATTTCTACTTGCCAAGGAGGATGACATGGCGCTTTTATCATCTCCAACCATGAAACCAGTCTGCGATTCCTGTCTGTTCATGGTGTGCTTATTTCTCTTCCATTTGATAGTTGGAATTCTTATCTTTAAGGGCTTTCTGCGCAAACAAATACAACCATACTTCTTATAGAGACAAACAGATAGAATGCAAATCAATATCATCAAAAATATAATTCCAAGTCCAATAGCCAGATAATATAACCAAGTTAAATCTACCGGTGACTCAGGTACAACTAAAATATAAAAGCGACACCATGAAAGAATGCATTAAAAGTATGTAAAAGCAAAATACCCAATTACAATAAACAATAAATAAGAAAAAAACTAACAAGAAAAGTTATGACCATTATGAACTTATTTCTAATTATTTATATTTGAATGTGTCTAAAATTCAGCCGTTATAACATTTTTATCGGTGTTTTTTTTGAACTCTGCTAGATAGGAAGTCATTCTCCTTGTCTATTTTCGTCTGCTTCAAATGATTTTCCCCTTATAAGATGTCGAATATCATCTGAACATTCGCGACAACCAAGCAAAAGCTGAGGTGTTCCTTAACCTCTAAAAATAAAGTTATTATATGTTTTATGTTGATCTCGCTTCAAATTATTTTATACATTGCTAGAACATTATAATGTTATCAGAACGTTTTGTTAATGCTACTTCAGGAGCTAGCATATTAAAATACCCTTACCAAGTCAGCAATTTGACAGCTGTTTTCCATTCGTTCCGTTAGTTGATTAAGTCGAACGTTTGATTTGTCAGTTTTTCTTGACTTCCCCTTTTTTGAATTTATCTTAGAGTTCGATATTTTTGTAATACTTTTTTATATGATTGTTTGTTTTAAATTTCAACATTGTTTTTTTCTAATGCATAAATAGGCAGAAATCGAGCTGTATGTTAAACGTCAACGAGACTGCAACCAAACGACACAACAAATCAAACATTGTCTTAATCTATTAATGAAGTCGGTATGCTGAACTGTAGTTGTGACAATTATTCACTTCTTTGATTTCTGTCAACACAGATAGCCTTCTCTTATTGACAATCTGTCATACATTATGCACTTACAAGAAAAACATATTCACCTTCAACGACTGTTATAAACAGCAACTTAACCGTTTACAAATTATAATGTCATGGAACGTACCTGGCACTATTACTCTATCAGGACACCTCACTGCAAAAATATAAGTTCAATCAGAACATTCCTGCTGTTTTAAATTTGCATAAACAGCTACAGGGAATTAATAAACGATATCATAAGGGTTACATTATTTTTCAATAGATAACGGTCATTGTATGGAATATTACATAGATAATTTTATGGAAATACGATTAACATATATGATACTGCAAAAATGACATCATCGTCTAGTAATAAATGCAGCCATGGTCGTTGATGTTTACCTTATACCATGATTTCTATATTATCAGAGAAATGTTGTGTGTTTGTTTGGTATATTCTTCCGTGTTCAATATGCTTTCATAATAGCCAGTATACAAAGGGTAAGAATAACGACCCAAAATAACTAGTTAAACGTCGTCAGATTTATGCTACTTGTTCTTAGGCTGCTAACTCGTCATTGCTTTTTTTCAACTGTATCTTTATGTTTTAGTCCTTGAAAGAGTGTGATGTCGATGGCAGATCATTAATAATTATTAATCATTGTATAGTGTAAACACTACTTACATAGACTTGTTGGCATCTACAACTACTATACATTTTGTATAGACGCTTGTTATCTTTGTAGACATCTGTTATACCGTATGTTGTCGCACCTCATACTTACAGATAGCATCTCATCCTAGTATGGTAAAACCATCTGTTGTTGAACATCATACTTACAAATAATATTCCATGCTACAATAGTAACACCGTCCGTTGCTGATCCAAGATCAGTAGACGTTGTAGTACTTGTACATGCAGTCGGCGTTTCTGTGGCGTACAAAACATCACCTGTTATGGAGTATGCCTGAATCAAAACAATCCAATGCCAACTTATATTATAACACAAAAATATATCAGTGTGGTCGATTTCAATTAGATATTTATAAAATGTATATATTTGAAGATAAGTATAAATAATGGAGGTCACATGCAATTTGAGTTTAGACTTACAGTTTTTTTCTTCTATTTTTTCAAGTAGTTTTACACCATTTATGAATCGTGAAATTGAGGGATTTATTATTTTGCTTACACCCTTCTAAATAAGTAAATCCAGTAAATTGAACTAAAGACATTAATGTCAGTCCAATCGCATGAACAGGAATATTGTATTATCTTTTTTCTTGAATAATTAAGTTTGTAAAATTAATAAAATGTTAAAATCATTCGAAAACAAACATTTATCTACCTCCAAGCAAATATACCATAAGCCCGATTTGGTAACATGTTTTGTAAATTTGTATCTGCAATACTCTTCAACTTATTGCTTTGACCTTCAAACTGTTTTGATTCGAGAGCCACTGATGAGCGTAATTATAACCCTGGTATATTTTATGACCCTTTGTAAAACACCATGAAGGCAACTATATTTTTACAAAACAGTTTTCCTTTAAGGTATCAAAGGCGAGGTAATTATGTTGAACTCGACGGTCTTTCTCGATTGCTTCTTATAGACTTAGTATTTAAAAGCGACACCAAACACTTTCTGTGCTGTACAACGGTTTACAATTTGTTAATTTTCCTTCAATAGGCGATTCGAATCATTAGTTTTAATTGTCTGTCGTTTCTCAGAAGTATATCACTTATAAAAAGAAATTTATTATAATTCAAACTTACAAAACAGGAGAATCTGAATGTATTGATGTTATCAACAGCCGTATCCTGATTCCATACACCGAGATATGTCTCAGATCCCAATGTCATAGAGAATAAACAGCTGTATTTCCCGTCTTCTGTTAAAAAAAAGTTGTTTAAGGTTCGACAATTAAGCATGTACCGGTTTCTGATTCCTCAATGAAAACTTCTATAACAACTGCATGATATCAAACAGATGCAGTTTATTTATGTTACTGTTGCAATAACACGAACAGACACTTAGCCATGAAGATTACTAGTATTAGAGGAACAATTGTAATACGCACAGAAATAGTTAAACAATGTTGTACGTATAGGATAAGGGGGTTGCTTGGAATATTAATTTTTGTTATCTTATTTTCATCTTCTCTTTTGTAACATGTATTGGTTTATGTTTACTAAAATATAATTATCGGAGTGTTAACATACTGTTTGGTTTTCGGTAGTTTAAAGTCATGAAAATAATGGTTTTAAATAACTGGTAGCAAAAGTAGTTTCATACCTGATGTCATTTTTGCTGCAGCGCAACTGCTGTTGTACGTAAATGCTACTGTGGTCCTGTCTGTACAAACATCTACTGTTGTCCCTGGACACCCAGTTGTTGTAGTACCAGACGATCTTGTGATATTCACGTTGTCAAATACAGCCAATATATCCTGCGGACATGTTGTGTTAAGTAGACCTTCTTCATACGATTCTAAGGAAATTTTAGTTCAAGTCGAATTGGTTAAATGACAACTACAGCATGTACAGTTCAGTGATTAGTTTGATGTATACAGTTATTACGTCGACTATGTCTACAGAAACGACATTTGCATCATTATCAAAAATAAATATTTACTTCAAACATCAACCTCTAACAATATGGATTTCATACGTAAAAATCATTATTTGAAATGTCCAACTAAAGAACTTTGAATTCACAGCAATACTGGGAATCCAACATATATATACCTGTAAATCACTAGAGGGAATCACTGATCCAGCCCTCCTTTGGCATCAACAGAAAAAGGACGATAAAAATCTACCGTCTTTATACTGGATACCTAAACTTCACAAAAATTCCTATGTGAACGATATATATTCGGGTCATCAGGATGTACGACTAAACAACTTTTTTTTAGTTCTAACCAACTTTCTTTTTCAGTAAAAGATGGCCTTCAGATATAGTGTGATGATGTTTATTCAAGCGGTTGAGTCAATCAGATGTGGATCCTTAAAAAAGTAAAGATCTATAATTGCAATATCTTCAATTACATTCTTTACATATTTTGCACCAATCTCTGATGTTTCTACGCTTTACACTTCTATTACCTATCGAATAAACCATCTCATTTAACAGAGCTTCTTGTTTGAGGTCCTGAAAAATGTAACTGATTCCCAAAACAAATACACCGACGAAGAATATCATCCAATGCTAGATTTTTTTTATCGACAACATAGTTCTTGAGTTTGACGGATTAATATTTCAACAGACAGTCGGTATGCCAATGGGTAATAAATGTGCACCCGTACTGAGTACTCATATGATCAAAATTCATACAAAACAAGCTTCAAGTAAAAAAAAAATCTTTTTATTCACACACGAATATATTAATGGTGTCCTGTCACTCAATAACCCACATTTTAGTGAGTGCTTGTATCTCATATATCCTAGTGAACTTCAGATTAAAGAAACTACCGAAACTAGATGGTTTGCATCATACCCTAATGTTGTCCTCGATGTTGTTACAAATAAAAGATTTCAAACTAGAATCTAGTACCATCGAAAGGAGTTCAACTTTCCAATTGTCAACTTCTTACTTCTCAGCAGTAACATACTCTCTGCTGCATCGTATGGGGTTCACATATTTCAATTGATACATTACGTTCGTGCATGTTCATACTATACTTCATTAGAAAAGGTATGCTCCTTACACAAAACTGCTCCAACAGGGTGATGAGGATGAACGACTGAATTCCACACTTCTTAGGTTTACAGTCACAATCAGGAATTGGTTGACCGATATGATATGTCTGGCAATGCTTCACCTCACTAGCGGCTTGTTTTCGCAGTCTTATCTGTAATTTTACCGGTGTCATCTCATTGTTGATTATAACATTTTGACTGAGTGTGCATTTGCTTGGCGCGTGCTGCATGCATAACAGAAAACGCTTCCCTTGTTGAAGCTTCTGTCCTCGCTTCTTTTGAGTTCATGCGATTCCCTCGGTGATGTTTTGTGTTATCTTATAATAATTTGAAATTTATGTTCAGTTTAAGATTTTCCTCAAAATACACATGTATTCCTTAGCTGGTAATGACCTCATTTTAACTAGGTTTTTTGTGTTGTTTTTTTGCGTTGTGTGTGTTTTTTTTTTTTATTTGGGGGGGGGGGTCCATCCAATCAAATTTGAGATCCCTTTATTCTGTTTAACTTTCTTTTCTTGATAAAATAACGTTTTAAGCAATAGAATACTCTTACCTTTCTTTGAAATCATAATGAAAGCTTTTTGGTCGGTTGTCTCGGTACAAACTTCATCAAAAGTAGGTTCTCCAGTCTTTGATCCAATTAAATAATCTCGTAGAAATACGTCATAACCTATTGTATTATTATATAATTCATAAATCTGGTGCTTTAGAAAAGGAAACATGGTGAGGCAAATTACAAATTTTATGAATATATTAAGAGTTTGCCCATATTAAAGTTTAAAAATACGATTTTCCTCAAATGTTTTATATCAAAGCTGTTTGTGGATGCAGATATAATAATGTATTGCTAATATATATTAGCTTTTTGTTTTTAAAGTTATGAATTGACGATAAATTATGGTCATTATTGTGGTTCGGTTTGTTGGTATCAATTTAGGTCGTTTCGCGATGCTGTAATGCACTATATTACGTTTTCAAAGCTCAAACGATGTTTCGTCATTTCATTTTTTATGCTTGAAGGATAAGCTGTGATGAGTTGTTCTTAAGATGTGTTATTACTTTAGTCATGTATTTATATCATTATTGTATGCTCTTTTTATTATTTTTTTTAATTTTTGTCAAATTTTAATTTATTTGTATGTAATTTAATAAGCATGAAGTTCGGCTGTGTCACACTCACCTGTCTTATAGAAGTAGTAATATGTAGTATTGCTCACTTGATGGATCTCTAAACACATATAAAGCGTGGTTAGTTGGTTGAAGATATTTACTTCTTCTGTTCCTCTGTTAATACAATGTCTGAATTATTAATGATTATTTTAGTATAGGTTCAGCATAAATGACCAAGATATGCTTAAAAAAAAAAAATCAAAACATCTTGGAAGTCCCTCTAGGGTCTCGAATGATGTAAAAATACTCATCCAATAGTGTTACAGTTTGATTTTATAAAGGAAAGTATACCAAATATTTCATTGTGTTTATTTTGTTATAAATTTTGACCTCAATATGATTTTGACTTTTATGACATTGAGATGTCGGATTGAAGTATAACCCCTATCATTTTACTGTCATTTTAAATGCTATTAAATACTTCCTGTCTGGTTTAATAATTATAGTAAGTCAATGTTCCTTTTTATGAAGTATAAAATGCTAAAAATTATAAATTACTTGAGAAGGTATATGTCACCCTGCTTTTCTATGCAACCAAAGTTTCTTCGGTTTGTACCCGGAATTGAGAGTGGATAATCTACTATCAAGGTAGAATTCATATGGAGTTTATCTCTGCCTGCAATTTCATATTCGTCATCGTAGTAAAATGGTAACTCACACGTGGCCTCTGTAATTATACACGACGTACTTTATATACACAAAAGAAGAGAAATTTCTAAAAGAATATCTTATTAGTCGTCATAGAAGAGCCAGTCACAGGAAATCCGAATTATATTTTTTTTAACATCAGGTTACACTTGTCGCGAAGAACGCGAGATTATTTACTTAAACTATGAACAATATTTTTCTCTATTGACTATTCATTCAATTTCAATCTTTTTTATAATTCAATTCAGTTTCATTTATTATCGGAAAATTGTGATACATATTTTATAATTAATTAGCAAGTTCTGAAAACAATTAATTATCTCCCTTGAACTGGACAAACGTGGGTCGAACAAAAAATAGACTTTATATCAGTATCAATGTGGACCGCATTGTTATCTGGCTGTATTGTTGTTTATATTATTAATAGAAAATAGATTTAAAACAAATGGTTTATTCTTTCGCCACATTGAATGGTGCCGGAACCCGGGAGTAAGTGATAAAAACTGACAATAATTCCTGATACATATAAACGACAAAACGTAAACATTCAAAATGACTCTCGCATATATGAAAGGTCTACAAACACGATATAAAAACTTATTAGAGGTTTGACTAGGTAAATCTGAAGAACTATTGACATGGGAAGTGTCCGATTATGATCTTGAATCGCAAATCAGAAAGGTAAACAAATCATATCGCAGATTCGATGAATGTGGCCCAAAATTTGAAGAGACAATAGAAAGGTTATCATTCGCACTTGAAAGTGCTAAAGCCGAAGAAGATCTGAAAACATATCAAAAAGAAAGTGAAGTCTACTTTAATTTAACAACAGAAGTAACAAGCCGCAAGGAAGAACTCAAATTAATTGATAGTTTCCTACAGGAAAAATTTTAAAACTTTTCAAAACCAGTACCAGATACTAAACTTGAACAATTGATAGAAATTCAAATGCAAATGATGCAACAAATGCAATTACAAAATACTAAACCTCAACATGATGAACGAAATCAAGCAGCTGTAAAATTACCAAAACTAGAAATAATGGGTTATAATGGAGATAAACAGAAGTTTAAAGAATTTTGGGACTAATTTGAAGTAACTGTTCACAAAAACACTAAACTGTCAAATGTTGAAAAATTCACATACTTGAAAAGTAAACTACATGGTTCAGCTCAAAGTGCAATATCTGGGTTACAGTTGTCGAATGAAAACTATGATGTTGCGATAGACATTCTTAAAGACAGATTTGGTGATGTGCAGAACGCAGTTAATGCACACTACGTTGAACTAATTAATTTATCATGCGCGTCAAACCGTACATCAGATCTAAGATCTATTTACGACAAAATTGAACGTAACTTGAGAAGTCTTGAAGCGCTTAATCAGAATATAGATCAAGATGTTTTTATTTCAATCATAACAACAAAACTTCCCGAACCGGTGTTAGTTCAGCTTGAAATCCAGAAAGGTTCTGATAAATGGACAGTTGAAAAACTGAGTGATTTACTTAAATCCTACATAGCCACACGTGAAGCCGCAGAAAGTCAGTCGAAGGAAAAAAACAAACGATGTTAGACCGCAACAGCCGTCAAATGCATACGTGAAATCTAGATATAAACCGTCATATGGTTAACCCCAAAATGTAAGAACCTTCGGTGAAGCATTTTTGCCGCAACAAACGATAGGCCGTTTACATCGAACCGAACTGAAGTGAAACAATTGTGTATATACTGCAAAGGAAGCCACTGGTCAGACGAGTGCAGTATGTACAAAACCGTTGAAGATCGAAAGGCGCAACTGAATGGATTGTGCTATATATGATTGAAGTCTGGAAATAGATTACGTGATGGTACTAGTGACCGTAAATGTGTTTATTGCGGTAAAACGAAAAAATACCACAGAAGTTTGTCTGAAGAAATTTTCCACGAGTAGAACCAAAATGTCTAATTTAGCAGACGAATCTGCCGAAACAACAGAATCCGTTAATCTTACTACTGAATCCTCCTTTCTTTTGTCGGGCGATATTGTATTAATGCAGACTGCGAAAACCGTTATAACCAATACGTCAGACACTTGTAACGAGGAAATAAGACTGTTGCTGGACTCCGGAATTCAACGCACATATGTTTCTGAAACGTTAGCTAGAAAACTTAAATTGAAAGTTGAATCCGTCGAAGAAGTATCCGTTATTACCTTTGGTTCCGATAAGCCGAAATTAGTGAAAACAGAAAAGGTCACACTTCAGATAAAATTATCCGATTGGACAAGAATGAAATTAAGTGCAAATGCAGTGCCCAAAATTACCGGAAGTATACTTAGGAGACCCGTTTCAATTAAAAGGTGTCAAAATTATGAAAATTTGTGGAATAACTTTAGTCTTGCTGACACCCTTCCGACAGAAAATGAGAAAACAACAATTGAGCTGCTCATTGGTAATGATTATTACTTAGACTTAATTTTACCAGAGAAAATTGAAATACAACCAGGACTATATTTCTAAATTTCTAAATTTGGTTGAATCATCACCGGTCGAACTTCAGAAAAATCAGAATATGGAACAAATGCTCTCCCATTATTAGACTCATGTGCTGTTACTGCTATTAACAAATCAATGCCTGTAAAACCACCGCTAGAAGATTTTTGGAATCTTGAAACAATAGGCATCAGTGAACCGTCTGAAAATTCTAATGATATAAAGGCATTAGAAAAATTTAACAATTCTGTTGAGTACATGAATAAACGCTATTTGGTATGTTGGCCGTGGAAATCCGACCTAGAAACAATTAATGACATGAAGGAACTGGCTTAATTACAGAAGATATCGGTCCTTTTTGCATCGATTGAGAAACAAACCGGAACTGTTTGAAAATTATGATAAAATTATCAATGAGCAATGTGAAAAAGGGGATATAGAAAAGGTTGATGTGAACAATAAACATGAGGATCATATAACTCACTATATACCACATCATGCAGTTATAGATTCAACAAAGCCGACAACAAAGGTTAGAATTGTGTACGATGCGTCAGCGAAAACAAGAGATGATAATAAAAGTCTGAATAACTGTCTCTACGGAAGCCCCTGATGTTGAAAGATCTTTGTGGATTATTACTCCGTTTCCGAATGTCAAATATGCCGTTGTTGCTGACATAGAAAAAGCCTTTTTGCAACTTGGATTGCAGAACCCAGATCGATATGTGACCAGATTTTTCTGGTTAAAAGACCGAACAATGCCGTTATTCAATATCAATAACGTCCAGATATATATATTTTGTCTTGTTCCGTTTGGTGTCATTTTCTCTTGGCCGCAACCATTGACTTGCATCTGCGGAAATATAATACACCAGTTGCTACAAAGATTCAAGATAATATCTATGTAGATAATTTGCTTACAGGAATCAATACTAACGATGAATTGAAAGAACTGTATAATGAATCCAAAATCATTTTTCAAGAAGCTTCAATGAATCTTAGGGATTGGTGTTCGAACTCAGCTCAGTTCATGTCCGAGATACCGAAGCAGAACCAAGCAAACAGAGAAAGAGGTTGAAAGTTCTTGGAATTACTTGGACTATCAAAGATGATAAAGTTTCAATGTCTGGACCGAAATTAGAAACTTTAGAATCGTCAAGTACGAAGAGAGAAACTATGCAATCGATTGCATCAGCATTCAATCCGTCCGGATTCTTTTCACCAGATACTTTCTTGGAAAATTGTTATTACAAACTTTATGGAGTAAAAAGGTTGAATGGGATTTTAAGTTGTCCGAAAATGACAGCGACTTATGGAAAGAAATTGCATTTGACATTAAACAAATACAGACACATACTTTTGATCGATACATTGGATTAGATGGCAAGTGTACATATCAGTTACTTTGTTTTTGTGAATGCATCAACAAAGGCTTATGCTTGTGCAATTTATTTGCGTCATGAAACAGATGAATCATGCCGAGTCGACTTGATTTATTCAAAAACCCGCCTTGCTCCGATTAGGAAAATTAGCATACCGTGATTAGAACTTCTTGCCGTTATTATTGGAGTGAGATGCTTTGCATTTGTTGAAAGTCATCTAAAAATCACTGTACAGATGAAAACTTTATGGACAGATTCGCAGTGTGTCATTCATTGGATAGCCTCGAAAAAACAAATGTCAACGTTTGTTGAAAATCGTTTAAAGGAAATCAGACAATACACCGATACCGAATTATGCTATGTATCAACCGATATAAATCCAGCCGACCTTGCAAGCCGTGGAATACATTTTTGTGAAATTAAATCTTACAATCTATGGTGGATTGGACCTTCTTGGCTCCTGCTCTCGCACGATCAATGGCAAACTTAGTCTTATGATTTGACAGCTGAAAACGATAACCTTATGAAATCAGTAATTAAACCGAGCAATAGGAACCAACAGACCGAACTCCTTGTTGGGGAGCCCCCTATAGGAGATAATTGTGAGCGAAAATCTAAATCACCGTTTGATCTGAATTGTGAAAATTTTTCGAACTTGATAAGATTGTTGAGAATAACTGCTTGGATACAAAGATTTATTAGAAAACTAAAAAGGGACACTATTTCGGAACCGCTTACTGCAAAGGAAATTGAAGATGCAAAATTCCTGTGGATTATTCACATTCAAAGGAAACATTTTGCGAAGGAGATACATGATATTAATAAAAACAAGTAAAGTAATATTATACGTCAATTAGGTCTTACAATAGACAATAAAGGATTAATTCGATTTGTAGGTAGAATTGAACATGCAGACATTTCTGAAAATGCAAAACGACCTATCTTGTTACCGAAGAAAGAAGCATTCACCAAACTTTTGATTTACAACTACCACAGGAACTTATTACATATTGGAGTTGCTCAAACGTTATCACAAATTAGACAAAAATATTGGATTCCGCAAAGTAGATCAGCAGTCCGACATGTTTTACGAACTTGTGGAAACTGTATCCGTTATGAAGGAGGGCCGTATAAGATGCCGCTCATCCTTCCACTCCCAAAGAAAAGAGTAACTGAATCTAGTCCGTAAACGTACACCGGAATTGACTACTTTGTTACGCTTTATGTAAAAACTGTGAATGGATCTGAAAAAAGTGTGGGTCTGTTTATACACCTGCTTAGTTGTGCGGGCAATTCATTTGGAACTTATGCTTGATATGACTGCAGATCAATTTTTACTTGGATTCCGAAGATTTTTTGCACGTTGTGGAACTCCAATACAAATTATTTCAGATAATGTTCTACAGTTTAAAGCCGCAAGTAGTGTATTACAACAGGAATGGAAAAAGGTTCTTAACGATTCGGACATTCAAAATTAACTATGTTTCTAACAAAGGCATAAGTTGGAAATTCATAGTAGAACTAGCCCCTTGGATGGGTGGATTTTACGAGAGACTAGTGGGACTTGCAAAGCGTTCATTGCGAAAAACCGTAGGAAAGGTTTGTTTGAGCGTCGAGCAATTACGAACACTTTTAACAGAAGTTGAAGCCATTGTAAATAGTCGACCGTTAGCATACATTGGTGAGGATATTGACTCTAATATTTCTTGTTTCCTAACGCTAAATAAACACACCGGAATACCAGAGCGAATCGATAATGATGACGATCCAGAATATAAACCACAGTTTAGTTCAACTGAAAATAATCTTTTGGAACTTTGGAAAAAAGAACAAAAACATTTAAACAGATTTTGGAAAGTGTGGCGAGATGATTATCTGCTCAGCATTTGTGAAAGAACTACCGTTAAACTTAAAGAGAAAAGACGATCTTCCGAGAGGAATGTGGAAAATTGGTAAAATCATAAACTTATCCAAAAGTAGTGACGAACAATGTAGATCAGCAAAGGTATTATTGCCGTCGAGGAAAACTTTAAACAGAACTTTGAACTTCTTATATCGTTGGAATGTCACGATGACAATGTTGAACAAACGACCTTTATATTACATTTTTCTCAAAATTCGTCTCCTATGCGGTATTGGTTTTGCTCATTGTTGAACGCTGAATGCATGGTTACCTATAATTGCTAACATCCAAGTCATTTTGCCTCTGTTGGATAGTTGTCTCGTTGGAAATCATACCACATCTCCTTATTTTACATAGAGGCTTTTATCTTACGTATAAATGTTATAAATATGAGTAAATATATATTTCTTTACCTGTATGGGAAATGCACATTATAATCATAGCGCAGACCAGATAATGTAGGATCCTATGGTAGAAAAACATACTTGGGACACGTCTAGTATGAAAGTATCCATAATTCTACAGATGATTCCAAATTTATAATACACAAAACAAAATGGTCAGTAAGGAATGACGTCGTATGAAAAGTATTAAATATGATTTAACGAAATTGATACCGCTATGAAATTACAGAAGACATATAGAGGAGAAATAAGGCGTATAACCTTAGCCATAATATGTCCCATCCCTTTTCATCTAAATAAAATTATTGACACAATTATGTTATTATCCACTGTGTATAATCTACTTATTTGTCCATGGCTTTCTTATTCTGATTAAATTGGGCACAAAGTTTATGTTCTTCTAAACTGTTTTCAATAAGGATGGGTATTGTTACGAAAAATATTTATGCTTGACACAAAATATTAAACAATTTGTCACTATTTGTGGTTTTTTGTTAAAACTTTATTAATATGTGAATTACTTTATTCGTGGACCTTGCAGTACAAATTACACTTTGCACTATCTAATTTTAATGCACAATATGAAATAGTTAACCAAAAGCATGTCTAAGTGCATAAGTCAAATTTAAATACTTACTACTGTAACACCTTGAACAAACTCGTTGCAGGTTTAAATAACAGTAACATGGACTTAAAGCATACACTCCGAAGTGTTTTCCGTCCGATCGTAATAAGGACATTACATCTGATGTTCGGTGAAGGGAGAGTGCCTCGCTTTTTACACGCTACAGAAGCCTTGCAACAACTCTTTAAGGGATATGTACGTTACCTGTTGCATGGCAAGCTGTCCATTCTTTCTCAACATACACCCCTAGTGGCTGCCCAAATTTCCCGTCCTTCAACCGGTCGAACCATCTAGTAAGACTTATTTGTTAATCTGTTCTCGTCCTAGATATGCATCAAATATTTGCCACTGAACGTCAAGCAGACAACAATTGATAAATCAATCGAAGAGTGTTTGTTTATTTACATTAGTCAGATAAAGTTGACATGATTATGCAACGTGAAAATTGCACTTTTCCTTATCGTTATTTGTGAAACGTCTTTAAATATTAATATACATTTTGTAATGTCTTCCGTGCACTTTTGAAGTACAGCAGTCTGCTTTGTACTTTGTTGTTACATCTGAATGTTCAATTTTATAACACGCCGGGCAATTACTATGATTTGATACTTTACAGAAGAAATGTTCATTACAATATGCATCAATGCCCATAATAAAGCCTATATTTCAATGACAACGTATTTTAAGTCTAAGTGCTCTATTTTGAAAAGCCTTTTTGGCATCTTCGTTCTAACAGACTCTATAGCTACCTATCGTAAGTTGTAAATCAATATGAAATGTTAACTGCTTTACTGTCATGGCTGATTTCCCCGAGTGGCTGAGATAGTTTGCACTAGTAACATCATTTTAATAGTTTATTTATTTATTATAAAACATCCTCAAATTATAAGTCTTTCAATTATTAATTTAATAATTTCCGCTAGTTTTCATAAACAGGATAGATATATATGGGTAGGTAATATATTTACATTTTTTACCGAGTAATAAGATAAAAGGTAAACAGTTTTAAATATATGCAACTTTATTAAATACATTTATAAGCGGTGTATTAGTAATAAATACCCACGGTTAAATACCCCATATTCTTTTTTTCAAATCATTGGAGTATTCGAGTGCGTAAAAAGTAAAATCACAAAAATACTGAATTCCGAGGAAAATTCAAAAAGGAAAGTCCCTAATATATGTCTTCCAGAAAAACCAACTGTAGAGGATAAGGGTCAATAAATACCAACTAAGAAAAGTATTAACCAATGTAATAATAACTTAACCCCGCCACATTCTATATGTGCCTGTTTCGAGTCAGGAGCCTAAAATCCAGTGGTTTGACCATTGTTTTTTGTTTGCCATGTTTGTTTTTCGATTATTGTGTTTTTCCTTAATCACGAGGTTGATTTTCTTAATTGAATTGTTGCACATTTGTTTATGTCGTGGCCTTTCATAGCCGTCTATACGGCATGTTTTATTACTAATTATTAAAGACCATACAGTGACCTATAGTTGTTTACGTTCACGTCATACGGATTCCGGTGGACAGTTGTCTCATTGGCAATCAACATATCCTTATTTATATAGTATTACCTAATACGAGTTTGTTTACGAAAAAAAAACCCGAATTTGAACTATCCCTACAACAACCGCTACCAATTCCTTCATTAACTCTAATGATGGCCACCAAGCTAAGTTTATGCGAATTAAGCACACATATCCATACTCATTCGGTGAATTTAATTGGAAGGTAACAAATGAACCTGTAGAATCTAGTGCGTACTTGTGAGTAAAAGGAATCCAAGTCATTGACACGTTAGGCAGACCTCTAACAGAAGGGACAACACATTTACATAAGATTCCAGCAGTTCAAGTAGCCTTTAATGTAAACAGAATCACCAATAATACACACAAGAAATAAAAGAGCCAGAAATGACCTATTTTATGCATAACAGGTGCCATAAAAGCGATATCTAAGCCAGGGGCATTTCTAGGATATTTGAAAGAGGGGGCGTAAAATGAAATAATTTGCCGAGCGGAGCGAGGCGAAAATTTTTTTGGACCTTTTTTTTGCTTCAAAACATGAAATAATTAATTAATATGATAAATTGCCATATTCAATACAATAATAGCAGATTACGATAGCTTTTTTTTTTTTTTTTTTGAAAAGGGGGGGCGTACGCCCATTACGCCCTCACCTAGACCCGCCCCTGATCTAAGCCATACTAAACCAACCGACAACAAATGCTTACATGTACTGTGTACAATATTGGTCCTTTCCCTCTGTTGTTGAAAGCATCACTGAGACATTTACATGTTTAGAGATTTTTAATGAATTCTTCATTTCTGTATCTGTATTTTTTAAATATTCATCAAACGTTTGTTTTCAAATAAAATAATGATAAAAAAAGGGGTGAGGATAGGAGTCAAGATATCACGTTGAAGAAAAACGTACACAAAATGACGTCGAAGAAAAGACGAAAACAGAAAAACAAAAGTCCTCCAAATATTTAGTTATTGACCCCATAATAGAAAATGTGTTTGCAGAAAACTTGTTTTGCTGATCATTAGTCAAAAAAGAGGGGATGATTAAAATTGTGAATTATGGGAATCAACTCGTGTAAGGATTCGACAAACGATTTTTATCACATTTTGTTTTGTCTTATGTTGCTGATCAGTTTAGCTGTTCAAAGTTTCAGTCGTTCAAACCACTACAACTGGTCGAATTATAGACTCAGAAATAGACAGGAGGTATATCTTGAAATTACGGAGATTATTTGTAAAAGTTAACGAAGACGGACGACGGACGCCAAGGGATGATAATAGCTCACACTGATTCTTTTGGCCAGGTAATCTAATAAATTATTTAATAAAGTCGATAAATTTTTAAGGAGGTATCCTATAGCCATCTTTCCCCCATGCCAATATTTCCGGGGGAAAAACTGGATCGACATGGTTTTTCTACCCGGAAAAATTGGAATGATCCCACTTTTCCCCCTCAGCGTGATGGGAAGAAAATCAGGATCAGGCCTATGTTTCTCCCTAGAAGCACGAGAAGCTCATGTTTTCCCTTTGTAGTAACGTCGGCGACGTCATTGGAAATAAATAATCACTTTAAAGATAATAACCGTGAAGTTCTTTTAATTAGTTATGCGTTACCACACCATCATCGTATCGTTGTACATTCAACATCATGGCTTATTTATATCTACATAAAGCATAGTCTGATGTGGTGATCACATTCATTCTCCTACTTGAACCCTTGGTATGTGTTTCTTTACTTTCTGTAGTAGGTCGCAAGACCCAATGATCAAACCCATGATCTAGTTGAAGCCTACATGAAGAAGGAATTTGGTCGGATGGTAACGGTTGTAGCAATGTTTGAAACATATTATAGTTAATAAACTCTCTCTTGTTTCTCACATCTGATGACATCTTAGAAATATAGTAAGGTCTACTGTGTTTGCTTTTGAATAAATCATGACACACATTGTTCATTTTCTATCTTTGAATGATTCTCTCAGTATTTGCTGGAGTAGTTCTGTCTGCCTTCAAGTTCCACATTCCGAACTGGTAAACACCGAAATACTAAGCACCCTTTCGTATAAAATTCAGTCTCCTTTAGATATATAGGTCCATCATTCTGTTTCATTCAAGTCCTTTCAAGATATTTGCATCAAAACGTAATGTGACTTCGATGTAAATATAATGTTGAGAACAATGATGAATAATTCTATGAACCTCTTGTGTTTTTGTGCTATCCCTTTCATTTATAACGCTCCAGCGATCTGAATCAGTTGTTTAGACAGATTATATGGCAATGGGTGGCAATTTTATTAAACAATATATCAATTGTTTAACATATCTTTATGAATATAAGATAAATGTATTCCTTCGGTGTAAGTGTTAATCTTCAATGTTTACAGTAGCATTTTATCACCCACAGTAAATATGAAAAAGAACACATGTCCATATCAGCCATACGAATAGGTCAGATTTGTGGACAAAGTCACTAGAAGAATTGTTTCTTTTTTTATGCAAAGGGAACCCCTGTAACAAAATATAAGCGCCCCAGGCTCACTCGGAGACCTCAGACCTTTTTAGTGACACGCGTGTAGACAAAACAATTTGAAACACAATGTATGCCCAACATTTATTCTTTGCAACCCAAGCTAAAAAACAGATTATTTTAACACTTCGGAGATCAATCATTTCTTAAGAAAATACCAGAATATATGCAATAATTGGTCGTGCAATTTTGATATACTGAATTCCATGGACATGGGGGAAAAGTTGTTATATATATGCGTATTATCAACTTTCTGCGGGGGAAAAATGGCAATGATCCAAATTTTCCCCCGCGGCGGCTGGGGGGGGGGGGGGGGGGGGGGGAGGGGGGAGGGGAGGGGGGTTGAGAGCATGCCAGTTTCCGGAGGAATAACTACCATGGGGGGAACTGACTATAAAACAGAGGCTTTAATGGCATATCGACACGTTAAATAGTTCCTGCCTCACATGCTTTTATCAGTTAATACTAGAATTACAGAAAATGAATTGACTATTTCATTTTTCATTTTAGGTTTTTAGGTTTATACCTAAACATTAGAACCTTTAAAGGTAGACTGCCAATAAAATAATACCTCAAACGTTTTCATTTAAATTTTTATTTTAAATTGACATCTAAAAGCGTCATAATTCATAAATTAATTATGCAAACATGAACATGTATATTCCATAAACAAAGAGCAGCTTGTGAATAAGCAGACATATAAAGAGCATAATTGTTTATTTTACAATCAATCTTTGTAATCTAATAAATTGATTAAGTATCAATAACGATGTTGGGATGAAATGTTACCCACGTAATAAAATAATCATATAAACAAAGAACACTGTATGTTGGTTTTGCTGTGTGTCTTTCTTTGTTTATTGTAAAAAGCGATGTATAGTTTCATAATTCTTTAACTATATATAATCATAACATTGTACTTTAATGAATTGCAATTTGTGGTTTTTCTTTCATTCATAAACATATACATTTTGTCTACCGTAATCGTTTAGGGTGTGGAAACTGATAAACGATTGATATGAAGATTTACATATTCTGAAATATTTCAATAAGTAATAAAACATTTTGTTTCATTCCACATCCTTTTTTTTCAAATTAACTGTCAATCGGATTTGTAAATGACGTTGTTCTTAAAACAAATAAAGCGTTCTACATGTGCATTACATTATTGAGGAATTCGAAACAATTAAATAGTACCTCGGTAAATATATCACAAAATTCTCTAATTCGATATATCCAACAAAACTACATAACAGCTTTCCATTTGGTGATTTTTCATACTAGACCAACAGGTTAGTTTAAATTGATAGTTGCTGTCGAATGTAGTTGCAGGATATTTCACATTTTAGATGTAATACGGATTGTTTTCTTTTTTTAAATCTTTTGCACTTTATTAAAAGATGATCTGTTGATTAATTTCAGTAATGATAGAAAGCAATAAAAATGATGCAAAGGGTCTCGTCATAACAATGATTGGCTCGCAATGGTAATATTGATAAAATAAAATTAATAACCACTGAATATCATGATTCTGGTTTAATAAATGTGTATAGTTGGTTTTTTTCGCTAATTGCATGGAGAGATCTTGAGAAATTACTTTTAATTGTTCCGTCTTAATCATTCAATCCTCTTTTTTCTCATAGATACTTGAATCAATACTTATTTGTGTATAACTCCGACGTAGTCCACCCATCATATAGTCATCAAATGTATCCTTGTATATGGGTCTTATGTTAGGAGCACCCAGTAAACATAATGGTTTGTTGTCAATGAAGATAGCACCCAACATTGTAAAATCATCGACTGGTTTCTTAGGTCGGAACAAATTAGACATGTTATAATCTGGTCCTTTAATAATAGGTCCTGTGAACCTCGCTCGCCCGACGATCTCACCCTTGCTGACATCAATTTCAGGTTCAGATGGTGGTTTTGGTGACAGACGTTTTTTGTTCTTCGTCGGTAGTTTTACTTTTGGTATTTTAATACGCTTGCAAATACATCCATATTTCTTGTAGCATAAAATAAACAAACAAATAAACCAAATCAGGAGCGGCAATATGGCAAGTCCAGCTATCAAGTAATATATCCAAGAAATGTCTGTGTCAATTGTCTCATCAGCGCTACCTGGAAATACATATATGTTATTGTACAAATACATAAAATAATATTTCTTTCAGGAACTTATATTCAAAATAATATCGAAATCATTAAGAATGATACTTAAGTCTTATGAAAATTAGTATTTGTTTTGTAGGCAGTATTATTTAGTATAAAGTATTTATTAGATGACATCAAATTTAAGAACTATGAAAATATTAATATAACGGAACTATAAGTGGGCGTTTGAGCTAGCTATTAAACAAGGTCTAACCCACCATTTGTTCGGAAAATGCCTGTACCAAGTCAAATATATAACAGTTGTTCACCATTCGTTCCGTTGGTTGATATAGTCTTACGTTTGATTTTGTCAGTTTTTTTAATTTACTTTGGATTTTGGTATTTTTGTAAATACAATGTACTTTTTTTTCAAATTAAGAATTGTATTTTCATTGTCTATCTATGATTCATTGTCCTAGTTTAATAGCAACATTTTACTGGTTTGTTTTTTGTTATTTCCTAGAGTGGATTAGACTTGTTTTTCCTGCTACATCCACCCAATACATCTCTTTTCTAGTTTTTAACAATTAAAACTGATCATGTTACAGAAATGACATGATATCGATTAAGCCAAAATTTAAGACATTTAACGTATCAAATCAAAGTACTGAAGTACTGAACATCGGATGACAACAAGTTCTTGAGGATGGTCAAAAGCACTTGTCTCAGAAATAAACAACATATCTCTTTACCTGAAACTGAGGTTAATGTACAGAGATATATTTTTTTCTGAGACAAGTTCGTGCGTGAATGATGAATAAATGACAGGAAATTCAACTTCACCGTAATAACTATTATATTGTAGTGATACAAATCAGTATACACTGATTTGTTGTTATATATTATATTAAAATAACAGTTACATATATATATATATATGATTTGCATGCATTTGTATATCATTCTATTCTACTATTCTTATAATAGTGCAATGCAAGTGCATGGTGGACACTTTTCTGTAAAAATTCGATTTTTCTAAGATTGGATACGAGTAGGCATTCATATTTTCCCGCAAAAACAATTACAGAGTTACCGGTCCTATCTTTGAGATATTCTTCCGCATGCTTTAACACAATTTTTCGGTACGCGTGCATTGATATTATCAATGATTTTTTACTTATATATATATATCTAACTACAAAACATTTTCATGTTTTTAATTTATGTTGTAAACAAAAATATTTTTATCAGTATTCATTGAAGAGATGTATTTATATCAAACGATAAGGAATGTTATTTTGCACTCGTTTATGTGCGCATATTTATCATGTTTCTAGATCGGTTACAAACCCAAAACTAATTTACATAATGGAAATCTAGGCGATAGCAACACATCCGAATGACCTCAAGGTCATCGCGATGTAAAAAGCAGAAAGTGTGTGTATTTATTTATAATTTCTGATGTCTAAGTCTTGATTACCGCCTTTTACAAGATTTAAGATTCTTTAATTCTTACGAGCTGCATGCAAACAATATAAAAAAGACATCACTCTTGATATAATCGTTATCAAAAACACTTTTTTTGGTTAAAGATAAAAAAAAAATGTGAAAAAGTCATTCCTTATATGGACTGATATAGAACGAAATAAACACGAATGCCCCTGCTCAAGCTATGCAACGAAAATGGGACGGACGGAAAGACGGTCAAGGTACGGCGGGGGCATAAAAAAAACAAATGGTACAAATATAAACAAAGAACAAATCGAAAAAACAGATGTAATCGCAATCCTGAGATAAACTACAAAAGAGGAAACCAAAAACCCCGACATAGATGTACGTACCATTAACTTATGCGAACAGGCAAACAAAACACGGATGTTTTAACAATTCCATTGTATCTTTATATATAATAATAATGTACCAGTAAGTGTTTGTGTGTATACGGATTGATACATTTCTTCATTAATTGTGTCCTGAAAATATTTTTTGTTGGTATTATTTATGTTAGATATTTAGCAGTTTAAGAGACATTATTAGATGGAGTATATACATACCTTGTATTCCATCAAGACAGATTTCTGAAAAAAAATAAAACACATTATTAGCATTACTATTCTAACTTACAAGTCTTATACATGATACATGTATCCACAAGGAGTACATGTATATGTCTACCTGAAAGTCTACATCCGGCAGCATATCTCATGATGAAGAGGGCACCTGTTTTGTTGTGCGAAATGATTAATTAGGCAGCCATATCTGGTCGGAATGGGGACACTAAATCCGATGAATTATATGCAGAAAGAGTGCCACAATATCTCCATGTTATAGAAATCATTGTAACAAATGTTTATGGGGGCCAAAGGTTGCCCAATGCCGCCCAAAAAATGTGCTTCTTAACAAAGTTGTTACCATTATTAAGTGTTTAATAGTGATGGTTTCTGTATAACTGCCCTTTGTCCAAGCCGACCCATTTTGCGGAACCAACTTCCCATTTGCACTTGTCCTGAGTATGCATAAAATACTTGCCGCTGTACGTTTAACAAACAGCAATCAGTCAATTGTATAAGCCTACATGTTTCTCAAATATATTGTATCTTCAAACCAACTATTACTATCTGAACAGTATGAAATTAGGAGAAGTGGTATGATTGCCAATTAGATAACGTTCAACCAGAGTCTAAAATACATGAATTTAAGCTAGTGTAGTTCACCGTATGGCCTTCAACACCGAGCAAAACCGACACCGTATAGTCAGCTTATAAAAGGACAACGATATGACAAAATACGAAGCTATGCATAAGAAAAAACCAAGAGCCTGATTTATGATGAAACAATCAACGAAAATCAAATATGATAGACAGTTACCAACGGCACGCACTTAATAACAGGCTTCTCACTTAGGACATGCACAATAGAAAAAGATGGGGGTAAAACATGGTTTTAGGTGTTCATCTCTCAGTCTAACCTGGTACAGTGGAGTAACAACACAATATGTAATAAGAATAAATTGAAAAATCAGTTGAAAATGACGTGACTCAAAAGATTGGCACGAAGTACAAAAACAAACAACATAAAGACATAAGACACGAAGTATCGATACAACAGTTCTAGCCGTTACTGAAGTCTAGTTCAAAGCCAATAACAACTGTTTAAAATATCAAGTTGAACTAGACTAAAGTTTGGTTGCTATCTCAATGACGTAAACCATGTATACGCCATATATCTCCTTTAAAAAAATGAAAACAACATGTTATAAATTTCATGCATCTGAGGCGCTTTTCTGGATTGACCGTCATCGGGAACGTTCAAAGCCGAATATTTGAAAGCCAATGATGTATAAGAACTGAAACAGTTGAAGAGCTATATGGCAAAAAAGTATCTAAAAACTAGCCAAATCCATCTAAGGTGAACTTTGCCTGAGAGAGCCGAAACCTTAGTTCCTTTATAATTTCAAAATTTATTAACGGACAATTTTCCAAAGGTTTGTTATAAATCATGTCAGTACTGAGGTACTGAGCTGATGAAACCCTCGGGGACTGATAGTCCACCAGGAGGGGTATCGACCCAGTCCTGAAAAAAATGAAAACAACACGTTATAAATTTCTTGCGTCCGAACCGCTTTTCTGGATTTAACTTCATCAGGAACGCTCAAAGCCGAATATTTGAAAGCAAAGGATGTATAAGAACCGAAACAGTTGAGCTATATGACAAAAAAAGTACATAAAATAGCCAAATCCCTTTAAGGTCAACTTTGTCTAAGGGAGTGGTTTAGTTTCTTTATAATTTCAAAATTTATAAACAGATAATTTAATGTTAGTTTAAAAAATATTAAACGACATCATAACTCTATATCCTTGTTTGTAAATATAATCACACAAGAAGAAAATGTAAGATGCGATTTCTTTCCTGCCATCTCTGGAAAATTATGTTGCATTTCATTACAAAACATGTATTCTTGGCAAATTGTAAACACGTAGTTGTCCATCATGCATTGCGACTCATTCAATGAATTTGTCAATGACCCAATATTAAGTTAACAAACAATTATATTGTCGGGAACAATAGTGTGCCCGTAACAAGTAATGTATTCGACCCGTTTAACCCCTCTATATTCTGTCTGTGCCGATGGCAGGTCAGGTGCCTGTAATCTGTGAATGTCATTGGTTTCTGTCAGTTATATGTGTTTTCTGTTTGATTGTTCTGTCATGCAACATGTCTTTGGTTTTTTTTTTTGTAATTTAACATGTTTAAGGGCATTTTATAGCTGACTATGAGATGAATATAGTTCACCTGTTTTATTTTACTAGGGTTCAACTTAGCATTACTTTTATCAAGCTGAAACATTGTAATACGAACTCGTTTAGTTTGAAAATTGAATGGTTGTCTACTATGGGTTTTGTTTTGTTTACATTGCTATGGAAATTTATAACATTTAGAATCAGGAACGGACAGATTGTGGTTAGCAAACCCGGAAATATTCCGATCGGTAGTTGTAAAAATAAGGGCCGTCATTCAAACGTTTTAGCAATAAGGGTTAGGTATTCTATAAACACGCATAGGAATAAGATATTTGGTATCGTCCAAAGTAAATGGTATGGTCCAAAACCTAGTATAAAACCTGATGCGCTGTCAGAATAAGGGTCGCTTAATGGATATTCCAGACGTCTCAAAGAAGCAAAAAGGTAATTATATAATTATTTACACTTTATAAAATATTAAATAGATTCTGGATAAGAATCTATCTGCGTACCTGAATGAGGTTGTAGGGATATTAAAAGTTGTACATACGCACCGGGTAATAGGTGCATAGGCGACTGTGCGGTAATAGTGCACGGGTAAATATGTGCACTGGCTAAGCAGTGCACAGGCGGATTAGGTCAGATAGTGCACAGGCGAAACAAGTCAGATAGTGCACAGGATAGTAGTGCATAGGTAGAATACAGCATAGTTTTGGATAGTGCATAGGTTAGCACTGATTGCTACTGGACACATAAGGTCTGTGCAACACATTGCTTGGTTGGTGATAGAGGCCAAATTAACAAGTTAAAGATCGATATCTAAGAGACGGTGTATCTTCCAATATCCAGGGGTAAACTCTGGTACGATACCCATAAGTCACTACACCGAGTACGTGACATAATTTTGGTGGCAGCGGTGGGATATTGGTAAGTGCACCGATAATTGAATAAATATGGATGATTTACAACAGCATATAAGTACGCTAGAGGAAGAGGTTAAGCAAAGTAGGGAGAAGTTGAGACAAACTCAAAACCCTTGGCTTTTGACACAACAACACTCTACCCCAAAAGTGCAACCTAGAAACCTGACAGATTCTGGTATTGTTCAGACGAGGCGCACCAATTTCGGCGATGTCACAGAGCGCACAGTCCAAACACAGCTTCATCGAGCTGATGATGCTCCAACATTGTTTGGACCTTACATAAGTGAGCAAGGCCCGGCAGTCCGTCCTAAGCAAGTGCAATACAACACAACTAGCGCCGCACCCTGTACCAGTAGCGGAGGTTCAGTGGAGATTTCTCCTATCTTAAGATATAACCAAAGGAATGCAAGACAGGTTGTCAATAACCAGGAAAAAGTACACACGCCAGGAAAGAATACAAGGAAAGAAATCAAACTGGCCAATATATTAGTAACAGAGGTTATTACGCGTTTCGGCGTGCCTACTGTAGTTCACTCAGACCAAGGCGCGCAGTTTGAGAGCGAATTATTTCAAGAAATGTGTCAGTTATTACAGATAGACAAGACTAGAACCACGCAGTGTGACGGAATGATAGAGAGATTTAATGGCACATTGGCAAAAATGTTGACTGCTTATGTTGATGAACACCATTCCAATTGGGATTGCTTACTGCCCTACGTTATGATGGCATATAGATCAGCTCAACATGAGACCACAGGATGTACGCCTAATCGCATGATGTTAGGTCGCGAAGTTGCTACACCTGTGGACCTTATGTACGAGGTACCTGATTATTTAAAGAAAATTCCACAAAACAAATGGGCGTGGGAACTTCAAGAACGAATGGAAGAAGCTCACCACTTTGTTAGAAAACATGTAGGACAGGAAATGTTGCGTCAGAAAAAGTATTATGACAAACAGTTAAACTGGAGCAAGTTTAGGAAAGACGACCAAGTATATGTATTCTTTCCAATTCGAAAAGCTGGTCATTCTCCCAAATTTACATCCTACTGGCGTGGTCCTTTTCGAGTACTCAAAGAATACTCAGATGTTAACTATCTCATTAACTGTGGTAGGCGTGGTCGACCACAGGTTATACATGTAGATAGAATGAGGTTGTACAAGGGCCAACTTCTGAGAGGAGAAACAGAGATGAACGAAAACGAAAATCAAGATGATACTTTTGAGCCGGAAAGTGTGGTGCCCGAAATTTCTAATGATGAGCCTGATAGTGCGGGCAACATTGTTGATCAAAGTGATTCAAGGGATAAATCAGACTACAAAGGGCGTCCACACCGGGTTACCAAGCAGCCGGCATTGCTGCATGAGTTTGTTAGATAATGTGGATCGCATTGTCGTATATATATTCTTTATCATGTACTAAAATATATAAATAAATATAGATATGTATATAAAGTTAATTTCTACAGAATATGCCGACAAAAGTTATTGCGTTATTTTTATTTTCTTTTGCAGAAATGGTGAAGACAAAAGTTACAGTAAGGAATAGACAGGACTGGTGCTGCCATTTCTGTAATACAGATTATAAAACTGAGGCTGCATGGGATGTACACACGCTCAAATGTGCAAAAGAAAAGAGAGAAAAGGAAAAGTTTCGGTGCACAGAGTCTGGGTGTAATTATGCTTCGGCAAGAAAACAGGATTTAAACAGACATAGGAAAAGAGTTCATGGTCTAGGGAAAGCTCTAGAGGAGTCAGACTGGGAAACACAGAATCCTGGTGATTTGTTGGATATTATTGATACGCCTGATGATCCGCGAACTGTGCGCAAACCAACCAAACCAAACCCAGTAGTAGCTCCTAAAAGGAAGCAGGAACTAATGGACATGTTACAAAAATCAATATCTCCAAAGAAGATTCCCAGAGTGTCGTGCACTGTATCCACAGCGCCAGCTTCAGTCGTTAGTGACAGTAGTGGTTCAGAATCTGACGATTCCACTATTTTCAGTACAGTCTGGACGGCTACCCCAGTTGCATCAGAGAGCTCCGGTATTGTACCAAGCTCAATCTCGCCAAATATTGTAGTTTCAACACCTATAGTGAGTGCACCAATGCCAATACTACCTTTTTCTGTGGACAATCGCACTCAAACTGAAAGATTGAGCCATCATCATCGCCTCCGACGTAAACGTCATTTCATTCACAATCAGGGCATTCTTGTCTCTGAAACAGAGGAAGAGGAATGGGATGATTTTTAGAACACTATCTTTTTGACACACATACCAACCAGAGATGTTGAAGGTAGTTATCAGACAGTGCCGTTAATTAAGTGCATGTCATAAGCAGGAAGCTGGACGTTTTATGAGTTATGAGGACACTTAATTATAGAAGTTGTTTTGGAGTCTATATTAACAGACAGTTTTATTTCTAATTAAAAGTGAGGGAATCACTACTATAAATGTTATTTTGTTGTATATTTTAATATGTATGTCCGTCGGATGGGGACGTTAAATCCGAGGTCCCGTGTTCATGGAGTACCACGCTTTGTGCACGTTAAAGATCCCTCTTAACAAACTCTTTGAGTGGTCCATAAGTGGCTGGTTGTTAGGCAAAATTATTTCTTACCGGTTTTGGCTTGTTGATGTTTTCAGTGGTTTTCAAATGTATAATTTGGTTTGTTGGTTTTCATGGTTATAAATTGATTGCTCAAAAATCTGTCTGCATGCATATTTGAAAAACAGATGTAAAATGACTTGAGGGTACTTAGGATAAAGTTGATTTATTTAAGTTGATGCACATGTTAAATCAGTCCTCCAATGTTAAGACAATAGTATACAGTTGGTTGGGAATCTTGTCATGTCGGGTAGATCATACATCTACGAGTTGTTCTAGTGGTTAGTTACTGAAGAAGTACCAGTTGTTTAATGATATTTATATTTGTGGATTTTGAATGACATGGCTTGAGGCAATACCCGGATAGAGTTTGGGACTGAAAAATGTCCACTTGATGTAGATGTGTTCAATTGATATCGATAAATGCGGGGACGCATTTCCTGGAGGCGTGGGTAATGTGATGAATATAGTTCACCTATTTTATTTTACTACTAAGGGTTCAACTTAGTATTACTTTTATCAAGCTGAAACATTGTTATACGAACTCGTTTAGTTTGAAAATTGAATGGTTGTCTACTATGGATTTTGTTTTGTTAACATTGCTATGGAAATTTATAACATTTAGAATCAGGAACGGACAGATTGTGGTTAGCAAACCCGGAAATATTCCGATCGGTAGTTGTAAAAATAAGGGCCGTCATTCAAACGTTTTAGCAATAAGGGTTAGGTATTCTATAAACACGCATAGGAATAAGATATTTGGTATCGTCCAAAGTAAATGGTATGGTCCAAAACCTAGTATAAAACCTGATGCGCTGTCAGAATAAGGGTCGCTTAATGGATATTCCAGACGTCTCAAAGAAGCAAAAAGGTAATTAAATAATTATTTACACTTTATGAAATATTAAATAGATTCTGAATAAGAATTTATCTGCGTATCTGAATAAGGTTGTAGGGATATTAAAAGTTGTAAATACGCACCGGGTAACAGGTGCATAGACGACTGTGCGGTAATAGTGCACGGGTAAATACGTGCACTGGTTAAACAGTGCACAGGCAGATCAGGTCAAATAGTGCACAGGCGGAACAAGTCAGATAGTACACAGGATAGCGGTGCACAGGATAGTAGTGCATAGGTAGAATACAGCATAGTTTTGGATAGTGCATAGGTTAGCACTGATTGCTATTGGACACATAAGGTCTGTGCAACACATTGCTGGTTGGTGACAAAGGCCAAATTAACAAGTATAAGATCGATATCTAAGAGACGGTGTATCTTCCAATATCCAGGGGTAAACTCTGGTACGATACCCATAAGTCACTTCACCGAGTACGTGACAACTACACGATATGAGTTCGCTCATTTTATGAGGAGCGTACGGTGACCTTTATTTAAATCTACGTAATTTGAATTCTGTTAGATGGTAATTTCATTGACATTGGGTAGCATGGCACATCTACTTATTTTATATACAAACACTATCATTTTCCTGATTTACTAAGTTAAACACAATTCAATTAGATTACTAAAACCAATTGTTTTTACTTGAAATTCTCCTCTTCAAAAACTAAATCATTTTCTTAAGAATTACAATTACCTGAAATATCCCAGGAGACAATTGTCACACCATCTGGTCCCGGATTCGTAGCGGTTGTTGCTGTGTCACAAAACTTAGGTGTCTCGGTAGAGTAAACAGTGCCTCCTTCTTTCTTGAAAGCCTGTAACAGTGGTAACGTCATTTTCATTGCGTTACACATATACTTAGACGTTATGAGAACAGGAAATCGTGTTTCTCAGTTAACCATATAAAGTGTTTAATATGCTCTTTTTGTATTGGCTTCCCAAGCTATAAATATTCAGCCTACTTATTTAGATAATGTTATAGAAAGCAGAGATATCGGTTTTGGATTGTTTTTCTAAATGCTCACAATTATTACATATTTTTGTCATACCTGATTAATTCTTCCATTTAACTTTAAACTTGCATCTATTTCTGATGTGATTTACATTTTACATTAGGGCCCTAATATGTATTACGTCATGTATCGTGAAAAATACATAAGAGAGATTAGTTGTACTTGAGGTACATGTATATAATAAAGTGTATATGATATGGTTTTTTTCAATATCACACACCGTATCAACCCTCAACCAATATAATCCCTCGAGCAGAGCTCTTGGGATTATATTGGTGTCTCGGGTTGATACAGGTGTGATATTGAAATATTCTCTATTTATCATACTGTTATAGAAAAAATATATTATGATAAATGAATTTTTTTATTCTTCTGAAAAACGAATGGGCTGCACTTATATTATATCTATAAGTTTTTGACAACAAATGGGTCGTTACCGCTGATGGTTCGGTCATTGCATGATACAGACGATAAGTAAAAAAATGTCCAATTCTTAAACTTTGTATTTTTTATTCTTTTGGTCAAGGGTGATGATTTTTCCCGAATTACGTGTTGTGAATCATATCAAAACTGTTTATTTTGTCATTTAGTATACATGTAAGAGCTACATAAAATGATGTGATCAGTCTACATATATAGTTACTTATTAATAAATCAAAAATATTATTGTACTTCATTGGTAACTTATTTATGAAATGTGTGTCAGACTACTTACAAAGCAAGAAAATCTGTAATTATTCGTGTCGTCCACAGTGTTGTCCTGGTTCCAAAGTCCTAGATATGTAAAGCTGTTCACAGTGGTATAAAATAAACAACTGTAGCTTCCATTATCTGGGTTAAAGTCAAATTCTTTATTAGCATTATTTTGTGCAATTTAGGTAAGAAGGAACACTGGCATCGTATACTTTGATAATTATCACATACGTTGATGAGTTACCAAAAAGGAAAAGTACAAATTTAGGATTTTGTTCATTTTTTGTTTTTGTAATTGGTGCTTATAGGTGTTAAAGCGGGAGTATTTATATAAATTAGTTTTTTCAATATTTCATGATATAAACCGATCAATGTTTTAGGTATGTTGTTTTTTCACCCATCATCATAATGACCCATCGCAAATTTTATGTTAATAAAAGTGATGCATATGTTTTAAGTCTAATATGATAACTGAGTTTTATACATACGAGAGGTTTGTTTAGCAGGAGAGGAACATGAATCATTGTAGCCAAAACTAACTGTTGTTCTGTTTGCACACACATCTAACGTGTTTCCTGGACAGCTAGTCGTTATGGTGCCATCAGACAGTGTAATGTTAACACTCTGGAATATTGCCAATAAATCATCTGGACACCTCGTTGTCAATAATCCATTATCATACGCATCTGGAACGAAATCATATGTATTACATTTTTGACATCTGTTCTTGAGAAGTCTGTGTGACCCTAGGTATAGCTTGAGAAGTCTGTGTGACCCTATTTCTATACCTAAGTCAACCCTTATTTTATATCGAATCTGATTTAACTTTGAGCGATCGAAAGCCACATTAAGGTATATAATCTGATTATGGTAAAACCAAGCCTTTTATTACTCTCATACATGTGTCAACTGAGTTCACTTAATAAGTAGGCTTTATGCTGAAACATCTAAGCTGGAAAATAAGTGCAGTGGTCATAGTTAATTTGATATAATACAGAAAATAAAGGAGTGCATTTTATATTTGAAGAGAATCGCTTAACGAATAAAAAAAAAACCAAAGAAACAGAAAACAACACAAAATATATTCAGATTAGAAAATGTAAAACTATTATTTTTGTCAAAACGTTTATTTAGCCAAAAGAAATGAAAAAAGAAAAGAAAAAATATTAATGTTTGTTTGCTTTTGTGTGCAATTACTAGAAAAGTCAGTGTGGAAAAAATTGCTAACATTCTTATTACAAATGAAAGCACACTTCCCAAATAATTGTTCCCTATACTTGTGCTAATATTTATAAAATTATTAGCGCACCATTATTTTAATGTGTTTACGCTAATTCAGATTATGGTATGTCCTTGTTTGTATACTATGCCGACTCTAAATATTTATTTATTATTATTGAAAATCTCTCCAATTCAACTAGTATATAAATTTACCTTAAGGATGTTCGCTCCACTTGTTTTTGATTTTTTGCCAGATATTCCGAATCCTCTTGTTTTATCCATGTAGTGCCATTAACAAATTTTGCCCGCTAACCCCTACTTTTCTTTTCATAATTTTATTACATCTAGTTTAAAAAGCCATATTTGAAAATCTTATAAAATCCTTGTTACTTTTTCATTGTTTTTGAAAGAAAAAAGGTGACAATGTTAAATGTATGAAAAATCTAGAGAGAATCATTTCCCGCCAAATTTTCAATGGCTTATATCTCGAAGACAAGCACACGGACCCTTAATTATTTTCTGCTTTTTTAGTTTCTTCATTTATATACTATCAATTAATAACAGTCTTTTAAAAAGCTTGTTATTTTGAAACAGAGGAGCGAACATCCTTAAAAGATACATTTTAACATGACATACATGTATGTACCTATATAGTTACGTACCTGCTTTAACTAACATAACAAAAGTTTGTTTTCCGTAAGGATATGCTCTGTTACATACATCTTCAAACGTAACCGTGCCACCGGTAGAATCGCCATATAGATGGTCTTGAGCAAAAACCTCAAAGTCTAAAATGAAATCCTAAAATTCTCATAATATGAGCATCATACAAGTCTGTACATTTGTTTAAAAGCAATCTGTAAATCATTGACACATAGTTGTAAAATTAAGTAGGATATGCATGTAATATTGAAAAAAAGCAATTTATTTCTTTTCTTATCTTTATTTCTTGTAGGTCGTTATTGAGGAAAAATAAGAGATGAGGTATGATTGCCGATGAGACCAATATTCATCAGACACCAAAGGATGAGGATGTAAACAAATACAGGTCACCGTATGGCATGCAATGGTCAAAACTCAGACCGTATAGTAAGCTACACAAGATCCAGGCATGATAAAATGTGAAACAATTAAAAACAAAAAAAACAACGGCCTTACCTATGCTTATACAATAAACAACAGCACAAAGAACAAAACAACACATCAAAAAGACAAAACAACACATCAAAAAGACAAAACAACACATCAAAAAGACAAAAGACACAAAAAGCCAATCTAGTAAGAGTACTCTCAGTTACCATGAAGGTTACATGTAGTTCAAAGTTCATTTTCAACTAATAAATGAACCACGATTTAGTTAAGACGTCTTAAACAGTCTGAGAAAACTATGACTTCGTGACTTTTATAATTTATACACTTTAACTATATTTATTCATCAAAAAATTATATACTTTTACTTTATTTATATACTTTAACTACATTTATTCATCAAAAATGTAGTTTCATTTACTCATGATCACGAAAACATGTAGGGACAGTCTATTTCTAACATTTGTAGTTTCGTAGTTTCTTTTTTTGACACTTCCAATTTGACATTTCTAATTTCTTACTTGAATTTTCTCAATTACAACTTGAAAGTGAGAAATGTCTAATTGGAACTGAGAAGTGTCAAGTTAGAATTGGGAAATGTCAGGTTGGAATTTAGAAATGCCAACTTGGAACAGAGAAGTGTCAACTTGGAAGTGGAAAGACTTGATGTCAAGTTGAAACTGAGAAATTTCAACTTTGAACTGGAAAGACTTAGTGTCAAGTTGAAACTGAGAAATGTCAACTTGGAACTGGAAAGTGTCAAGTTTGAAGTGAAAATGTCAACTAGGAAGTTAGAAATACACAATGCTTCAACTTGGAAGAATGAAATGTCAACTTGAAACTGAGAAATGTCAAGTTTAAACTGATAAATGACAACTTGGAACTAAGAATTGTCAAGTTGAACTGGAAAGTGTCAAGTTGAAACTGAGAAATGTCAACTTAAAACTGGAAAGTGTCAAGTTGGAAGTGAAAATGTCTGCTTAGAAGTTAGAAATATCCGTTTGGAAGTTAGAAATGTCAACTTATAACTGAGAAATGACAATTTTGAAATGAGAAATGTCGAGTTGGAAAAGAGAAATTTCAACTTGGAACAAAGAAGTGTCAAGTTGAAATTGAGAAATATCCATTTCAGTTTTGTCGCCGAAAAAGCTACAAGATCACAGACGTACCTAACTTTGAACTGAGAAATGTCAAGTTGGAAAGAAAAATGTTAAATTGAAGAATGAAATGGTTAAATGTCTGATTTACTCTTCCCAGGTACTTTTATTAAGTGCTCGGATGGGAAAATTCAAAATTTCATCGATACTGACCAAAACGCATTGTACCTGAAGAAATATTTGCTATTATTTAATTTCTGTATCTGTATGACCGTTAGATTCTTGGTTTACTTGAAGACTTGAATAAAGGAGTTATGAACTGTATTCTTCAGTATTGAAGCCTTGTCGGCCACGACGAAGAAGAAAGCTTATTGCTGTCTCTTTGTTGGCTAATATGGCTTTTTCTGTTGTTTTTTTGTATATATATTAAGTCTGGAGGCTACTCTCAAATGTATATCAGGGCCAATACAAAACAGTCAGTTTTAAAATAACACTGTAATCACGACGTTTGTCACTTACCGGTTCCTAAATAATAATAAAATGTAACGTTGTTTTCCTTAAAAAGCTCTATACACATATAAAACCTCGTGATCGTCCCGAATATATTAGGTTCAATTACCATTCTGAAATTAAAAACAAAATATTTTTCTATATATGCTCATTTGGCTTGGCAAACACCGAATCGTTGACTTTGATAGGTCGATCTCACTTCATGTGGATTGTTTCGGTCCAAGATGAAATCACCTGTCTGATAGTCAATAGTTTGGCTTTGATTTATTACTTAGCATTTGCTTTACAAAAACACATAGCAAATTTGCAAACTCAGCGGTCTTAAAGTGTGACACCATTGACGTTCCTACAAGAAAGGGTGACCCGCTGTTATTTGCACATAACATATATATTGTATTTTGTATACTGTTGTATTTGTCCTTTGGTCATTTTTCGTTTTTTGCCAGTTTTTCCTTGCATTTAAGCTGTGCGTAGTGAGGTTGTCGAATTTCTAACTGGAGGGGTCATGATTAAGGCCATTGCATGCATAAGCTGTCGGAGTTAGGGTAATTCAGTATATTTCTGAAGATTTGGATATAACAAAGGATTGTCTTTTAAAAGAAAGTCTATGTCACAGTTTTATAGTATAACTTAGCCATTGAAATGTCAAAAAAACATAATCAACTTTTTGTTAAATTTGAAGCATCATATGAATTCAAGTCTAGAAAAAAATCTTATGCTAACAGACTAGTCAGAATTTACGTACATTATTGTTTTATTGACAAACAAGAAATTTTCTTTCAATAATTCAAAAGTCTTATGATACAATGTAAAATAATGCAGACGAGAAGTAAAAGTCAAATTTTCTTTACATCTGGTCTTTTTGTCTTAGAAAATATTACATAATACCAAATTACAATTATACATAATTAACTGTGAAATCCTTGTTATTTTTTATAGTTTTTGATAGAAAAACAGTGCCAATGTTAATAGTATGAAAAATCTAGAGAGAATCATTTCCCGCCAAATTTTGAACGGCTTATATCTCAAAAACAAGCACACGGACCCTTCATTTTTCTCTGCTTTTTTAGTTCCGTTATTTATATACTATCAATTTATAACAGTCTTTTAAAAAGCTTGTTATTTTGAAACAGAGTAGCGAACATCCTTAAATGCAAAACTAGGAAATAAAGTGAACTTACTTCAGAACGTATCGATCGTCTCTTTTCTCAAGACATTCGAAATCTGATTTAGGTGTAAAAGGTATTGTTAGAGGGTAATCAATGATATGTGTTACATTAGCCCCTATTGTCCCTGTAGAAGCACTGACATAGGTATCTTCCTCACCAAACGGCATCATACACTGGCCATCTGAAGAAAAGAAATGGCATCAATTACGATGTAAAACGTTTCAAATAGTGTTACATCTGTAACGAAATTGAATTTCACCGGTAGTATATTGTACCTTAATATGTCTGCATTATATAAGTTGGAAACACCAAAGTCAACCCTTCAATAAGCTTTCCATGAATTGTCATCTTCCAACCCCAACCCCCCAAATTTGTTTTTTTTTTACAAGGAATCAATTGATAGAAGGGAAATGCAAAAGGAACCTCAAAAACCCAACATTACGTTTGACGTGTCGACAAGAGAAGTGTTTACGCATCCTCGATGACTCTGTAATTTTAGTTTAATCTTTTGCACTGGTGAGAGGTATAGGTTCACACTATGGGGCATCTTATTTCCCATATGTGCTTTTGTTTGTGCTGCCTAACGTTAGTTACCTGTGTTATGCGTGTTATATTCTATTAATATCGTTTGTCTTTTCTGTCGCGATGTTGTTGTATGTTCTTCTACTTTTGATTTTTATCTGACCCATTTGTAAACAAATGATAATACATATTTACACAATTGAAGAATCAAGACCAATAAAGGACAATCTAAATTAACACGAACAATGGGTCAGTGAAATGTCGACAAAGGATATATTGAGCCAGCCATGTAAGTCAAGATCAACAAAAGTCTGTATATAAATACCAATATGTAAAACTAAAGAATAAACAGATATAAAAGTTCATTATGTAGGTCAATAAAATGTAACCGTACATTACTTGTGTCAAAAGTTGCTGTCTAGTTGACTTATATCTCGTATCTATAAGTATTCTTATTACAACAGTTTAACAGTAAAGTATGTATGATGAGCAGTGTTCATAGACACGCACACAAGTATTGGAAGATCATTTACGGTATTATGAAAACCAGTTTAGGAATGAGAGACACAATAAAAGAATGAGAGACACAATAAAGGAATGAGAGACACAATAAAGGAGTGAGAGACACAATAAAGGAATGAGAGACACAGTAAAGGAACGTACAAACTACCAACAGACATATTTATGAAAATATACAAACTCGGTTGATTTCAATGGCCGCTATACTTTATGTTAGTCTATAAGGTAAGTCCACTTGTATAAAATTAAGCACCTCAGTTATTCAACTATATTAACTTCTAATAACCTAGTACAGTCCAAATGATGTTTTAAGGTATAAATATGGTGCCTATGACCTCCCGTCCCGTGCTGAGAGGTGTCTATGACCTCCCGTCCCGTGCTGGGAGGTGCCTATTTTCTGGGTGAGATGTACAAATACCAACAACGTCGGGTCGGTACGGGAAAATATTTGAAGTCACCGTGTTGGAGTGTTCCCTGCTCTCTACGTGGTACATGTAACGAACTCTTTGTTACCTGTTTGAATGGTGCTCATGTCACTTCATAAAATGCGAAATTGATAAACAAATATGATATTCTGCCTCTAATAAGTCATATGTCAATAAGTAGTTCAAGTATCCCTTAATCCCGGTCCACAACTTTTAAGTGCCAGTCTTTGTAAGAATCAAGCTATTTAGAAAAAAATTAAAACATGGCAAAAGAAAACCCACCGACCTAACCATCCTATTTTGAAGGTACCCTCATCTTGAGTTAGAAATGGTAGGTCTTTCGTTTCTGCGTGTCTGGTAATTCCAGAAATATCTAGATAAATTTTGGTAAGAATGATAGCAAATTACGGAGTTATCTCCCTTAAATGTTAATTTCTAGTGCATTTCAACCAAATCATATCTTGAATCACCAGAACAGGTAAAGGAAACGAATGTTTTATTCAGGCACCGTTATACATTCTGAATTTAAATAATGGTAAAGCTGGGCGGGTTTTTGTTTGTCATGTTTTCACCACTGCCTGATTCTTAGGCAGATTAGCGCTTAAAAACACACCTGTTTGATTTGTTCTCTACACGAATCTGCATGAAATATTTGCCACTGGACGTGAAAGCAGACAATTGATCATTAACTACGTTCTGTATCATGGGGTAGTTTTAGTGATATGACTTTGGTCAATCTTATAAACTTCGGCGTACAAACTATAAAAAATAAGAAGATGTGATATGATAGCCAATGAGACAAGTCTCCACCAGAGACCAAATGACATTGAAATTTAAAACCATAGGTCACCGTATGGCCTTCAACAATACGCAAAACCCATCCTGCATAGTAACCTATAAAAGGACTCCAAATGACAAATGAAATACAATTCAAACGAGAAAACCAACGGGATTTATGCACAAAATAATGAACGTAAAACAAATATGATATACAGCAATAGACGATAACCACTGAATGAAAGGCTCCAGACGTAGAACAGGCACATACAGAATGTGGCGGGGTTGAACATGTTTGTGATGGCGCCAAACCCTCCCCCTAATCTGGGACAGTGGTGTAACAGTACACCATAAGCACAAACTACAATAAAGAGCTGCGCCATGAGCGCATGTTACGCCCCTCGCTTTTTCAAAGAATGAAGTTCCATAACTCCTCAATGTCATATCAGAAATTTATAAAAAAAAACTAAAGGGAGCTCACGTCAATAGATATAAACAATTCACTATCATGCAAATTTGATAAAGCGGTTTTGAGTTATTGTCCGACATGTTGACGACGGACGGACGGACAACGGTATACCATAATAAGTTCCGTAAACGGGCGTATACAAATCAGTTGAAAAGGGCTTAACTAATCAGATCGATACAAAGCACATAACAAACCATAACAAAATCAAAAGTAGAGATCTAAGAGTACACGCAGTTACTGAAAACTAGATCACAGCTAATAACAACTGATAAAAAAGTCATGTGTCAGACTCAAAAGTCTTCATTAGAAATCTTCTCTTTTTAACATTAATAATTTTTCACATAAACCTTTTGAATTTATAAGGAATTACCTGCTTGTTTCGTCCAAATACTTGTAGAGAAGCACAACACAAAAGATATCCATGAAAAGTATCTCAACATTTTCTTTTTTTGTATAACATGCATAAACGCCACTTGGTTTAGGGCAAAATGACAAAAATAATTATTATTCAATATTTTGAAAATTGCACCTAAATTAAATTGTTCTACATTATTAATTTGATTGAATTTTAAACGTCGCGTGCATTTTATTGATACATTACCTTCCGAACAGAAAATTCATTGTCATGAAGGCGATTTAATTACGATATGGGGATATTTCAGCAATTTATAATGTTTTGTTATTAAAGGATAGTCAAATATATTGGACCATGTAAACAATAAAGTAACAGTGTTCATACCGTTCTAATTACTTATTGGTGTTTGGTTACAAAAGTCTCCTACAAGGCAATACACTGAATGACCGTCTGCTTAATGTGGTGATCATTATTAAGTGTGCTTATATTATGCTTTAAAAAAAGTACGAAGTAAAATAGAAATAAAAACGTTTCAATATTTTTCTCATTCTGAGCTATTATATTCATTCCTATTATTATTATTATTATTATTATTATTATTATTATTATTATTATTAAAGACCATTATATTCATTCCTATTATTATTCCTATTATTATTATTATATTATTTTCATTATTATTATTATAATTATTATTATTTTAATTATTATTATTATTATTATTATTAAAGACCATATGTTCTGCAAGTAATAAAAGAATAAAACTAATTGGTCCAACGAGAAACGTTCTTCTGTTAAAGTTCTTCTGTTAAAAATGTGCCATATAGATATCGACATAAAATATAAGAACAACAATATACTAACAAATTTGTCCATTAATTTTTACAGATCTTTTGTATCTCTAGCTCAGGTTTGCTGTTTCAAGCTTCTATCTGTTTATAATAGTTTTCAAATAAACGAAAATACACTAAAATGAGTTAAAAAAATGTAATTTTAGGACAAACCTCGTTTAAGGAGTCTATGTTTATGTTAATATGCTTGTATTTTTGAAGATCTTGAATTATGATCATTTATACAACTGCCGTCACACATTCAGGATTTTTACTGCCGTTATTCCTGATTAAAAATTTGTAAAAAGTCGGATAAAGATCCTGTGATTCGAGGCTGGAAATTTGTAAATCAAATATTTATTTTTATCCTGCAATCGACCTTTCTACTATACTAATACAGGTGTACAGATAACACGAAGCGATAAACGTATACTAGACGTTTATAGTCTCCTAATATCCTGCTTCTGTTGCGAGCGACTGGTTATGTCAAATTACTGTTTACATCACAGTTCAATTTGGGGTCCTCATTGCTGTCCGCGTTTAAGTCATGCCGATTTCATTCAAAAACAAATTCAACGATTGGGATGGGAAAAAAATGTACAAAATTATTGCAGGATAAAGACAATAACTGTTTTGTGTCTTTAAATATCAGCTGTATTTGTACTCGGCTCCAAACAGGAGTAATAGCTCGCTGAAGTTCGCATTACACCTGTTTCTTAGCCTCGTACAAATACAGCTGATATTTAAAGACACTAAACAGTTATTGTCTATATATTTTTCAGGAACGTCTCGATAATCCCGTTTTCAATCCGATTCAGATCCGATTTGTATCTTTCGAGTGGTAAATAGATATAGGAAGATGACCGAATTTGTCCCGATAGCGTCCCGATTGTCCAGAATGTGATCACAGGATCTTGATCAGACGTTTGACAAATTTAAATCGGGAACGGTCCTATTAAGGATGGCAGTTACACTCCTGAATGTGTGTCTGAGGCTTTGTAGTATTTTGTATTTTTCGTATCAGTCTATCTCTTCTAGCTTTAAACGGCACATTATGTAAATATACAAAACATGGTCAGAAATCATCATTTAAGGGCTATCCCTTCATTAAGAAGTTTTCTGATAATTTTGATACAAATGAAAAGTAGGTAGATTTTTTCCTCGTCATATCTGTTATGGGTTTCAAGGTATAAGATTATTACTTGATAATGTTCTAATTTAGCTATGACGATAATCTAGCTTGAAGTTCCGTAATACTTCACAAACTATTATTACATGTATAATGACCTAATCATGTTTTGAATTGGTTAAAATAGGTTCGGTAGATCAGAGGGAGATCTCTGACAAACTTTACAACAGATGTAATACAATGTAGCTCATCGTGGTCTATGTTAATAAAAAGGAACAATCATTATATGTATATGCTTGAATAATCTTGCTTGACCTGCCATTTATCGTTGCGTCGTATGAAAGTCGATCTTTGTTTGTTTAGTATGTCAAATGATAATGTCCTTCATGGGCAATTAACTGTAAATCACAATACTGACATTCAATTTTGTCGAACGTTTGATTTTGGCCCCAATTTTGCTTACGCCCAAAGCAACGTTTTGTGAAGGACATAATATATAAATCTAGTAAACACTTATGGCATTAGATGTGAGCATCTAGATTAACCCTCAGCAAGAACACTCATAGCAACAAGTTCGGAAAGTCAAACCTGTATAAATGCCACACCTAGTTCGTGTGTTAACCTCTTAAATTACAGGAGGTGGTTGATAAAATAACGACTAAAGAATGCATTAGTTGTACCAATATTATTAATTCGTTCCTATTTTCAGTGTATTAATTACACCCATTTCAAATGCAATAAATGCACCGATATTAGGAACGAGATATAAACTTCCATTCACAACTAATATTGCGTTTCATGCAGAGGGTTACCTACATCTAAAATAGTAAGAAATATATATATAAAGTGCCTAGAAAATCAACAATGTTAGAGTAGATCTGATTCTTTACTTCCTCCCCGAGCTGGGCTGGAACCTGTACTTTTCACTTCTCACTTCTACGACAACACCGCCTAGCATTGCGCAAAGACCTTATCCCCTCCTCTAACTATGGCTGATAAAAATCAGCTTTCGTTTCAGGATGTGTTACCTTCTCGTAGTTATTAGACAAAGACATCTTATCACAATACACGAAGTATTTTTAAGTGTACAAGAATGATCATCTACTCATCTGTTCAGTATAATTACAGGATGCTATTCTATTTTTAGAAGCATACAATCACTATGAATTATATATATATGTATGAAAAAGTCTTCAAATTCATAAAAAAAATAATTGAAAGTTTTCTCGTTGAATAATCAGTATTAATTCCTCTACGTAGGCAAATATAAATCACCGCGTCCTTAAATCTCTCATTTTTTTTCACTTTGTGTTTAATCGTCTCTATTTATCTAAGGTATACCTAGAAAATCTACAGATACCATGTTCTATAGTTTTATAATGATAATAATTGTGTTATATAAAGGAAAAGACTTCCTAAGATAGTGTCAGATCCTCCTTGCCTCGTAAGTTAAATAGAATACTGTGGATTCATTTATTGTGGTTGGTACCTATTTCCAAGAGAAAAGTCCGTTCTTTTCTTTCGCAGATATTTGATTGTGTAGTTTAAACAAAATTATGTTTACAAATCTACAAGAACTGCGTATTATAATGGATACCACGAAATTCACGAAAAATAGTATACCAACAATATTTTGTATTCAAATGTATAAACAAATTTTATTTTATTGAATACTTAAATCCTATACCCATGAAATTAACAAAAAATTGTACACCACGAATAAAGATATCCCCTGCCAGATGAGAAGCATACGAAGGGTAACTTGGTTTTATTCCGTTTGTAGCATGTTAAAAAATTCCAATCTAGAACAAAAGGGTAAAAGTTAATCATATAACCTTACCATGTTATTATCATAAATATGCCTAATATTTGCCACTGGACGTTAAATAGCTAGTTGTCAATTAATCAATCTCAGTATGGTGCGAGTTGTTACGTATACTGTAAGATTAAGTAATGAGTTTGCGAGATGTAAAACCACTTCTACAATTGGATGTACCAAAGCAGTCGTTCAAAGAGGTTCCTAAGCGAACGTCCATTTAATATTCGGGGTGGGGGAGAGTGCAGGATTAATTTTTGCGGATTGACTATTCATTTCATCTGTTGTTACGCATGCTTCTTTTTTCAGTTTTAAACACAATTGTTTCCGGCATTTTTGGGTAGCAGAATATTCATGTTTATCCAGTCTAATGCAAGATCATTTACTTTCAGTTCTTACCAGGCCAGACCATTCATGTTCTAAATCCTCCTGCCCAATCCACCCCCTAGAAAATCAAGTCAAACCTAAGTCCCCTTACAGTTCAGTTAATTTGTTATACCCAAATGAATTCACGTCTTTGGCAAATTAAAAAGACATTACAGACACATAAATTTAGCTTTGTAAGATTAGTCTTATTCATAAGCAGAGTAGATATTTTATCATAGTAACATTCTTGCTTTATTTGGCACTTCAATATTTATAGTTATACTCGTCTGGACACATGTACAATATGTGTCAAAGTAAAGGTTTACTTTTATTTTGTCAGCCAATGTCAACTTTTAATTATAAAGTTTTAAATTTACTGATTATTAAAGGTATGCAATCAGATCTAGTGTAGGCTTCCTGCTGACGTCGAATCTATATCAATGGTTTGATTATAGTCAGGAGAAATAATGAACAATAAGAGTGTTTGTTTTCTCGTTTGTGGTCCATAGAACTGCATGATTCGACAACAACAAAATATTTGTGTTTTATTATTTCAACTGTTTCAAAAAAGTGACTTCTTGTTCTTATCACCATTTCGACAAATATATAAATCAATAAATGAAAAAAATATGGTATAGTAATCGTTAAACTTTATATTTGTAAATATTGAATCGTGGAAGGCATACTTTGGACATTATGGTTAAGATTGGATTCTTTTGTATGATTGTAATGTGTGTAATTAGTAATACAGGTTAGTTAATGTTATATATGTATATATTTATATACCCTTACATTTCATATCCCTCAATTTTAATGAACTATGATGTTACATAAATTTTCATTAAAAGCCAAATTGATGAATTATAAAAAAAAATGTGTACATTTTTTAAAAACTGATCTTATATCTGTTACTCAGTGACCACAATGCGTATATGAATTATTCTCTTGTAGGCAAATATTTGTTTTGAGTGTTCAGTCAACTTGACTCAGATGTTTTCATCTTATTCTGATTTTATAATACTACCATTAAAACGAATGCTACTTTGATACAGAGTAAAGAAAAAAGGTTATTTGAATCTCTATTTTAAAAAACTTTCTAAATATATGTGACGGTCAACTGTTGGTTGACGGGATTGATTGATGAAAAAGGACCAGTACATTCACGACATGTTGACCTTTGAGGATAGTTGTCACATTGGCAATCATATCTTGTTTTCTTACTTTTATATCGAAACAGGTGTATGTATATAAGTATTCTTCACTATGGCAGATACACTTCTTGAATTTAATATTTATGTCAAGATGATCGGCTTTACGATACAGTGGAACTTAGAACTAAATTAAATATAAAACAGACAAATTATTTTAATTAATATAGGATTGATAGTACGCTCTATATATATAATATTTTTTGGTAATATATATTTTTATTTTCATATCATTTTCAAGTCTCATCTACAAATAAAGATGTACAAAAAATGACTTTTGCAATAACACATAGATATATGGTAAATCATAATTGTTTCAATAGAACAGTCAATAATACAATGAAGAATACATCTTTATAATATCATTATATACCCCAGATGCATCCTGCCAATTCAAGGATTCACTTCAGGGTAGATGGAATGGAGGTTATGATGCAGACACCAGGAAAAATGTTGTTTTTAGTTTTGATGGAGATACACTGAGGGATTTTACCTTAAACATGCCAACACTGTCACAGAGTGATTTTACTTGTGTCGAAAGTTACGAGAAAGGAGATACAACGATATATACCTTACAAAATGTGGAGTAAGTACTGGGTATTCTACAATATGGAAAGTCTTTTAAATGACAATGTCTAAGCTGACAATGGTTAGGTTCATAATGTACACTGCTATGTGTGTTTGTATGTGTGTGTGTTTCTATAAAAACTTAAATGATTACGACAATCAGTTACTGTAATATAATTAATTTTTTTGTTGTCCATGTAATTTTGTTGACGCGTAGCCAAATTCTTTTCAAAATGATCATGCATGAGATTCTTCTTCTAAACTTATTTTTTTCTATGTTAAAATTATCTGTCAATTCGGTTGTTTACGAAAACACTTTTTAATAAACATATATACTTTTTCAATTCATCTTATGTAAAGTATATACATGTTTAGTAATGTTATAAATCATATCGGCTATACCTGTCATAAGTATTACTATTGACACATGAGATGTATGAGTAACTGAGACTGTACTATAGTGGAAATGAGGTTTTTTTTGGATTTTTTATTTGTCGTGCGTATATATATTTTAGGACTCCACAACCCATTTTTGGGATCCAAATCGACATTTACTTTTGTCTGGCTGTCAAAGGCGAAGAGTATTCTATACTGACAGGTACATCTTATATAATTATGATTTTTCTATAAGATTTCCTATGTTGTACAATACATCCCATTCATCGCGGTTATTGTATTTTTCGAACAAGGTAATTTCTGATTCTGTATAAAAATAAATAGATGTGGTATGATTGCCAATGAGACAACTATCCATCAAAGTTCAAATGAAGTGGATGTAAGCAATTATAGGCAACAGTACGGCCTTCAACAATGAGAAAAACCCATACAATATAGTCGGCTATACAAAGCCCCTACATGAAAAATATGAAACATTCAATTGAGAAAACTAACGGCCTAATTTATAACAAAACAATTTACGAAAAACAAATATGGCCGACATGAACTAACGACATCCACTGAACTACAGGCTCCTGACTTGGGACAGGCACACAAGGAATGTGGGTGGGGGGGGGGGGGGGGGGGGGGGGGGGGGGGGGTTAAACATGTTTGTGAGCGATCAACCCCCTAGCTAGTTCAAAGCCAATAACAACTAATAAAACAAATCATATATCTGATTCATTTCTACCAAAGTCTCGTATTTCATAAAATAAAATTAGACTGATATAAAGGAGATAAAACATTTCATGAGTGTTTTTTTTTTATGGGGGGGGGGGGGGAGGATAATATGGAACTATTAAGATATAAATAGAAAGAAAATAAAGACAAAACTAACAAATAAAAGCACTTTTGATCACTATGTGCAAGTTTTATGCTTTCTTCATTATTACATGACATGCACAAATGTCCAAAAAGTACAAATACATAACATACATGTACTTACATCCTAAAATACCTATTTCTGGATTTATAAAGATTTTCATTAATATTTCAGCATCATTGAAATCTCTGCAAAATGTGTTTTCCTTTGAGTGCTCTTAAAAGTGTCATCAAAATTATATATCATCGGTTTACGCTCTGTTGGTTCCTCATGAAAATAGAGAAAGCATATTTATGGTAATTTTCATTATTTAAAAAACATATAAATACACACCAACGTCAAACGTTGTTAGATAGAGATCTTTTATATTTTTTTCTAATCATATTTATTTTAGATAGAACTCAAATGCCCTAATCAGCGTTCCTTACTGCAGAAACTTGCATTAAATAATGCTATGACAGTCAAATTTGTTTACTTTAATAGATTCAATCAAAATATAACAATATTAACTATTAATTTGAATTAAAGGTTTGAATCCTATCCTAAAGGATAAAGTATATGGCGTGAAAGCCGGTACATCTGTACTTACTAATGATATTTGTAACCAGAATGGTAATGAAATGAACGAAATGACACAAATAGCGGACCAAATAAGCATGAGAAAGAGTGAAGAAATAACAAGGTACGAAATGCAACGTAGCCTATTCCCTCCTTTTTTCAATGTGAAAATGATACTTGTATTTTGAAGTTTTTTTTATTATATTGTGATAGATATATATATAGATAATGCATAATTGACGATTTAATGTTATTCAGTTTATTGAGACTCGCATTTTGTTTGCATAATGTTTACTGAGAGAAAATATAATTCACCCACAATGCCTAATTCTAATAATTGATTTATTTTAAATTCATCAAACACTAAAACATTTCTTGGTCTACAAATGCACTTTCAAAATAGAAGGTAATCAGTGCCTTACACTATATAAAAATTGCTCATCGCTCGCACAACGTGAAGGCGTCCAAGCAGTTAGCTAATTCTATTTACTGATACATTGAGCTTGTAAGACATGCCTACAAATGTTCATGTTCAATGCCTTTGTAAAAGGACGTGGGACCTTTTTTTATATTCTCTTTTTCTACTTTTGTTAAGATTTTTTCTGGTAGAAAGGGGATAATTCAAATGTATAACATTTATACTCTAGACAAGTATAAACTATATAATGTATAATTTATGAAGCTTGTTCAGATGCATCTGTTCTATCATGTTGTGGAAACGTTAACGAGAACATGGTTTGTTTGAAATGTTGACTGTTTCAGATATAATTAGATCAACATTTGCTTCCTTTTTTCTCTGTATATTTAAATGTAAGTTTTAGGTGTACAAATATATTTTGCGTTATGATTTGTGATTCAATGTCCGTTTTTCCATGAAAGTCCATTATTCTTATAATTCATTAAACTTCTTTCCGAGTCTCAAACTCATTTTCATTGTATCGCTCTATTTACATTGTATTGTACAACAACATTGATTTAAATTGATATATTATGAAAGTTTCATTTAAATTGTGAATGTCTCATCTATTTAATATAGAGTACAAACATTTAACTGATAATATCATCATTGTAGTATTACATACAAATATGCATTATTTTGTAGACTGGTCGATTCACTAGAAAGGGAACTTGAAGACCGACCTTGAACATCTGTAGTTACATTGTAGATAGTCTCTAATAACATTTTGTAGATTTTCGAGAAAAAATACTATAGTTGCACCAGAGAATATCATTTTTGATTTCATCTTATATAGCTGATGATGATTCTGTATTCAAGCAAGTTTGGCGCAATCAGAAGTGTGTACACAAACATCTGGTCTGAATTTTTGTATTGTAATATCAAAATCTTGTAAATGATTTTACAGATGTAAGAAAATAATTTACTTACAAATTGTTTTTAATTATCTTCATTATTATTATTATCATCATTATCAATAGAAAAAAAATGTTAGGTCATATGTATGTGTGTGTGTTCATGTATTTGCCACTTAAAGATTTATAAATGTTTTAATGGGCACAGAGCATAGCATTTTTTCATAATTGGGCATCGGATTTAACCGGACGAGACTGCGTGTTTATACTTCCCTCACACTTAAACAAGCGCCTCCTCCCTCAGAACGTTCAAACGAAAGAAGCGCATTTTCTATATCACAGTCAATCTTCTGGTTGAGAGTTCTGTACTTCAATCAATTGATGGAAGCGACAGTTTGCTGCTAGTTCGTTGCTGTTCTACTATCAATTGATTTTTTAAAGGAAGATAGTACACGTAGAACTAAAACGTTAGGCAAGTGTTATCGGAACCAGATTTAGACAACCATTCGCTTAAATCAGGTTAATTAATTATATCATTCTTTTACATCGTTTCCAACAGATTCATGACGTCCATATTTGTTTATGTAATCGTTCCCAGAAGATTTTGAACAAACACGTATACGTCTTTCACTTTAACTACACAGGTTTGTTCTGGTGACTTCTGATCCGTGTCTTCTTTCTCAATTTCAATAACAGAAAAGGTCCTGCATGTGTCTGTCGTAACATTGTTCACTTACTGTTTAATTGATATTGGAAACGGGGAATGTGTCAAAGAGACAACAACCCGACCAAAGAGCAGAAAACAGGCCAAGGCCACCAATGGGTCTTCAACACAGCGAGAAAATCCCGCACCCAGAGGCGGGCTTCATCTGGCCCATAAACAATAATGTATACTAGGTCTGCGAAAATGGACATCACACTAAACTCCGAAAGATATAAATGAACCAATATTAAAAAACATACAAGACTAACAAAGGCCAGAGGTTCCTATGACATACTTGACACCGATAATCAATGAATAAGAAACTGTCATATGTAGTTAAGATAAATATGTGGTTTTTCCCTACATTTTGCAAACTAGTCATCAATTTTATATAACAGACGTGAACAAGAGCGAGCTGCTGAGCAATCTAGATGAGTCCTATCCTTGATCAAAGTATGTAGGTGCTCTTACATCTCAGGAACACAAAAAATTGGGCTTAACATTTGTTAAACTACATGTTTCATAACATGTACCAAATTGGCACACCATCTGCATAAATTGCGACGGTTACGAGGTGGGCAAGTATAAATTACACAAGCATCTTCATTATACCAGCAATGAAATAAAGTATTGGCCTGACATGCTGCAGTGCTCATGAGTATTACTTATATCAAAACATTCACAAGCGCTATCACAAACCAATACCAATCACCTCTGTGGTTAACTGTATTATTCCGTGCCATAACATGAAAGTGTGTTGACAGAATGCTGAGTAAATACAGAGAATCATTGACACGTTGATATAAACATCGGTTATGTTTCTGACTTATAATATCAGTTCTTAAAATAAAAAAGAACTTCACGAATAGCTATGGCATTGAAGTACCTAGACTACATTTGCTCAGCAGTATGGTTCATGTCTAGGTAAATGTACATCTATTTTTCTTGGAGTTCGATAATTTTGTTATTTTACTTTTTTTTATAACAATTTTCAAACCAATAAATATATATGAATAGAAATAAATAAAAATGAAAATCCGTGAAAAGATGAGTATAAAAAGCGGTTTTAAATCGTTCCTAGTCGATACAAGTGGTGAAAAAAAATGAACAAAAAATTCAGAGATTTAACATAAACCAACTTTTCCAAATGTTTATTTCATTTTCAAATGTTAATTTTATTATTTTCTGCAAGAAAATTGTGTACTAATAAACACATAAATTGGGTGAGATCTTTTCTTCTTGTACTGTTCATGATGTTGCTGTATGAAACCAAATCCGAGGTACAATCGCCGATATTAGACCTAGAGGAGTACAGGGCAGAGATATAAGTTTGGAATTGAATAGAAGAATATGTTGAGTAAACGTCAATGAGATAACACCACAACAATAAAAATAACCAATAGACATCCAGAGGTCAATATACGGTCTTCAATAGAGAGATGTATTAACAAAATATCAAGCTGTAAATCGCCTGGTGTCTATTGTGGCATATTTTGGCCTCAAGCATCACTGAAGAGACATTGATTGTCGAAATGCGCATCTGGTGCAGAAAAATGTGTACCGTTTATGTTATTGTATAAATGTAACAAAGCCTACCAAACATCTGTCATCATCGATTATGTTGATGCGTGTCACTTCAAAATTGATGTAGACAAACCTACATGGGCGGATGAACGGCATAGAACGGACAATTTTGACACTCTTCGTTCTTGTTTATGATTATGTATTAGTTCATACTCTAGTTCTTTAAAATTTCTGCAGTATAATAATGCGAAAAATGAATCTTTAGCCTATTTCGTACCAAGTTCGTCTTACAAGCGAACAACGCCCCCATTACCATGTAAGATGCATCGAGAAGTGTTTTTAGGACAATTGTGACTAAAATATAGGACGGTTTATATTGGAGTATGTGTCAGTTACTCCTCGCCTCGTTTCCAGCTGTTTTATGTATGCTTTTGATTTAAGTGATTGCCGTATTTTTAAAAGAAAGAATTAATTAAAGAAAAATTATCTTCCCGCTTTAGTGTTATATATTAATAATTTAATTTTGAATGTAACGCATCTTCTGATTGGCTGACGCTGTTTTGTTTATCAGCTCATAGACATAATTTTGTCATGTGACCTTGACGTCATCAACGTTTTTTCATGGTTTACTCCGGTTTAAAATGGAATTTAGAATTAAATTATAAGAAATGAATGTAATATTTTTTCTGTCTATTCGAAATAACATAAAAAATGTGGTGCACACTTCAAAATAACCTGCTACGCGGGTTATTCAGTGTGCACCACATTTTTGATGTTATTTCTTCATAGACAGAAAAAATATTACAGTCATTCCTTAAGTAAATATATTGTATATTCATATTAGTATTTAGAAAATAAATATATTTATAGCTCTTTTTTATTTTTCTAAAATCAAATAAAAATGCATTCAAAGATCGATACGTAACAATTAATAAAAAGGAGTAATTTCATAATTATTTCAAACACAATTTCAATATTACTGTCTGTAAACAAATATTCTTTTGCCACATTCGCTTGATATTATTAGTTTTCTTAATGTTTTATTGTAATTGATAGCATACGGTAAAGACAAACATTCAAAAGCTGGTTCATCGATCAAAAACTTGCTTCCATCTGTCGAAATTTCTAAAACATGTGGCGATGACCCGTAATTGATCACTAGCACTTTCCCCTCTGGTAAAGACGTGATCCCTTTAAAAATAGATCCGTTATACTTAAACTTGTAAATGATATCTCCAGAACTATCGAAGCAAATGAAGGAACTGTCATCGTCATTGGTAAAATAGATTTTATTCCCAGCTGAATGAACATAGTTACGGTAACTAACTGGTGTAATAATTGTATTTAATATTTGACCACGATGATCTATTACTAATAACCCTTCCGTTTTACACGCCACTACTAAATGCTTGTTCATTTTAGTTATTCCAAAGCACCCATAAGTTAGTTCTACAATTTTTCGCTTTTCTTTTTCTTTTGGATAAACCACTTGAAAATATTTTTTAAAAGGCAGTGTAACAAAAACCCTATTAGAATCCACCAAAGTAAAGTCAAACGGTTCATCTTTAAGGTGATACACGTCTAGAATGGAACCTTCTTCTGTACAATTGAGTAGACGTTTATTCTTGCCATCCGCCAGTAGTAGGTTCCCATCATCAAGAATTAGTACTCCTGTTATCATGACGTCATTTTTTTCTTCAGTTGGTACAATGAAATCTGAAGACAGGTAAAACGTTGGAACTAAAGCTTTCCGCTCGAAACTGACGGTGTTCTCCTGGCGATTCTTGACCGACTGTTTTGGTGTTATCGGTGACAAGGTTCTGTTTTTATAATTATTATACTCGTTTTCTCTCACGGTTAAGATATCCATATCAACATGAACAGGGCTACATAAATGCGGATCAAAACCTAACTGATGAGCCGAATACGGAATTTGAGTCCGATCCGTATTCTTTGGAACATCTATTTCAACCTCAGTTTCTGTTAATCTAATTCCACCAAGCTTTTCAGCATTGAGGAGTTTCTGAAAGCTTTCTTTAATGGACAAGTCGAGTTTCAAATCCTTAACACTTTCGGGTAGGCTAAGCAGATATCTTTCGTGCCGGGTTTGTATATGGGCACAGTCCTGAATGAAGTTAACAGTTTCTGCATTCGAACCGACCAGCTGTAATTCCTCGATCATTTCAAGATGTGAAGCGATTGCTTTTCTCTTTTCTTTAAGGTCATCGATTTGAGTTTGAAGTCTTGTCTTGTAGTCGGTCATGTCGATATCAACATCTTCCAAGAGCTTCTTGATCAATATTTCTATGGCTTTCCTCATATTTTCACGAAATGTTTGTACTTGATTTACAATTACTTCTTTCTGTTTATCTAGTGCCTTCAAATTCTTATTTCTATTTTTAAGAATTTTACCGAATGTAAGACTGGACTCCCTCAGCCTCTGATTGAGATCATTGATAGCAAACGAGTTCCGGGCACCTGTTCCATCTGAGTTTATGTCAAGTGTCTTACAGTTGAAATGAGTTATGTCTTTCTTACATAGATCACAGATAGTATGATTATGAAACCGACAATACATCGATATAACTTTGGAAGGGTGTGTTCGGCAAAACATTATTGGGCGCTCCTTCCTGAGCGAAAAGATGTGGTAATCTTCAACTGGCATGAAGCTATGATTAGAGGAAAATTTCAATTTCTGATGCCGCTTTTTGCAAGGGGTACAAAGGAACTTCATACACTTGTCACACCAGCCAACAGCTATTTTGTTCTTTCCTTGTCCAGCACAGTTATTACAGGGGAAAGTCGTAGCCATTCTTGTTGCTACAATGAAAATACGTTTTGTGTAAGTATACCAAGAAGACAAGTAATATAAGCGAATTCCGAACGTCAAACAGTCAAGACAATTCATCAATGTATAAATGTTGAGACAACGAAATGGGCAATTCAACGGCATCTCAGAGCTTAAAACAGTTTACTCATTTGATATCTTACAACATGCTTAAAATTAAACAATTTTGTTTTACCTTTATTAATAAATAAATATATATATATATACATATTTTAATTCTCTGTATAAAATTTAAAAAAAAAAGATATTTCAAAAAAAGTTTTACAAATTTGGATAATATTTTGCATACCTGCCATTTGGTTGCCTGCCATTTTGAAAGTATTCCTTTTTATACTTTACCAATGTAAAAATATTTAATCGGTTCTCCAGTGCAACCTAATGTTCCGTATCCACAATTGCAGTAACGTTTAAATATTTCAATTGATTTTGTGTTATTTTTCGTGCTTAATTTCAAAGGTTATTCATACAGATTAAAATATCTGTTGTTATAACGTATTTAATGAATTAGATCTCCGATCGTTTTGTTTTTAAAGTGCACCGAGAAACATAGCTAAATTTAAAATATGTCTGTTTTAAAAAATTCCCTTTTGTCAACGCCCTACCTTTAATTGTTATATGAGAAACTATCTTGTGAAGGTTAGAATAGCCTGCTCCAATGTATCATGTATTCATTTGTCAAATCTCTTTTATTTATATTCGTTTGAATGTAAATAAACACTCTGGGTATTGACCGAAATATAATCCAAAACAGAAATGGGTTTTTTGAAAAGATTAAGATAACAACTGCAATATTATTTATTGGCCTGAGATAGCGTTGTGTTTACAAACAGTACACAGTGTAGAGATTGGCTTCTTTATATTAAGACCACTTTTAATCGGTCAGTAGAAGAGAACAGTTATACAGTAACTATTGAACGCGTGAATCAGCTGTTTATTTTTGTTTCCCTTGTCCCTGATTGTGATATTTATTATAGATTAAATGTTCTTCGGGACAGTTTTTTTTTTCATCTTCATCGCGAAATGTGCGAAAATAAACTCCATTTGAACATTTCCAACTTTTCTTTATTACCAAAAAAGCTGATAGAAAAACAAAGAAAAATATTGATTGATTGATTGTTGGTGTTTAACGCCACTTTTAGCACTTTTGATAAAGTCGTGGCAGTCTGTGTTTTTTTTTTTGTTGGTGGAGGAATCAGGAGTGCCAAGTAAGAACCACTAACCTTCGGCGAGAAAATTGGTAGTTCTAGTCAATTAAGATTAGAGTCGACCTGCCACGGGTTAGAACTCACACACTCAATGTTGACAGGGCAGTAATACAGTTGATAAACTACTTAGACCACTCGACCACAGAAGCCCATCAAAGAAAAACAAAGAGTTTTGTATAGAATAAAAGCGAAATGCTACATTGTATATTAGACTGACTGTGTTCGTTATTCTTTTCACATTCAAAAATTCTTAAAAAGTCTCCCCTCAAAAAGAAGCAAGGATAAAAGTTGATTCCTATTTTATGACTAAATGACAACACACATTTATAAATCTGCTTTAACTGTAAAATGCGTTAATCACCAAAGTCTTAAAATATGTAGAGATTTAAAAAGAGTGACTTATTTTTTACATGGCGTGGTCAAAAAGATGTCATTAAGTGTATTTAGAATGATTGGGAAACTCTTTATGGGAACTTTCAGAATATCCGTGCGGTTAGAGCGACACATATTTCTCTATTGTTATTGCATTGATCAGAATGAAAAAGGGTAAGAGTGAAATACTACAAAACTAGTGTTACATCGTCCTTTGTTTACTTTTCAGAAGGTAAATACACTTCATTTATATGTAATGACAAAACGTTCAACTTTCCAAAGTTCTATGCTTATCTCCCTTTGATATTGCTCGAATTATGCTTCGTTTCAAAATTTTCACCTTAATTGCGGATTTCAATCTTCATGCTGGGTCCATTTGTAGTAGCTACCTAATGTATAAATTGTTCATACGTTTTCCGTCCTGCATATGCATGTTTTATTTGCCACTGCACGTTAAGCAAAAACAATCAGTTTGGAATATTACTTGTTTGAATTTTTTTTAATTCTAAATTCTAACTTGGTGCATTATTATCATACACATTGGCTAGAGGTGTAGGGGGAGTGTTGAGATCTCACAAAACATGTTTTACCCCGCCGCATTTTTTTGTATATCAATTCGTTCTTACTTTATTCGTGTACAGGTAGTTTACGTGGGTGTGAGTTTGAATTAGAAAAGAGGAAAGAAGTTTATTTAGGTATACGTGTATCAGGTAGCAACCAAACAATAGAGATTGGCCCAAATAAACATACATGTATCAAGCCAAAATTAATCAGATGACCGAGGACTGGAATACTTAAGATTATTATAGTCATAATGTGGTACACTCGTCATTGTTCAACGAACCGTCATACAGGGATATGTACAATTAATTAAAATACTTTACAGTACAAGAAATAAAGAAATGTGGAATAGAACAATTGTTTTCTAACGGGACACTCTGATGATTTAAGACACTCCCAACAGATTGTTATAGCTTGTTCTTATGTTGTGCTATACACCACTGTCCCATGTTAGGGAGGGTTTAGTACTCACACATGTTAAATCTCGTAATATTCTTTATGTTCTGTCCAAAGTCAGGAGCCTGTAGTGGAATGGTGATCGTTGGTTGCAGTTAGTCATATTCTGTATGTGGTGTCCAAAGACAGGAGCCTGTAGTTGAATGGTTATCGTTGGTTGCAGTTAGTCATATTATGTTTGTGCTGTCCAAAGTCAGGAGCCTGTAGTTAAATGGCTATTGTTGGTTGTGGTTAGTCATATTCTGTATGTGCTGTCCAAAGTCAGGAGCCTGTAGTTGAATGGTTATTGTTGGCTGCGGTTAGTCATATTCTGAATGTGCTGTCCAAAGTCAGGAGCCTGTAGTTGAATGGTTATCGTTGGTTGCAGTTAGTCAAATTCTGTATGTGCTGTCCAAAGTCAGGAGCCTGTAGTTAAATGGTTATTGTTGGTTGTGGTTAGTCATATTCTGTATGTGCTGTCCAAAGTCAGGAGCCTGTAGTTGAATGGTTATTGTTGGCTGCGGTTAGTCATATTCTGAATGTGCTGTCCAAAGTCAGGAGCCTGTAGTTGAATTTTTATCGTTCGATGTGGTTAGTCATATTCTGTATGTGCTGTCCAAAGTCAGGAGCCTGAAGTTGAATGGTTATCGTTGGTTGCGGTTAGTCATATTCTGTACGTGCTGTCCAAAGTTAGTAGCCTGTAGTTGAATGGTTATCGTTCGTTGCGGTTAGTCATATTCTGTATGTGCTGTCCAAAGTCAGGAGCCTGTAGTGAAATGGTTATCGTTGGTTGCGGTTAGTCATATTATGTATGTGCTGTCCAAAGTCAGGAGCCTGTAGTTGAATGGTAATCGTTCGTTGCGGTTAGTCATATTATGTATGTGCTGTCCAAAGTCAGGAGCCTGTAGTTGAATGGTTAACGTTGGTTGCGGTTAGTCATATTATGTATGTGCTGTCCAAAGTCAGGAGCCTGTAGTTGAATGGTTATCGTTGGTTGCAGTTAGTCATATCCTTTTTTCGTTTATTGTTTGATCATTAATCATATCGTTGGTTTTCTCGATTGCATTGATTCACATTTTGTCATGGTCGGGCCATTTATAGCTGAATAGACGGTACGGGACTTGATCATTGTGGAAGGTCATACGGTGACATACTGTTGCTTTAATTCACGTCTCATAACTGTTTCATTGGCAATAACACCACATCTCTTCATTTTTATATATTATACTAAATTGGAAAATGGGAAATTTTCTTTCAAAGTGAAATCTATTAATTGCAAACAAGTAGTTGTTTTAAGGATCTTGGACGTGCACAGAGATAGACATTTTCCCAAACGATACTGTAAGATCATATACCTGGTTTATCAAGAGTTCAAAGTAAAATTGAAGCCATCGCTTCTAAAGTTTTATGGGTGTAATCATGATTTTGATTGACCATTATGGAATATCTGTTTCATGGATGACTACGGGCATGTTAAACTTATTGTAATCACAATCCTCGATTGTGATAATACGGAATGCGACTTACCACCTGATATGTACGACGAGTGTATGCCTCGATTGTGACAATACGGAATACGACTTACCACCTGATATGTACGACGAGTGTATGCCACGTGTGGAATAGGAACTGACTACTCTTCCGGAGTACCAGAGTTCATCCCGGTTTTTTGTGTCGTTCATATTGTTAAATCTTTAGTGTTCTGTGTTATGTTTTGTTATTGTTGTTAGTCTTATCGTCGTTTCAGTTTATTTTTTACCATGGCTTTGTCTGTTTTGTTGGACTTTTTTAATTGCCTCCTTTGGTTTTTTTCTCACTCCCCCCTCCCCTCCCCCCTGTATTATAGAAAGTTCTGCAGATTTAAAATTTGGTTTAAGAATACACAGTTTAATTTTTGAACATGCTATCTACATAAGATTGAGAATGGAAACGGGGAATGTGTCAAAAAGACAACAACCCGACCAATGAGCAGCAAACCTTCAAAAACCGCCAACTGGTTTTCAACACAGCGAAAAAATCCCGCACCCGCTGCAAGTGGTCATTATTGAGAGCCAATATACAATGTATCATCCAAATATCTAAAATTGTTATTAAATTTTGGTATCAGATGTTGTTACGATGGGTCTTTCCTTATTTTTTGCCATAAATTGTAGCTCGTAACAATACAGAAACAGGTCCGCAATAAGTGGTGCACAGAGTGTCCACATTTGAATTCCGATAACTTGACGATATACGGAATCTCCATAGCGAGCAAAAATGTTATCTAGTAAAAATACAAGTTCAGTTATCGTTCACACATTTTTTTTCTACTGGAAAAGATGTTAATTTAAGCCACTGCAGTTCAACCGGAGTCTGGGGTGAAATATCTTGCCTTTTTCACAACCAGTATTTTAATATGTACGGACTTTCTTAAAGTCACGATTTTAATAATGGTTAAGCATTAGTTTTGATGGATTACATATTAAATCATTATGAATGTTTTCCATTACTGATAACAACCGGTATGAAGAAAGTTTGATAAAAGAAGTTCTACGGTTGATGTTCTGAACATTAAACAATATTCAGATTTTATAATAATAAGCTTGGCAAAGTTGTTGAGGTACGAGATAATCAATAGCGTTAGCATGACACATTTCGTGAACTAAATAATTTTGATGTCTAGATTTATTTTCACTAAGGGGTTACCCGCCAGTATCAAGGTCAAGTTTAGTTTTGGAACAAAGTTTGGTGACAATACAAGCCTCCTCTTTGTGGATGCTTTCTAGTTTATCTTTCAAATATGTTGGTATATAATATTTTGTTTATTGCATATGCTATGTATTGTATGCCACTGTTGAGACCATAGGTTTTTGCAATATCAGAATTAAATATTTCAGCATACTCGTCCTGAACAACTATAAACAATGATGTTATCGTCAGCGAAAATTCTAATTGATATGTCACTAAAATGTCCTTTATAAATAGTAAGAATACTACAGGACCTACAGTTGACCCTTGGGGTCACCAGCGTTAATACTTATCTATCAGAGGTCTGTCTTATGATTTGTTTTGTCTTGTTTCGGATAAATAACTTTTGAACCATTTCAAAAGGTCCCCTCATATTCCATGTTTTTCTAGTTTATGAATGAGTCTTTCATGCAATAGTCGGTCGAACGCTTTGATGATATAAAAAATACAACTCTGATTACCTTTCCAGAGTGAAGACTTTATATAAAAAAGAAGATGTGGTTTGATTGCCATTAAGACAACTCTTCACAAGAGACCAAAGACACAGAAATTAACAACTATATGTCACCGTAGGGCTTCAACAAAGAGCAAAGCCCATATCGCATAGTCAGCTATAAAAGGCTCCGAAATGACAAATGTAAAACAATTCAAACGAGAAAACCAACGGCCTAATTAATGTACAAAATAATGAACGAAAAACAAATATGTAACACAGCACTATAGTAATATCGTCGGTAATATAAATAAGTTAATTGGCAGTCTATCTCTAGACATAAATCGTGTTTGTAATAATCATTTAGCAAGAAAGAAAATTAAATAAATATTTAAAAATACATTTCCCTCCGTTTTACCAATAATAGATAGCAGAGAGATAGGTCTATAGTTGGATTACATGTCTTGAGAACCACTCCTGAAAACTGGTGTTACATTAAATTTTGATATTTTCCTTTTGATATTGATAAATGCAAAATTGTAATGACTTATTGCACAACAGTGCAAGGGGATAGTTTAATTAGCGATCCGCGCGCATTTTACAGAAACTTTATACTAATGCTGTCAGGGCCTGCTACCTTAGACACTTCATAAACCTTCTCTTGTGTTACAATTTTTTTTATCTTAATCAGAGACATATAATACAAGCTGTATAAAATCCCTAAAGTATGAATAACGGCATCTATATACAAATTCTAAATATTTTAAGATGAGTCGTCACACCCGATTGCTCACAATAACATTTACTTATCTTTATCGTTCAAGTAGGTATCATTTAATAGGATAGGGGGTAGTGAAAGGAATTAGAAGGAAGAACAGCAAATGTACGCATCTTTTTCCTGAGGATATCTACATGTGAGTTTATTGACACATTGATTTTCCATGTACTGAGTTTTTGCCTATTTAATCAAATTAGCACAGTGATTTCAAACCTTTTTAATGCTTGCCTAAGACTCAGGAGTGATGTACATTTTAGCTTTTATGTGCGAATGTGTCCGTTTACGAAATGTTTCTCCATCCCAGATGAAGTCATCATAGGAGGATCTTTCGTGCAAACTACTGCATTTCAGTTTATGAAGAATTAGTACTCCACTTACTAGACAATTGAACCTAGTATTTTCTCATTTCATAATACGCCAAAATAACGATATTATTTATTATCAGGGATCGAGGGGAGACGAGAAATGTTCACAATAAAATATTGGCTCGGTAATAGCTTGATGCCATTATCTATTATAATATTTTAAAAGTAATTACGGATGATAAGGAGTAAGTTGTCGTCCATGAACACAATACTTTCTTAAGCGCAATTTACGGCGTTATCGAGCGATTGTTTTATTTAATATTAAATATGATATGTTGAATCCTGAGGATGATATAATAGACAAAACAATAATTTACGATCGTTAACAACTACTACAACCCTTAAGCATTCAAGAGAATACAAAGATTTGGTTAGGAAGCTTGGTTGTACCTGTAAAATTCTTATAAGATACAACTAAATATATAGTGCTATATATGTATGAGATGTAAGATTCTCATATTTGAGGGCGTTAGCGTCTCATTTACACAGAAGACATGAGACGATTACATCTGATTTACATATAATATATATGTAATATATAAATATTTACCATTTCTCTTGTTTTAAAAGGAGCAATTAGTTTTGATAAAACAGGAAAATTGTTACTACCTCAAATATTCCAGATGCAGTTACACTATCAAAAGATGTTTCTTATTTTTGAATTTGGAATGAAATCTTAATTGCATCTATTTGTTTGTCATCAATTTGATACCTCATCACTTCTTTTGTATGGCAATATACATATCTGCACTATATTGTCTTTTTCCTGGATTAATTGCAAAAATATGAACTTGTTGCTGATAAATGGTATCACTTCTATGTAAATATCTATTATACTACTAAAATACGAGGTCCAATTTGTTATCCGATTTGACTTAAAACGACAAATCAAAGAATTCAACTTTATATATAACTAGTAAATAATAGGATAATGGTATTTATTAAAAATTACACCATTCGAGGTCCTTGTGCTTTCCACATAATTAATATTACAATCATTAACAAGTTCCTGGTCGAATCCGATACCGATACAAATAGCTAGTACCTGTTACCTGTTAACTAATCTGTATGTTCGGGATTGATACTACTTAATTCCGTCATTGACCAAAAAATATATCAAGTAGTTTCCGGTTGTAGTAAGCAAACCTAGACGAATTCAAACAAAAAGATTTTGAAAGAAGAGAAAACTGTGCACGTAATAATCAACATGACTTTATCGAATAACAATACTAATACTAAAAATCCAAGCTCACAAAGAGGCGTAGGTACTTGGAGTCAGTCACGGACCCGCGACATGTTTTTAGTACATGTATATACGTATATATATACAGTTAGGATTACTCATGATTCTACGTCCTGTCGATACAGTAAACTTATATTTTGACATTGCAACAGGTCATGCGTTTCTCATGTAGTCGAACTGATTGCTACTTTAACCTATCTTTAGTAGCTGCGAGTACTCTTATATCGGTGCTTTGCGTCTATTGTTTTTTATGTAAGTTGTTTGGTGTACTGAGCTATTGAGTTAAGCCATTAAATGATTTGCAACTGATGTTTTCTGTTCGTTCTTAGGTTGTGCTGTATTCATTATGACCCTGTCTTTGTCAGGAGCCTGCAATTCAGTGGTAGTCGTCTTTCTATGTCTGTCACATTTGTTTTTCGTAAATTGCATTGTTATGAATTATGCCGTGATTGAATTGTTTCACATTTTTTTTGTCAAGGCCTTTTATAGCTAACTACACGATATTGGCTTTACCCATGGTTGAAGGCCGTACGGTGATCTATGCGTGTTTATACATTCATCATCTGAATTCTGGTGGATAGTTGTCTCATTGGAAGTCATAACACAGTTCCTTATCGTTACATTGTAACACTTTCAGTGTAGGGTATTTAAAACATACATATCTTGTTGTAGAAAACTCTCCTTTTAAGGTGGTACCCAACACCTTGACTAATATTGATTTGGCTCGTTTAATATTCCTAAAATTTTGACAAAATGTTTACTTTGACCCTTTGACAAAAATATAAAAATTTCAAATAATTTGAACCAAACAATTTATCAGAAAAATTTCACTGGTTATATAGCAGTTTGACAAACACTAATTTTGATCATTGAGAAGCTTAATATTTCCTTAACAATACAACGTGGTTAAAACGTTAAGTTGATTTTTACAGAGTTATCTCCTTGTAGCGTTAGGTACCACCTTAACACTAGATTGGTGGTAATTTTTCATTTGTCAAATACATGTATGTGATGTGCTTTCCGTCATGTTATATCAAAAGATTTTTTCATTTCATTCATGTTTTGAAAAGAAGTGTATGAACTTTCAATAGAAAAAAGTATTTCCTTAACGTGTTATTTTTTCAACATGAGTCTGATTATTTAATTTTTAATTTCTTCCTGTGTGGTCTCAATCACGTGTGTCGGTTCAACTGTATGTTCCTCTTCATGTTGATTGTTCGTATTTAGAGTTTTGAAATACTTTAAAATCGGATCTTCGTGTCTAAATTAAAATTTTCTAACCTGAACTGTAATTCAACGGTTTATACATGGTTAATATTATTAACGAAAATGATTCTCCTGTCCGTATACTACATGTAGTATAATCACATTTTTATAATCTTATGTTATCAAATTCTATTTGGACAGTGAGTTTTCAATTGCTTTGAATACCGTCTTTAATACTAATGATAATTAGAACAGTACCGGCCACGTCCACCCTGTGTTATTGTTAGATGTATTTCTATGTGTATCCATCTGATGAGTTAACTTAATAAAGCCTTTTTCAACTGATTTTGTATAGTTTGTTCTTATGTTGTACTGTTACACCACTGTCCCAGGTTAGGGGAGGGTTTACACCTTCAAACTAGTTTCACCCCGCCACATTCTGTATGTGACTGTCCTAAGTCAGGAACATGTAATTCAGTGGTTGTCGTTTGTTGTTGTGTAATATATTGGTTTTTCGTTCATTATTTTGTACATAAACTAGGCCGTTAGTTTTCTCGTTTTAATTGTTATACATTGTCATGATGGGTCTTTTTATAGCTGACTATGCGATTGTGCTTTGCTCATTGTTGAAGGTCGTATGGTATCCTATAGTTGTTAATTTTTGTGTAATTTGGTATTTTGGGAAGAGTTGTCTCATTAGTAATCATACCACATCTTCTTATTTTATATTTGTTAAAAAATTAAATATGTACAAACAGTTTCCTTATTGTCTGATTTTTCATTTGTTTGTTATTTAACACATATCATGATTATTCAGTAGTTGCTTTATTTTTCCTTTGTAAGAATTTGTGTACACATCATCCGAAACTATCATGAATATTGTTGCAGCATAAATTTGGTTAAACATCTGCCTGTGTCTTAAGATAACAACACAACGTTAGGTTTTTACAACAGCGCAACCGGTGGATCCCCTAGCGGTTTTTTAAGAACTTCTATAACAGCTCTCCAAAACAAATCCTCCCCTACACCACTTGAATATTTAATATGATGACCACTGGCCAGTAGCGATCGAAGATGACTTGTCATATGCTTGGAGTCAATATTTTTCAACATGACGAGAAGAAAAACATCTCGTCCTAATCTTCTATGTTTTTCCTGTACAATATCAACTTCCCACTGACACCATTCACTTTTGGCAAAATCATTTGACATTATCACGACAACTTTTCGTGATTTTTCCACAAACTTATCAATGTTGCCGATGATTGGCTGTCCGATTTCAAAGTCACGATGATGAATACATAATTTTAATCCTTCTTCATTTTCTACTCTCTTTATGAATTTTTTATGAACCCAATCTCTGTCTTCCTCACAGTACACAACAAATGCATTGTATTCAAAATCTTCATCGTTATCCAAAGTTAGATATCCTCGTCTTTTGTTGTAGGACACTCGTAAAAGGTAGATATAGTTCTTTATATTTGACTGACATCGCACAATTAACACAATTATTAACACAATGATCGTTCCACTTCCTGCAAGTCCAATTATAATTGTATTAAATGGATTCCAGGGAGTACAGATTTCCACTGTTGGGTGATAATTATACAACAGTTTCCCAGCCAAATCTGGTGGATGTTTGCATTTATAATTCTTGAAGTGTACAAGTTTGTTCATGAAATGTTTTGTCCAATTAAGAAACCAAATCTGGTCACATGTACAAGAGAAAGGATTAAAGCCTAAATTAAGTGTCTTTAAAGAAAACAAAACTTCCCGAGGAAAGGAAGTCTGATTTATAACTGTAATCGAATTCACGCTCAATTCCAGCATAGTTAACGATGTAACATTAAGGAATAAATTTTTCCACTGAAAAATTTTGTTCTGACTAAGATTTATAGACCATATCTTTTTGAAGGGTGTAAACAACATTTCGGGGATGGCGGTAATTCCACATCCTGCAAGTATAAGTTTCTGAAGATTGGACAATGGACGAAGAGTTTCTTTGAACATTGAAAGGTTTCGTGGCATGAAATTTTGACTCAGATCGAGGTACTCGATGTCTGGACAGTATGCAAATATTTTGCTAGTTGTTCTGTCAAAATGGAAGTTGTTCAAACTCATCTGAAGTGTGGACAGAGATGTGCTATTGAAAGCAAACTCACTTATCTTTTTTAAAGGATTTCCTATTCTTGATATCATCAGAGTCTTTATATGAGGCAAAGACGAAAAAACATTATCTTGTATTCGACCAGTATTAATGCCTTCTAAATTCAATAACTGAACGTTTGGCAAACATCTAAAAGTGTTGTTTCCAAGGTCGCCAATATTGTTGCTACCCAGGTTAAGGTGTTGTAAGTTTGGAACATGACTTAAATCTAAATTAGAACACCATTTTGGGACCTTTGTGAGCCGGTTACTATCTAAAGATAATTTTACCAATGTTTTCAATCCCTTCACATACACATCTTTGATAGAATTATCAGATAATATTAGATTTGTCAAAGAAGTCAATTGCTCAAACATTATACAGTTTACATCTTTGAAATTATTTCCAGTTATAACTATCTTCTGTATTTTACTTGTTGAAAATGAAATAAAAGTATCAGCAGGCAGGTTCGTCCATTTATTGTCACGAAGATGGAGTGCTTTCAAATAACGTTTCTGAAGATTAAAAAAGGCTTTTGTTAACACAATGATATCCAGTTGATGTTGGTTTGATATTTCCAATGTTCTGAGGGCTGAAATATTGTAAAACGCCTTTGGATGAATATACGTTATGTAATTATCACGCAGTATCAGTTTTCCGATGTACATACCGAATGAAAGATTATAAAATGTATGTTCCCCAATATATGATAAATTTGTGTGGGTCAAATTCACTAATGTAATACTAGGTGGAAATTTTGGAACATAGTGTAAGGAAACTCCACTACATAAGGCTTTCGTCCCTTCACATATACAGTGTTTGTCACATGTGATGTTACTTCCATTTACGTGATTGAACTGCGTAATAATAACGATAAACATAACGCTTGAAAAAACGCGTGCAGTATAACAGAAAATCATCTTCTTCGTGAATTCTACAAAAAAACCAAAACGAAATATAGATAAATAAATGCATCAACACAGACTTACTTCAGTCGTATTTGATAAAACCTTTCGGAATCTGTGGTCCTCAGTGCTCTTCAACTTCGTTTTTTATTTTGCCTTTTTTATATCAAGCTTCACTGATGCGTCTTTTGTACACGAAACGTGTTTCCGGCGTACAAAACTTTAATCATGGTATCTATGCTTAGTTTATTAGGATGTAAATGAAATATAATATGATAATATGACAAGGGGCGTAAAGCAAAACATAGTTATAATAAAACTTTGAGTATTTAGGGCTTTTTAAATGTATTGATTGAATATCAGAATTTTATGTAAGCTTTATTTTTTCTCTTTTTTCTGTTAATATTGATGTACACATAATACGAAGAATTTTAAATAAGAATACTCAGTTTATAAATACATTATGTACTGAATATAGAACAAAAGTTACAAAACAACTGGCTAGTATCAAGCGTTGCCGTATTGTTTTTATGCACGAGTAGTAACTACAATGTCCGAGGCGATAACCGGGGACCATGACCTGACTACGAGTATAGAAAAACCAAACGGGTGGTTGTTACCAACCCGCTTCTTTTATAACTTTTATTTGGATCTGACATGTAAAACGATTATAATTAGAAAGTAGTACATTTTACATTTTAAAGACGATTGAATAATTAACAAGATTAAACACAACACACGATGTTTAAACTAGTGCATGACCTACGACGTTTGGAGGTATTATGATTTAATAATTAATAAATTAGGGATTTTGCTTTAAAATCACGCTTTTCAAATCCTAAGCTGTGTCCATGTAAATTTATTGCTGATTTCTTTGATCCACATCAGTGTGGTAGGGTTAGACTGAAAAAGGAGAGACAAATTCTTAAAGTGACAAGCAAAAACAAAACCTTTCTATTTTACTATAGCCTGACAGTCTAGAAGTTAGTCAATGTCCTCTTTTAAACAAGTGTTCTTTTTTCAATTTAAAAACATCTCTAATAGTGTTGATGTGGGGCAATATAAAGGTTTGTTTCCCAATTTTGAAAGTGGCGGGAGTGTGCCTCCCCTTATAAATACATACCGTCGACACCAAAAAAGAAAAACAACGAACAAACAAACAAAACCAACCAAACAAACAAATAAACATCATTAATATGAATAGAATAATGGATTTTGTCTCGATTAGAATTTTCGACACACATATTTTGGAAATGGAATGTTATTTTGAAGCTCATTGGAGTTAAGTGATATTCAGGCATAGCCAAGGATTGACAAGGTGACATAATATAGTTTTCAATTACCATCCCAATATCCAACATGAGTGATATCTAATTTGACGTTGAGAGTAATTTTGCACTATCACAATACAACTTGAACTAATTCATTGAAGAAGATGAGAAAAGAGGGAAATTTCCGTATAGTTAAATTAAGATTTCAGTTTAACACCTAAGCAAACCGAAGAGAAGTTCGTACACGGAAACGTGTTATGGTTACAGTTACTATAGTATATCAATTATCAACACATTGCGTTAAGTATGAGCCACTTACCTTCGCTACCATTCGCTACAATTGTCGTTTAAAAAACAACAACTACAAAGATCCTTTAAATTCCTCAATTGGCGTTCCAAAATGCGGAAATATTTCTTCGTAATCATTTACTTGATATAATATTAATTATGTATTGAATTTGATTTTGAATACACTTAGTTTTCTGCTTTAAAAAAAAACGAATTTATTCAATGAATATTTCTTTCACCCCTAATAAAGCAATATAAATAAACCACAATAGTATAGCTCATTTATGCGGAAATCATTTTAGGTCAGGTTAACTTCCCCGTATAGGAAAAGGTAATAGCAATTGGCTTTTTTTGTTTTTTCACCAGTTATTAATTATTACAGATAAAAGAGTATTTGCTGGCGGTAAGAATCTATCACTTTATCGAATAATTCTGATTAAAATCTGTCTACACACTTATCATTTTTTATTAGTTAAATATTCTCATGATGTAGATCTTTAGATTGAATATAGGTGTTTTTCTGTACATTGCTTTTACATATTATATAAAGCAAATACAGGATAAACGTTAAACATTTAGTCACAACGCTTTAAAACGCAATACTTAAAAAACATGTATATGTTAAAATATTTTGTCGCAGTCAGTAATCTTTGAAGCGAGATCTCATGATTTTGTATATCTGTATAATACCTATTGCAGTGTGAATGGCACGATGTCCTTTGCAAAATGAGCAAGAACGCTCGAGATTATAGAATGTGGGGAATCCAGTATGAAAATCAGTGACTGCACTTTATTTTTGATATAATCACAGATTATGTAAATGCTTACAAGAAACAAGACGAAATGAACGCAAATAATTACTTCACAATTCCAAAGTGTTTGTAAGATATGCATTTTATTTTAGTTTATGCCCGTTGCTAGGTTCTGAACATTTATAGAAATATTCGTCTCTTTTTTCGCGGGCTTACCATATATACGACATGCATATCATACAATGTCGTCAATAATTATTGACCTTTTTCTTTCTTGCTTTTCCGATTTCAATGTATTCAGATTATCGAGTTTTATAAAATTAACATGTGGAAGACTTTTAATGTCAACATAACGTACCTGTTGGTGATCCTTACAAAGTTTAATCCAGGTAGATACTTCGTTTGGTCCATTACCAGTAGTTAAATTCATCAGAGGAGATTTGAGGAAAATATGTGAAATATGACGAATATGATTGGAGCTATATTTGATTCGTATACGATCCATAAATATGTAAATATGACAAGTGAAATATATATAAATAGCAAATGTTATGTCACATTAATAGCGGTAAGATTTAAAAGTTGCTTTTACACAATGTGTTATAATAAGCTTTCTGTACACATACAGAAAAAATAGTTTGATGAATTTCCGTCATTCGGAGCGATTTTCTGGATTAACCTTCATCAGGAACACTAAAACCCAAACATTTAAAGGCCAATAATGTAGAAATATAAGCAGCTAAATAATTAATCCAAAGGTATTCGGAAGTAGTTTTACAATTACAAAAAAATCGTAAATGCGAACCTCTTAGAGCACAGTGTAAAATATGTCTGGCCAAACGGGTTTGTAGATATGGGACAAAACTGTCTCTTTAAGTTTAACATGCTAGACACATTATATATCTTAGACAGTTCTTGGTAAACAATACCGAATGTCCCCGGTGTGTTCATTAAATCAAAACCCAACTTTCCAGCTTATCCCGGTAATACCACCGCCGAAAATGAAATCTTCTTTATTATTTTAAAAATTTTTTGATAATTATATTTGCATAGACCTATACATTATTTTTTTCCCTAATATCGTATTATTTCGGTAGGTTTATTTCATTTAAAGTCCACGGGTTACTTTTTGTAGACTAAGTTAAGTCAAATGATTTACCGTATATTTAAATTTCTTCATACATTTTATATTTCACATTTCTTAAATCACGTGATTTAACGTTTCATTATAAGACATTTAGCCTAATCATTTTTGAAATCCTGTACGGGTACTTCAAGGAGACTGAGTAATTCCCTTTTGTATTAAATAGAATAAAAATAAATTAATGCAGCAATCTTCTGTAAATGTAGGCAGTAGTAATTCACGATGTTCAAATGTCATTTATCGTTTAGAAATACAAAGTGAGGTAATGATTAAAATCTGAAGTACTCGCATGCACTCCAAAAGAAACAACACTGGATGTGTTGATCCTGCTAGGCATGCATCACCCGCTATGCGAATCCACAGAATTGGGTAGAGGACACACTCGATAAAGTTACCGACTACTAATGTGGTCTCTAAAGTTTAAAGACAGCGAAAATATGTCGTTAGTGATTTTAGTCAAAACAAGATCAGGGCAGACAACCTGATCGTGACAGTTGACAGTAAAATTGACATAGTGTCGGTTTCAGTCGTTCTACCACAACATTAGTATTCTACATAAGAAAATGCCTGTACCAAGTCAGGAATATGACAGTTGTTATCCATTCATTTGATGTGTTTAAGCTTTTGATTTTGCCATTTGATTAGGGACTTTCCATTTTGATTTTTCATCAGAGTTCGGGTATTTTGTGGTGTTACTTTTTGGAGCAGTATTTGTGCAAGAAGTATATGATAGATAAAGATAAGAACATAAAAGATAAAAAGTTCAGAATTCAAGGAATAAGTTCATGTCATTCTTAAAACAAAAGCGTTTGGTAATATAAATTTGTATTTATACGGTAGTCCCTGTAACTCTTTTTCAAAAGAAAACAACATTACGAGTAATTATTCTAGAAAGTCATAAACATTTCAGTATAAAAGAGAGGCGAAATATACCAGACGGACATTCAAACTCATAAGTCGAAAATATACTGACAACGCCATGGCTAACAAAAAAGCCAACAGACAAACAATAGTGAACAAAACACAACATAGAAAACTAAAGACTGAGCAACACGAACCCCACCAAACCTGTCGATAGTTTTATTAGATATTTTGTGAAAAGTGTCACTCTACCATTTGGAAGAGTTTCATGATTTTGTCACGTAATAGTAGCGTTTCAATAATTCTTTATGAAATCTGTAAATGACCACATTACGTAGCATAGTTGTTTCTTCCACTTACCAACATTCGTTTTTCCTGTGACATCCCAAATAAACGGTCCTTCATTCCGGTAAATTCAAAATGCAGAACTTATCTATAATTGGTTTACTGTTTTATTTGTTCTCCTGAACATGCATGAAATATTTGCTATTTGACGTTAGCAAACAAAAAATAACTACGTATTACAAACAAAAATGGCCCTTGTTGAAAAAGTTTCTTTTTAAGTATGATGCACATTACTGTAAGATCCGTACTATAGAACAAATATATTTCTTTATTTTTGTTATTATAAGAAGTTGAAATGCTAAATTTGGGTAAAAAACAATAAGCGTATTTGATTTAATTCGTGAGATTAAACATTTAAACAAAAAGTGTATTATATGTTTATTCATCAGGATTAATTCATTCATTTACCGCTAGCTATAAAGATTGGAATTTCATTATGATATGACATTTATACCTAACAGGAACGGAACATAATGCCTTGGAAAATGAAACCTTCCCTTCACAAATAAGGATCGTTGACGTACTCAGATATAAACATTCTCCCTATAAATGGTTCTGAGATCATATCACCATGTAATCAAAACTTATCTATATTACTTAAAGTTTTACCACATACAGATTTGAAATTTGGTTTTAAAAATAGACATGAACGATTTGAAATTTGATGCATGACGCATGCATACTATTCATACAATTAAATATTTGTTTTACAGAAGCATGTATTAGAAAAATTTCGTATAAGCAATAGAAATTTTCTTCTAACATCAAACATCAACCACAGGGCTATGACACTTGGCTAGCTGATCTCGATGGTGCGGTTAGCTAGCTATACAACCAGGTTTAGTCCACCATTATCTACATATGGAAATGCCTGTACCAAGTCAGGAATATGACAATTGTTTTCCTTCGTTTGATGTGTTTGCACTTTGATTTTGTCATTTGATAAGGGACTTCCCGTTTTGAATTTTCCTTAAAGTTCAGTATATTTGTTTGTATTACTTTTTTCAACCCAGAGTTATGCACGAAATTAAAGCATTAAATATGCTGAAAATATTTATAAATTGCTTAATGATGCTAATATAATATATTGAGGGTAAACCATAAGTACGCAAAAGTTGACCATGGTGCTTTGCTTTTAGTGTTATATAAAAAAAAACTATTTAATTTGCCAAAAAACACTATGATAACTACATATACGTTTGTGTAAGTATACGAATTTTCAATGCGATAAATATTTCCCTAACTACTATTATATTTGAATTACAAATATTGGGCTTCAATATTTCTTCCTCAAATCGGTAAAATTATTCCCCGTATTTGAGTGTCGTCTGCATAACCCAATTACGTGTAACGGTCCAAGGACAATAATTGTCGCTTTCTCTTCCTATTGATTTCTCGTATGTAGAATTAGGAATGTATACATTTACGTCATATACATGTACATCAACATGCACTGCTATTCAAACAAACGACGTGATCAGAAAACAAAAGTGAAAGCCACCCTTTTGCCTCTATTTGTTCATTTTAGTGACATAACACTTCTTTTTGTTTTTGTGTCAATTATACTTCTGTTTTTATTTAAGCAAAAGGGGATTGGATTAGTTTTCATCTGTGCACTCTTTGTATACCGTATTGTTTCTTTTCATGCAAATGAGATAAAACAGTGCTGATAAATCGAACATGTACACACAATAACTGGATATAATAGACAAAATACTATCTAGGTATTCCACGGTTAGTTATGTCTGTTCAAAATATAATATTAAATTTGTTTATTTGTATTCCACTGGATTGAAGTAAAACATTGGTTTTGTATGACATTTTTTGGCTCTCTCTTTATTATTCAAATACATGTTTTTCATTCGTCTTCACGAAATGCTTGTTCTAGTTAAATTATAAGATTACAATACAATTTCCAAGGGAACGTATACAAACATTATTTGAATAACAACAATTAGTACCGTGAGCACAGAAAACTTGATTTGGAGACAAATAGCCAAACTACATGTATTGGTAGAATCTTTTATACCCTAAGTAAATATGTATATAAAGGAGTAATAAGATGAGAAACAGCATTAAGTGCACTGCTTGGTTAATACATTGTTGAGTTTTCTAGTTTTTCGTTGGATTGGTACATTCTTCCAATATCCAGTCTTTCAGATAATTGACGGAGGTACAATTGTTGAATCCTCCATACTCATGAATTTTTTGGAACAGAAACGTCTTGAAATGTCTTAATGTTCTTTAAAACTACAAACAAACAGTTGTATAAAGAGTAAATAGTTATTTTTACAACTTACAACAACGCAACAGGTGGATACCCTAGCGGTTTTTTAAGACCTTCTACAACAGCTCTCCAAAACAAATCCTCTCCTACACCACTTGAATATTTGATATGGTTACCACTGACCAGTAGTGATCGGAGATGACTTGTCATATGCTTCGAGTCAATATTTTTCAACATGACGAGAAGAAACACATCTCGTCCTAGTCGCCTACGTTTTTCCTGTACAACATCAACTTCCCACTGACACCATTCACTTTTGGCAAAATCATTTGACATTATAACCACAACTTTTCTAGATTTTTCAACAAAATTATCAATGTTGCCAATGATTGGCTGTCCTATTTCGAAGTCACGATGGTGAATACACAATTTTAATCCCTCTTCCTTTTCAACTCTCTGTATGAATTTTGTATGAACCCAGTCTCTGTCTGCTTCACAGTACACAACAAATGCATTATATTCAAAATCTTCGTCGTTGTCCAAAGTCAAATATCCTCGTCTTTTGTTGTAGGACACTCGTACTAGATAAACATAGTTCTTAATATGTGATTGACATCGCACAATAAGTACAATAATTAACACAATTATCGTTCCACTTCCTGCAAGCCCAATTATAATTGTATTTGTTGGTTTCCATGGATTACAGCTTTCCTCTGTTGGGTGATAATTTGACAAAAGTTTTCCATCCATAATAGGTGGATGTTTGCATTTATAAAGTTTGAAATTTTCAACCTTGTTCATAAAATGTTTCGTCCAATTAAGGAACCAACGCTGTTCACATGTACATGAGAAAGGGTTAAAGCCTAAATCCAGTTTCTTTAATGAAAATAAAACTTCCGGTGGAAAAGAAGTCTGGTTTATAACTGAAATCGAATTTACGCTCAAATCTAGCATAGTTAATGAAGTTACATTAATGAATAAATTGTTCCAGCGAAAAATTCTGTTCCCCATAAGATTTATTGACCAAATATGTTTGAATGGTGTAAATAACATGTCTGGAATATCGGTTATTGCGCTTTGTACAAGTATAAGTTTCCGAAGATTCGATAACGGTTGTAGCATTTCTTTGAACATTGACAGGTTTCTTGGCATGAAATTATGACTCAGATCCAGATTCTCCAAGTCTGGACAGTATGCAAAAACTTTGGTAGATGTTCTGTCAAAATGAATGGAGTTCAAATTCATCTGAAGCGTAGTAAGTGACGAACTATTGAAAGCAAACTGACCAATCTTCTTTAAAGGATTTCCTATTCTTGGTAACAACAGAGTTTTGAGAACAGGCATAGGCGAAAAGATATTATCTTGTAAACGACCTGTATGAATTTCTTCTAAATTTAGAAACTTAATGTTCGGTAAACATCTAAAAGCATTTTTTCCGAAAGCGCCAATGTTGTTGTTTCCAAGTGTGAGGTTTTGTAAGTTTGGAACAAAACTAAAACCTGCTTTAGAACACCATTTTGGGACTTTCGTTAACATGTTACTCCTTAAATCTAATCTAGATACATTTTGCAACCCCTTCATATAAATATCTGTGATAGAATTATTGGATAACATTAAGTGTTTCAAAGAAATTATTTCCTCAAACATTGTACAGTTAAATATTTCAAAATTATTTCCTGTTAAAATAAGCTTCAGTAGTTTGCTATTTTTGAATGCATTAAAGGAATCTACTGGAATTTCTGTCCATTGATTGTCAAGAAGATGGAGCATTTTCAAATTCCTTTTATTCAGGGAGACGAATGCTTTTGTCAACACTGTTATATTCAATTGTGGTTGATTGGCAATATACAATGTTTTGAGAGCTGAAATGTTTAAAAAAGCTTTGGGATGAATGTAAGTAATAAAATTTTCCTGTAGAACTAGTTTACCAATAAACTTACTAAACGACAGATTATAAAATGTTTGTTCGCCAATATAAGATAGATTTGTGTGGGTCAAATTCACAACTGCAATATCTGGTGGAAATCTTGGAACATAGTTTAAGGAAACTCCACTACATATTGCGCTCTGCCTTTTACATACACAGTGTATGTTGCATGTGATGTCACTTGCAATTAAATCATTGAAGTGTGTATAAATTACGATACACATTACAAGAGAAACACGTGCCGTATAACCAAACAACATTTTCATCTTGATTTCTACAAAAGACAAAAAATGAAATATAAAACAGTTTTTATCAATCGTATTTTATAAAAGAGGAACGATAGATACCAGAGGGACAATCAAACTCATAGATCGAAAACAAACTGACAACGCCATGGCCAAAAATAAAAAGACAAACAGACAAATAATAGTACAGATGACACAACATAGAAAACTAAAGACTAAGCAACACGAACCCCACCAAAAACTGGGGGCGATCTCAGGTGCTCCGGAAGGGTAAGCAGATTCTGCTCCACATGTGGCACCCGTCGTGTTGCTTATGTTATTACAAATCCGGTAAATAGTCTAATTCGGTAAGTCATATTCGTGAAAAGGGAAGGGTATTGTAGTTACGAATCCGATATCATCTGTGAAACGGTTATTCCATAACGGTCAACCAACTCGTGAAGGCGTCCGTAAAATTTACGAAGGGATGATTTCAACTTCACCATTTGGAACTCTTGGCTTAATAGCTTCCTTGTGAGCAGCAATACTCTATCAAGGAAATCATGGTAGGAAACACAAGCCCAGGAATATCGTATCAATTGGGAGATATATACTCCGTATGCAGGCGCTGCTGGAATGTTGCTACATAGAAATGAAAAATTCACAATTGGGAAGCTGAAATCATCTCTTTTGTCGTAATGTTTTGTTTTCAACCGACCCTCATTGTCAATTTCTAGATGTAAGTCAAGATATGAGGCAGACTTAACTGTATCTTTAGTATCCTTTATCTCTAGTTCGATGGGATAGATTCGTTCAACATAGTCACCAAATTTTGTATTATTTAGTGAGAGAACATCATCTTTATAGCGGAACGTAGAGTTAAAGGATATTGCTAACTTCTTATCTTTCTTCCTAAGAAGTTCCTGTATGAAGTCAGCTTCATAATAATAAAGAAACAAGTCGGCAAGAAGAGGGACACAATTGGTTCCCATTGGAATTCCGACAGTCTGTTGAAAAATACGTCCTCCAAACGTAACAAATATGTTGTCAATCAAGAAATCAAGCATCTTGATAATGTCAGTTTCAGAGAATTTTTTGTTTGAATCAGAGTGATTCTTTACAAAGTAGGATTTATCCCTCCCCAAGACAAGATACTCGTATCTACGTTCGCCATTCTTTTTAATGAAACAAAGTAAAATCAACTCTTTCAATTTGTCTTTTAGTTTGGAATGGAGAGTCTTAGATTGTATGTACTCTAAAAGATCTTTGGAATTTTTTAGTATCCACATCTGATTCACGCCACCTCTATAACTTTCAATCACTTACGCATACATTATATCCTATTTTACTTTTTAAATTAGAATGTCACTTGTGTATTTTTCTGTGTAATTATTAGAATAGTAATGCTTATAACACGTGATTTTTAATGAATGTATGGTCGCATGATACTGTATCTGCGTTGGGTTAGGGTAATGGTTACATAGTACCGTGTATGCTCTGGGAGAGTAAATGAACGCATGAAACTTTGTATGCTCTGGAGCTATGGTCAAATGGTAGTATATATGCTCTGATTATAAGGTCGCATGGAACCACTGGAATCCGGAGTATGTATGTTCTGGTTGAGGTTAATGGTCACATGGTACTGCGTATGCTCTATGTGATGATAATGGTGGGTTTAATCTCGGATTGGATCAAACAAAAAAGTTGAAGGAACTAGCTTACTTTCAGTTTCTGTTTCTGTTTTTGTTTTTGTGTTCTTTGTAGCACCACTGTCTTAGGTTGGGAGGTTTGGCGCTAGAAAACATGTTTAACCACGCTTTATTCTGTGTAATTTAGTGGTTGTCGTTTGTTTCTGAATATAATCATGATCATATTCGAATTAGTGTATTGTTTTGTTCACAAATGAGGCCGTTCGTATTCTCGTTTGAATTGTTTTCATTTGTCATTTCGGAGACTTCTATTGCTTACTTTGTGGCATGGATTTTTCTCATTGTTGAAAGACGTCCCGTGACCTATACTTGTTAACTTCTATATCCTTTGGTCTCTGGTAGAGAATTGTCTCATTGGCAATTATACAACATCTTCTTATCTTTATATTAATAGTTGGTACTTTGTTTAATGAACAACAAAGACGGTTGCCTCGAGCTCGGATAAAGAATGCTATATACGTAAGCGGTTGTTTGTCGTTTTAGATTTTCTCCGATCATGCACAAAACTCAACTGACTTTGTCGAATTTGCGAGACACAGGTTTCAAATTGATACGAGTTTACAGGATTGACATACATATTCGTTGTACATTTCAGCTGAACCTTTAAGCAACACAGTGGCTGTGTATTGTACAGAAAGTTATGATAGGCAGAAAATGATATTTCAGCATTATACATGATAAAGTACATTTTCTTTTGTAAACACATTAAGCAATAAAGTAAACAGCTTACCTACTCAAAGATTATTGTTAAAATGTATTAACTTCAAAACCACTATAAATGTATCAAATAGAGTTTCATAATGCGTAAGATTATTAAACTCGGAAACAAGTAGCTGTTTTGGTTGCTATTTCCATGAATTACATGAATATCTAATTAAGTTTTTAAGAACATTGTTTAAGATCATTGTATTTTTTTCTGTCTGACTTTAAATATTTTCCTCATTCTTTATAATTCAATGGAAATATTATATATCATTTTCGTCGAAATCAAATAAGGTCAGGTTAGTTTCCTACAGTTGTTATCCATTCGTTTGATGTGTTTGTTTTTTTGATTTTGCCATTTGATTAGGGAATTTCCTTTTTGAATTTTCCTCGGAATTTAGTATTTTTGTGATTTTACTTTTTTCTTGTATAGGGAGAGTTATCAAAAATGTTTCCATTGTTAATATTATTTATTGTATCATGTTTTATTATTATCAGCCCAAAGGTCTAACTGTTATCCCATGAGTAGTAAAATTGCTAATGAATACACATAATAAAAGTGATATGCTTATTGAACGAATATATAACAATAATGAGATACAATTCATCGAATAAATTCCTAATTACTCCTCCATTAAGGTATAGTTTTTAAAGCTGCATTTTCATAACATAACTTCAGGTTTAATTCAGTATTTGTAAGTGCATATATATGTTTTATTCGATAACATACAGGTAGGAGGCATTCGCTATCAACTCAATGTTGTCTCCCCCCTAATTTTTAAGGGGAACAAATTATTTGTTCACTTCCTTTCTCACACATTTTCTTTAAAGAAATTCACAGTTGAACAAGTTGCATGTTTTAAAAAACTACAAATGATGTATGGTTTCTATGCCCTACATGAATTGTACGTGATAAAATTTATCAGGAATGTTTGAGACTAAGTATTTGGAGAAACCTGTATACAACATTTTGGATCATACATTATTTTAAGAAATCTAAAATTAATTTTAAGTAACAAAAACAAGCGAACATGACACAGATCAGCCCCTCGCAAGTACAACATTATTGTAAAGGCTGTATTTTGTTTTTAACTGTAGGCCTGCACCAAAGTTATGAAAAATCAAAAAGAATAATTTTCACTTTGAGAAGGTATTAAAAACGATAGAAAACATGTACAAGACTATATTTTATACAATTCCGTCACGAGCCCTGCACTTTTGCCGTATTAACTGACCCCTGTTAAAGCTATGTTTACATATATTATTTGCCTGTGGGTGCTCTTGAATATATATGTCTCATCCAAAATAATGTTGCATCTGGTTAATTGCCAGTGGTCAAATTTCATTGAATATTACAGGGAAAATAAATTATAAAGAAATGAGTAGTTCCTGTTTGCTATGGAAAAAGTAATTTCTTTTTTGTTTGTGTATTAAAATCTAAAAAAATCTTTGTTACGAGAATAGACGAAACACGCATCTGTCGCACATAATTATGAGCCTGGTATTTTGAACGTATTTTTACTAAGTAAACATGAAATTTTAACAAACAGTGTGAATACAACGGAAAAAGACATGTAACTGTACTGTTCCATATGTATAAGTTAAAAACTTTTAAAATATCAGATTTTATTTCACAACAACAACAACGACCACATTAAAAAATAAATAAATGCAAAATGTGTTAAATCCTTCTGTTCTATATTCGCAATAAGTTTACAAATGAAAAAAAAAACATTATCAGATAAAAACATTAATGCAAACGTCATAGGGCACATATAAAACAATTCTGAGCAACCGGTTTTGTCCATATCAGGTCAAACGTGGAAAGTATTTACAATGAAATCAGATTAAATTGTATTTCGTTAACTTTCTTCTAGTGAAGTTTGTTCCTTCTCGTTGTCTCTACCAGATCGATATAATGAGATTCACAACAAATTGTCTCTCTTTGTCTGTAGTTTTCTTGATAGAAAATATCAAAGATTCTTCCATTCTGTTCTCTCAATCAAAATGTCGTCTTTACTTTCCAATATATGTTGACAATACCATCATCGACACGTTATCATCTTCATAACTGATCCGAACTTTTACTTCAACTTATCTTTTCAAATCCTACTTCGACTGAGAAGTCATCTTTGTATATCTTCTGAACCTTCTTTTTGTGAGGATTATCGAGTTCATCTCTCCGTAATAATAATCTGTAATGCGAGAAAGAATTTCAAGTAGAGTTTGAAGATTTGGTCAACTTATTGAAAAATAAAAAGGTAAAAGTGTTATTCCTTAATGATTATGAGACTCTATCATAGGAAAGGAGAAGAGTTGAATCAAGCAATATCGATCTTATTATATAAAGACGAGATCTATAAACAACACCTTCATAAAATTAGGAAATGCTATTCCGTTAGTAAGACGATTATTTCAGGTACAGTCAAACTTTCAAATCACAATATAACTTCAGCAGCAGAGATACATCCGGGAGTGAGGATGCAATGTCTGCCTTCTAGATGGACAATGCATATCCGTGTTTAGTATGTCTATCTTATTTCAACATCACCTTATTTACATATAAATAATGATGACAGTGCCCTGTCCTCTCCTTTTTTGTACAAAGACATCGATCCGCAAAGCTTCATATACAGTCACACAATAAGTCATGACATTAAAAAACCAGAGTGTTGTATATATAATTTACGTACGTCCAACCTGTACGTTACATATTTATCTACTTACCCTTGAAACTGCGAAAGAAAATTAGTAGATTTAGATTCGAGATTGAATTATTTTTAATTTAGATTTAAGCTTCAAGCTTGAATTGCTTTAGAGATACTTAACCCAAACTATATGACTTCCGCACTATAATCAACCTCATATCATCAAATCACAACATATACTATAGAAGTAAATATCTATCAAAAGTTTCCAATACAACGATTGTCCGAATAAAACATGCACTTTCAGTACTTTAAAAAGTACTCAAATAAAAACAAATACTGTACACTGAGATAACAATGCCATGCCCAGTAGGTAAAATAAGTGAAAAAACATTCAAATATCTTCAAACAGGAAAAGACAGCTCGGAAAATTTGAAAATCGCTAAAAATTAACAACTTGTCATAATAATGAACCACACTGTAGATCAAATCAATATAGAAGAAAAATACCATGCTTCGTGGGTATATAAAAAATCAAAATATAGTAAAACTGGAAGTGACTTCCCAACAGATCTGGAAATCTCCTATACGATACAAAACGTTGAAACATTCTAGATAAACAATGCAGAAGCTGAGTAATAATTAATGAAACTTATGGACGAAAGGACGGACACAGACATATAGTTAATCAACCTTCCCTGAGCAGGGTATACCAAATATAAGTGATGTATTAACTCTTAAATAACTTACTTGTTATTTTCAATGAATGATGTATGGAACCAAATGAAGAATGCACAATTATCATACACCTTTGGTACTGTTGACTGAAACAAAATAGGATATTCATGACTAGCTATACATTCATATTGAAACAAATATTTATTGTCATGTGTTCAACTTCCAGCGGCAAATGTTATATAAAGCAATCCTTAGACTTTTTAAGAACTGAATGCTTCTTTTTATAGTTTTAATGGGATGTCAAAGCGTTGACTGAAGCACATTTTGAATGAAACACGGAAGCTCTTAATATAAAAATGTGCGCACGATCAACGCTTTTACAACCCTAAACAATAACGCAGATAGTATTTGAACGACGTGGAAGAAATGCAAAAAAAACAACTCACTCCTAGAATGTGAATTTGTCAACCTTCGCCACACTGTGGAAGGTAATACACAACATGAATAAGTTGCAAGCTCAGTTTAAGCCTATAGTTTGAGAAGCAGATGTACATGTTGCTGATTTATATGCAAAGTAATTTGAGTAAACAAATTCTGAATACTTACAGAGCGTGAGGTGAATCGAAGTGTGTCGTTGTAAAGGTCTGGGCAATTTAATATCTGAACGTCTATCAGGTTCTTCAAATTATTATGTCGAATCTAACAAAAGAAAAAAAATGTTAGATACAGTTTGCAAACAATATGCATATCATATGCATATATTATTTCGAAACATATCATTTTAACAGTGAAAATACATATTGAATATGCATATGAACACGCAGTTTAAGTTTTACAGACTTCAGGATCATACCTTCTCCATTTGAACGCTAGGACAATAGACTGGATACGTCTCTTGACTTTACAAGCGATTTTATCATCGATTGTTTTAACTGTCATGAGCAACACGACGGATGTCTTTAGTGGAGTAGAAACGATTCCCCTTCCGGAGCACCTGGATTAACCTTCGGTTTAAGCATTTTTGTTTTCGTTTTCTGTGTAGTATTTTGTGGACTGTTGTTTTTCTCTTCGTCTTTTTTTATTTTTTGACATGATATTGTCTGTTTTCTGTCGAATATTGTTTTTCGATTACCCTTAGCTATCATCTTCCTGTTTTTACAGTTTCGTGAAGGCTATCATTAAGAAATATCAATAATCGGTAAAACAATGTCTTAATTCTTACTTTTTCACCATTGCTACTAAACTAAGAGCCTATTTATTCAAAATGCAGTACTAAATATAATGATGCTCGTCAACAGAAAAAAAAAGGTTGCCTTCATTTTCGAAAATTCTTGCAACAATTACCTGACAGTTTATTTGTTTTTCAAATTGCACCGTATGGACCTTTTCTTTGTTCTTGTAAATTTCCGTCGCTAAATCTGACCCATCTCCTTTTCCAATATCTAGGAAAAAGATCTTTTATTTTCATATGTAGATTATAGCATTATAGTTTTCAATATGAATATAATGAAAGGTAAATGCCAAACAGACAACAATTTTACACACAATGAAGGGTGAACATATCACTTAACCTGTCTATACCCATACCGTAGAAAGCTATAAAAGGCACCATGTGAAACAATCAACGACCTAATGTATGCTTAAAAACTGTTGCAAGACAGAAACCAACGACAACCACTGTCTTACAGACTCTACCTGGGACAGTCATATACATGAAACATGTACAGATTTTTTGCTGATGAAAGTTGATTTCCCTGGTTTGTCATGATGAAGTTTAGGTATCTATACAAGTAAGTCAATGCAAGTCATTGTTAAAACTCTTTTCTTCAGATTAACCGTCAACGTTCAAACGTTCAATGAGTTCCATTATCAGTACTCCCAATAAATGTGTTGAACTTCACGCGTCGCTACAGCTAATTGTAACAGTTCATTATTACCATTCAAACATTCACCCAAAACCAGAAAGTTAATTAGTACAAATATATAAAATGTGAAGACAATTACATATCCATATAGCTTTTGCATATTCTGTTCAAGGTTATTTTGAAACAAAAAATAATAACACAACGCGGTTAGTTTTACCACTGCAGAATACCTACCATTTATGCCTGTTATTTTGATACTTGTGATTTTCAGGTTAATTACTGGAGGACATTCTCCATCGTAGTCTTTCTTTACATTCTCATAATAACCAACATATCTACTCTAAATTAAAGGAAAAATATTTTGTTAAATTTGGTGTACTAATTTGATATCCTGCATTTATCATACTTTATCATAAAATGAAATAAGATTTCTGAAAGACCCCTCCCCCCCTCCTTCAAAATTATTGAAAACAAAACTATCCTTTGTATTAACCAAAATATTTTTGTATAAATAAGATACTCTCAATCGGACTAATGGGTATATCTAATACAAGGAAACAATAACTTTAAAAAAAAAAACACTTGGTAAAGGTGACAGCTGAATGAAGGTTTAGCAATGCCCACTGGAATCTCAACCACTTTATACAACCTGCTATTATAACTACTAAAATAAAAACGAAAATTGATCCAAACACAGAATCATTTTTGACAGAGATCTTAGTTGCACGTATTGCGAACAGTCAGGGAACGGAAATCATACATAACTCAAAAGTGTACTGGAACAATCTCATAGTGATTCAATTATTCAGCTACAAAAATTACACACATAGTACATATAAAAAAGCAATTAACTGTCTTTATAAACATATATGAAAAGTTAATTTTACCTGACTTGGCGTTTCCACGCCTTGGAATGTTGTACCAACACTAAGATCCGTTCGTCTACCTCCAAAATAATCTAGACTACTCTGAAATCATAAATCAGAAATATGAATAATTCTTTGGTTCAGTTGATTTAGACTTATAAATATATGTCTTTCTGGTTAAGGGTGCCTTTCATATCCGTGACCCTTATCTGCTTTAGATTTTTATATAATCTATTTTAAAAATATTTGATAACTAAATTGTGACCGTGTTAAGAAAAAAAATAGTTATCTGGACTTCCATTTGAAAGCAAGACCTGAATCTTTAAGTGCGTCAGCTGTATGGCTGTACGGAATGTAAATATACACAGCCACGTCAGGATAAAACGGCATATTCGATCCGATGAATCGGGTTTAGGGCGTGCTACACTATTTGCGCTCTTTGTTGGAATTTCAAAAAGGCAAGTTTTGCCATACATTACGCACTCCACATTCGTTGCAACACTTTCCTAATAGATGTACATCATTCAGGTCATAAATATGCATGCGATATTTGACAAAAGACGATAAACGAACAACAAGCGTTCATTTCATAATTTTATCGTGTTGAAAAAGATGTTAGCGTTTTGTATTGGAACAAGCAACTAAAACATTTACTGTATTTCGTTATCATTGTACCTTTTTAATTATCGAATACTGCTTACGTCCAAACTGTAACGTACAGTTTTACCACAGCGTTTAACACAAAAAGAAACTTTTTTTTAACACATAGAATCAAACAAACAAAATAACGTGTAATTAAATGGAATGTGATCCCATATGTTTGAAGAACTGGCACAGTAAGTTCATTATCATGTATGTTTAATTGATACCTTGACAATCTATATGCGTTATTCATTTGGTCTCTTGTGGCGAGTTGTCTCATTGGCAATCATACCACATCTTATTTTTTATATTCTTCTATTATCAGTTTAAAAATGGACAGGTAAAAAAGATCAAACTAACTTATTAGTTTACTGATAGTGTACAAATAGCTTAAAGGGGCATTAGTTGTCAAATTCATGTTCACCGATTTGACTCAAATTCTCATATTTGATTTATAACCTACTAAAACGTATATCCAACTTACAAAAAGTCTAAAATGAACAATTAACAATGCACGGACTCGATAATATGTATCCGCATTTCATGTGTATTTTAGTCTAGACGCCATCTAATTAACCATTGAGGTGACCTCCGAAGACTGCCGACGATTATATAACCTTATATAACTTTCATCTGATACCTTAATTACTAAAATATATGGAACATAGTTTTAGATTAACACCTATGCGTAGGAACTGTTTTGTTAAATATGTACTACTTTCCAGTATATTCTTTTTTGACCGGGCCCGATTGGGTGGTGTTACATCTTACAAAGTCTATCCAAATTTATTTTTGCAAAGAATTCCGCTCAAGCCGGAGCTAGGTGTGGGAGTTTTTTTTGGCTCCGTGTTGAAGGCCTCATTGTGACTTTGAGATGAACAGCAATAAAAGCGCTGTTCCTTTGCTTATTGTGTGTTTTTTGCTGTGCATGTACTGATTTTGTGTCATGGATGGATACCCCATATCCTCTGTTTTTCTATTATAAACATAGATATAAATAAACAGTGAACACGTGCAATTGGATTTTTCTAGGTCTGTTTGATTTCATAGTACAGGTCATATTATACGTACTTTGACCTATAATAATTTACTTTTATAAATTTTGACTTGGATGGAGAGTTGTCCCTTTAGCACTCATACCACATCTTCTTATATCTATATGTTAATCATGGTTTTTACCTGTATAAGCCTGAGTTTTTGTTGATCGAATCAGTCAACCAAATGGTTTACCCTTGTTTCACTTTCTATGTTGACATTCTTTTCCTTTTAATAGATGAACACGCCTAGCGGTTCATGCGTAACCTTTCTCTAGCTAAGGGGTTAAAGAGAAGGTCACACGAATACGGATTCAATGAGGTCGAATTATTCACTTGCAAGTGAATAATTCATCAGGAATATTTCTTAGCTTATTTTGACAAAATGGAACCAAACTGACTGCTAAAAGCGAATTATTATTCTACTAATTCACTTTCATTAATGATTGAACAAAAACAAAATCATATTAATTTTTTTTTTATATCTCGTAGCTAATGCCCCTTTCAAGAACTCGCTCTACCTGCATTACTGGCCTTACGTTACAACAAACCTCAGCCTCTCAAAAAGGCAGGCTAACAAGATGCAGTCCATGGTCCCTTTTTAATCCGTATTATGCTACCATTAACATAAGTATGTGTGTGGCTCCTAATATCATTTGCAGTTAGTAAGGAGTTATGTAACGTCCTCTTTTCTACAATTTTGAACTACTGACATCTGCCTCTATAAAGACAACAGACTTACAATGTTATGCTAATACTTCTCTATTCAACTAATCCGTTATAGATGCGGTCCAATGTTTTCTTCCGTTGAAAATTCTTCTGTTTTCTCCTCTATTAACACGATACAATGGACTTATCAGCTGCTGATCAGTGTCCTTATTTTATAATACTATATTATAAAAAACAATTCCTAAAATCAACTAACAAGCTACACCTATTTACTATGCATGCTACCTTATGCTTTTAAACATGTCGCATTAGACTTACTATGGTCTTTCCTCCACGTGCATTATAATAATACTAACCTCTGCCTCTTTGAACAGTCGTCCAACCAAGTACAGATCATTGTCCCAGTTCTACCTCTGCCTCCTTTATAATGGCCAGCTATAGCAATAATACTAACCTCTGCCTCTTTGAACATGTCACAGTCCACCAACCACGTACAGATCATGGCCCCCGTTCTACCTTTACCACCTTTATAATGGACAGCTATAGCAATAACACTAACCTCTGCCACTTAAACATGTCACAGTCCACCAACCAGTTACAGATCATGGTTCCAGTTCTACCTTTCCCACCTTTATAATGGACAGCTATAGCAATAACACTAACCTCTGCCTCTTTAAACATGTCACACTCGACCACCAAAGTACAGATCATTGTCCCAGTTCTACCTTTCCCACCTTTATAATGGACAGCTATAGCAATAATACTAACCTCTGCCTCTTTGAACATGTCACAGTCCACCAACCAAGTACATATCATTGTCCCCGTTCTACCTTTACCAACTTTACAATGGACAGCTATAACATTTCTGTCATCCTCAGATAGCCACTCACGTACATTCTTACACAACTTTATCAAATCTCTAAAAAGAATTAACGTTTCCATTTCATACGTTTGATTTAATGTTTCAATAAACAAGTAAAGCATTGTCAAAAATAAACACAAAACGCCTAGACAGTTACATTGAAACTGAGATCAATAAATGATATTGAACTATTACTACCGTATTATTCGTTCGAAAAATTGAAACAAAATAATCAATTTATATACATATATATACTTGACATATTATTTTAGTTCATATTATTTCACTTATGCAGCCTGTTAAATAAATTGAAATAAGTACACAGTTTACATATAGACCTATGTAACTATTCAATCGAAATTTCGGCAATGGTAAAACTGAATGATAACAACAAGAATTATAATGAATCGTACAGGATACATTGAGCAAACACATGAAGGCGGGGTGCAGTACCAGGGGATATTTAGTTCAATTAGATTTAAGGAATGAAAAAAAAAAGACGGACGATACCAAGGGGAAAATCATACGTAAACGAAAAACAGACAAACATCATGGCTAAAACGAAAATAAAAGACGACAAGACAAAAAATAGTCCACTGAACACTATACAGAAAACTAAAGACTTTGCAACACAAACCCCACTTACAAATCACAGGTTGACTCAGGTGCTATTTATGTAAAGAAACTGGATGAGATCGTATTGATAGTCAAAACTTCAGTTATCTCTAATGATAAACTGGTTTTAACCTTGTACTACTTATAACAGTAGCTGTGTCGAAATAAATTATATCTAACTTCTCTTTAGACTTACTCAAGGATTGGAACGTTATAGTCCTCTATAAACAATCGTTCTACTCTTCCGGGGAATTTATTCCGGTCGTAATGACGTTCACCTAAAAAAATAGATGATGCTGTTTGATTTGCACGAAACAATAATAGTTCGCTGGTTAGAACACAAACTATGAATTGTTTAATCAATTCGGACAACCATTACATGTATAAGGATAATAGAGATATGACAGCATCAATTCTAATAAAAACTTTTGATTGCCTCCCCCTTTTTGACACCTTCTTTATTCTTTTTCAAATTATAAAATACTGAAGCATTCGAAAAAAAGCAACAGTCGTTGATTTCAGTGTGGAAACTGATACAAATATACCAAAAGTATTCGACAACCTGTTCATTAGGTATTTCCACTTTTCTGTGGAAAGACCTATTGTATTTGTTCTGATTATTATTATTAGGTCTTTCCACTTTTCTGTGGAAAGACCTATTGATTTAGTTCTGATTATTAGATCTTTCCACTTTTCTGTGGAAAGACCTATTGTATTTGTTCTGATAATTATTATTTTTTTCTTCCGCCAAATTTTGTTCTCGCGTAAAATTTTTGTTTTGCAATATGTCGCTAAGATATTTCTTATATAGTATCATACAGTTTATGCGCTTTTTATTTTCACACATTCTAGGCTGAACAATTTTCTTTGTAAGCGTTATCTCCCTATTCACTGTTTATCAAGTGCGTGCATCTCCTTCGAAACAAAAATAGATATCGACAAAATTATTTTCCAAAATTGTTCGTTACATCCTCAGGAATTTTTGGCTAATTTGGATCGAAGCGATTCGATAAAATTTTAAAGGAGTTATCTACCTTGCGGTATGTTTTTTTAACTCATAAACCGTTAACCGAATAACCCTGAAATCTTTTAACTTAGGCCCCTAGGTCTTTACTTAGAAAATGAGGTCAAGGTCAAAGGTCAAGGTCAAGTTCTCAATTTTGACTTTTCGTTGTTTTTGCATTTTCTCAAACACTTTTAAAGATATATATGAAACAACAAGTGCAAAATGTTTGCTTTATTGTAATGAAAATATGTTACATTTGGTCTGAAACAATATAAGGGCATCGTATAGGAGTAAGTGCCCCTGAAATGTCCAATTATAAGGTTAATTGATTATTACTTCAACTTGGTTCATTATAAAGTAATATGACCTTTTACAAAAGGTTGGATGACATATGACTTTGTAGAATGACAACCGGAAATGACCTTGAGAAAACCGGAAGTAGCCTTTTTTGCACTTTTTTCATGGAAAAGTACTCAGAATCCATATATTTTGTAATACAAATACATAAACTTATCACTAAAGACCAGAAGTGACTTTCGATAAACCGGAAGTGGCCAATTATCTCCTGTTTGACATGCAATAGTATATAGAAACTATATATTTTTGGAATCAGTGTAAAAGAAGCTATCAAATGAGACCGGAAGTGACGTTTACTTCTCAGGAAGTAGCACGTTATCTCCCTTATTTCACTCAAAAGTATATAGAAACCATTCATTTATCGCATCAGTTTGAAGAAACCTATGATTGGATATCAATTTTAACTTTGAGTAAACCGGAACTAGCTTCTTTTCAATAACTTTGAAAATTGATGTGGAAAGGCCTTCAATTGTTTTTTGAACAATTGGTTTTTAATTAGGTCTTTCCACTTTTCTGTTGAAAGACCTATTGTATTTGTTCTGATTATTATTAGTCTTTCCACTTTTCTGTGGAAAGACCTATTCGTTTTCTTCTGATTATTATTTAGGTCTTTCCACTTTTCTGTGGAAAGACCTATTGGTTTTCTTCTGATTATTTTTTTTTTTTCATCCGCCAAATTTTGTTCTTCCGATAAATTTTTGTTTCGCAAGATGTCGCTTAGATGTTTCGTAAATGATATCGAACAGTTTATGCGCCTTTGAAATTGACCCTGCTTAACCGAATACTTTTCTTTGTAGTAGTTATCTCCCCCAACACTGTTTTCCTTGTGCACACATCTCCTCCGTAACCGTAAAAGAAAGCGACAAATTTATTTTACCAAATTGCTAGTTTTATTCTCAGGATGTTTAGTCAAATTTTGACCGAAGCGATACGTAAACTCCATATGAGAGTTATTTCCCTTTCTGTATTTGACATAAGGGATATATAAATGTATAGCATGAATGGTAAGTGATAGACACCTAAGGTATATTGATTTGAGTTCCTTGGTTCATTTGAATGAAATGGAGGCCAAGGTCAAAGGTCAAGGTCATATTCTAAATTTTGACTTTTCCTTGTTATTTGATCTCCTCTGTCACTTTTAAAATTACAAATTAAAGAACTAGTGCAAAATGTTTGCTTAATTGTGATTAAGATATGATACATAAGGTCTGAAACAATCCAATGATATCTTATAGGAGTTATTGTCCCTGCATAGGGTCTTTTGCAAACTGTTGGCTGACATATGACCTTGAAAAAAGTAAACCGGAAGTGACCTTGAGTGAACCGGAAGTAGTAATTTGTGCACTTATTTCATGTAAAAGTACATAGAAACCATATCTTTTTTAATGGTCATACATTAATCTATCATATGAGACCGGAAGTGACATTTTCTAAACCGGAAGTAGCCAATTATCTCCCTTTTTACAGGCAAAAGTATATATAAAACATATATTTTTGGAATCAGTGTAAATAAAGCTATCTTATGAGACCGGAAATGACATTTTCTAAACAGGAAGTTGGCAATTATCTCTCTTATTTCAGGCAAAAGACTATAGAAACCATATGTTTATTGAATCAGTATGAAGAAACCTATGATTGGAGGCAATTAGTAGCTTTGAGTAAACCAGAATTAGCTTCTCATCAATTATTTAGAAAATTGATGTGGAAAGACCTTCAATTGTTCTTTGAACAATTGGTTTTTAAATTTTTTTTTTCTTCCGCCAAATTTTGTTCTTGCGATAAATTTTTGTTTCGCAAGATGTCGCTTAGATGTTTCGTATATGATATCAAACAGTTTATGCGCCTTTGAAATTGACCCTGCTTAACCGAATACTTTTCATTGTAGGAGTTATCTCCCCGAACACTGTTTTCCTTGTGCATGCATCTCCTCCGTAACCGTAAAAGAAAGCGACAAATTTATTTTACCAAATTGCTCGTTATGTCCTCAGGATGTTTTGTCAAATTTTGACCGAAGCGATACGTAAACTCCATATGAGAGTTATTTCCCCTTCTGTATTTGACATAAGGGATATATAAATGTATAGCATGAATGGTAAGTGATAGAGACCTACGGTATATTGATTTGAGATCCTTGATTCGTTTAAATGAAATTGAGGCCAAGGTCAAAGGTCAAGGTCATATTCTAAATTTTGACTTTTCCTTGTTATTTGATCTCCTCTGTCACTTTTAAAATTACAAATCAAAGAACTAGTGCAAAATGATTGCTTAATTGTGATTAAGATATGATACATTAGGTCTGAAACAATCCAATGATATCTTATAGGAGTTATTGTCCCTGAAATGATTCAGTTTAAGGTTAATTGATTATTACTCCAACTTGGTGCATGATAAAGCCATAGGGTCTTTTGCAAACTGTTGGTTGACATATTACCTTGAAAAAAGTAGACCGGAAGTGACCTTGAGTGAACCGGAAGTAGTATTTTTTGCACTTATTTCATGGAAAAGTACCTAGAAACGATATATTTTTTGAATGATCATGGGTTAACCTATCATTTGATACCGGATGTGACATTTTATAAACCGGAAGTAGCATATTATCTTCCTTATTACAGGCATAAGTATATACAAACTATATATT